TTCTATAGCTATAATATACAATTATCCAATTAAAAGAAGGTGTAGCCATTGATTATTTTTATCAAAGAGACATGTTTTTGAAATCGTATCATGACGTCCTCAATACCGTAGAGAAAACCTAACTATCAAAAAATAATCAAAAGTTTTCATGAATATTTATTCTTTTTTACATTTGGTAAAATTTAAAGTCATTTTTCTGAAACAAGATCCTGTGTTACAGTCTAGAATCGAAAAGGGTTTCATAAAACTAAATAATTTGTTGTTTATACCATAAACACTGTGGATAAGTCTTCCGAAATGCATCGTGTTTTTAATCTTATAGCTACATATATCTTTATTTTTGTTTTCAACAGTTTTTTAAGAACTACTCAATTGTAATTAACCATGAAAAATACGCTGTTCAGAGCTATATTTGAATATGCTTTTAGCAAAATTTTAAATGCAGGTAACCGGGGCTGCAGTTTAACTATTTCTCAAATCTAAAAACAAAAAAATAATTTAACAACTTTATTTTCAACAAAACTTCAATGCATTGTGTCTTGTCAATAGCACCAGTTTTTATGGTGATCTTGTCAGATCCACACGTAAAACATTTTGTTTTTCCTGTCTGTGGTTGATAACTATTTTTTTACATTTGGTATAATTTAAGGTCATTTTGTTAAAATAAGAACTTGGATCACAGTCTAAAATGAAAAACTGTTTCATTAAAATCAATTATTGTTATGATGTTTACCATGAACTTCAATACAATACTTACTTTGAATACAATCTGACTGAAAAACTGTTCCTTCCTTCTCTGTGATTGGTAGATTTATTGGACACACTTCACATGTTATCTGTCCTTTGTTCTCTTGTGTCGAGTTTCGTGGACATTTTGTACAAACCATTTCAGACATATTGAAATAATATCCTGGACGACATTCTAAAAGCAAAGCAAGTTAACTGTTGATGATATAAACAATAGATCCATGAAATACTGAGGATAAACACACCTTCTTTGCAGTCAGTTATATTAACGTGAGGATCATTTGTGTACGTTATTGTAGCATGTGGACATTGGTTACATTTAATCTGTCTTTTCATTGGTTGATAAGTATTTTTAGGACAAGGAACACAATCTGATTGGTTGAAATTGTACATGTATCCAGAACTGCAATCTACAAAAACAAATTAATATTTTAAAATTGCATATTAACGAATTATTATATGATCAATTTTCTTTAAACTATAAATGATAATACGAATTTACAACATGTACAAACTGAAAGAGAGCTTCTTGTGGTGGTTTACGGTTTGGAGAAAATTTATCAACATACTTGAGAAACACTGCGTTGCAATAGCTAGGCCTCTTCAATTGGTGTGTACGGGAAAAAGGAAACAACCAGTAATGAATAAAGTGAGGTGAAGGAACATGTCCAACAGTGAAAAAAGAGAAAGAGTATTTATATTGGCCAGTAATGAGTACAGGTGAAATCTGATGTTTGAGGGGTGACACTCCCCTGCACTGCCCAGTAAATCTGTACGTGGAAAATCACACGAGTAAATAGTTTTGAGCTACTGCACCATAAAATTCATAAAGAAAATCAACAGCATGCATTGTCTCAGGATGGAGCGTAGAAAGACATGAAAGAAATAAGTATTTTTACAAAATAAAATATGGAATATCAGTATGTTATCAAATCTAGCCGTGCAAACAAGTTATGCACAACTTGTTAAATTGTTCCTTTTAATGGAAAAACTAAGGAATAGCTAAAAAATATTTATATAATATTGAACGTTTAGCACTGAAGTGTAATATTACCTTTTATGCATTCTTGATCACTTACTGCACCAACATTGATGGTACCTTTACCATCATTACAGGTAAGACAACGAGTTTGATTTGTGTATGGTTGATATGTAGAAGTAGGACATTTTTCACATTTCTTGCTTTGAAACGAAAAGAATGAGCCAATGGAACAGTCTAAATATAAAAGATCATTTAAAATAAAACTTTATTGATTATTGATTGACATATGAAAAGAGACTGTTTCATGTTTGTGGATGTAGATCGTCCAGGTTAGTAGAGTCCTGGGAATGACTGTTGGTATTGAAGTTGACTGACATTTCTACAACCTTAGCGGTAGTCATCTTCAGAGTCAAAAATGAATGATTCAGTCAGTGTCCTTTTATTTACTTCATGTAAATTAACCAGATAAAAAGTTTCATGAAAAGTTATTACATTTTCCAGTCTTTCAAAGACAAAAAATCAATCACTAGAGTAATTGAGCAAAACACTTAACAATCCTGTAAGTATGAAAAAATACTTACTAAAAACATTACTAGGAGTGGCTATCTTTGGTATTGTGTCACAGTGCTCAGAGGTAAAAGCAAGATTAGCAAGTGATGTAAAACTGCCATGATCTGTAACGCTTTCAATGATTAACTATTGTAAAGTAAAAACAAATAAGCTATGTATCACAAATTGACGAAGTTTAATTAAGTCTTATAAATATTTCTAATTTGTATACAAACCCTAGATAGACCCATGGTAAAATTAACTGTGACTTGGCCTTTTTTCCACTTAGTTCCTTGATTACCACTTAATGACCACAGTAAAAGATTGTATCCATTGTGAAAATATTCTTGGTAAATATTTAATATTGACAAATCACTTCTATTCATATAATACGAAAATGAAAAGCACACGAGAGAGTCGTTGTGATAATATCCCACCAACCAAGCTTTGCCTGGTGAATAGAATCGTCCTCGAGAATAAAGATATCGCCCTATACCACATAAAGAACAATAAGATATATGTAAACCATACATGTAATATATAAAGAATGTGTATTTGTTGAACAAAGTTCAGTTTCTATTTAAAAACACAATTCAGATCGAGTGTCCCCAAGAACTTTGTATCCACCCAATGGAACAAAGCAACCTTTCTTAAATATTCGGACTAAAATCTATTCAGGTTTGTACAAAACTAACACCTAAAACTCTTGGCCAAATTATCGTAATACAAGGACCTAATATTGTTAACCAAACAAGTTGTAATTGACGTTTGTGGTCAAGTCCAAAGTTTGCAATTGTGCTATATCTTGAGCTTTTTAGTTTCAAAAATCGTTTATCCAAGCGATCATCAATCGAATTCATGTGAACTTTCACATAAACAGATGACAACAGGCAATCTTTTAAGTCAGGGCAATGTTGTTTTATAGTTAATATTTCTCAGCAACATGTTCATAAGATTGTATTCCAGTGATTATGTGCCAATTGCAATAACCTTAAACGCTTTGCTTTGCTTTTCATCCTTGAACGCAAACGGACACAATATATACGTCATGCAAATATTTCATTGTATTTATTGCACAAAGTTCGACATGTAGTTAGACATCAGATTCATTATCATTGAATGTGACCTAATATACAAAGCAAACTTAAGTATTTGAACAATAAAACTGCACTGTAATCTCATTTATACACAAAATTTTTCAAGCCTTACGAAATTTTCGCAATCATGTTGCCTTAATATCACAAATTTAGTAAATATGCCCCCGGCTCAATTTTGTGGTAACTTCCCTGAAACTGCTTAATTGTTTTTTTTTTCAAACAAAAATGGTGTTTTCTCTTTTTACAGTAAAAAATATGTTTCTCCTTCACATATATGTTTCTTTTGGATTGAAATGTCAATATGAAAGCTTAATGCTGTGAAAATGACGTCGACATAGCAGTTGTGTTTATAAAACGTATAAAAATAAAAATGCAGTAATTTTTCATATTTCATGATGGACAACTATATTTAAAATTAATAAAAAATTTTGAATTTTACCGTTCAAAATCACTGACAAAATATTCTTGTAATCTTGCTTATAATGTGAAAACACAAGTAATATAAGCAAGAGTATACATTAAATCACAATATATATATATCAAGTGTATAAATTTTAAATAATTTCGAAGGGCATGACTCCGGACGACGATAGCAGATCACGCCTTCGGCAATCAAAATATATCGGTCCATAAAAAAGCGAGATCAGTCCTCGCATTCGCAGCGGCTCTTCACAAAAAAACAGTCTTACCAAACGTTGATCCTGTGGCATAAAAATCTGAGAGAGTCCAATCGACATCATCAACTCCCTCAACATTGTCCCATGGACATAAACTCGTAGCCAGGCCATGATCAAAGTCACAGATTTTAGACTGATTTGCTAAAGAAAAAAGGGTTTTCTTTTCATTCTGTTTCGTACAAGACTGGTTTTCACCGTACACTTAAGCGAAAACGTGCATCAATGCAAACTTGAGCAATAACTTCTGTTTTTACTGAGAAAAATACACACGATAAACACAGATTAAAAAAATTCTCAGTACTTAGTATACCGTTTACTTCGCAAGCAAATTCAAAGCTTAAAGGCATTTCCCCCCTTTTTTTTTGTGTAAGAGGTCGCACGAAATATATTTGACATAAAAGCTAGTTATTAAAGAAAATAAAATAGGAATTTAAAGAGTACACAAACTAAAGCATGCATGGTTAGCAAAAGTCAATCTTACCCAGGGCCCTCCATCAAATAAATGCATGAATAATCTATAAAATGTTATTATAATAAAAAAACTCATGAGCGCATACTTAGCTGTAACTGCATGAGAAACTATACTAGTACTTGCCAAAAATACATTTAAAGATATTTAGCAAAACGCTGTCTACCTTTCGCTTTAGAAAACCACGTTGCGCAGCCCAACTTAGACTAAACATTTACCAAGAAAACAGTATTTGCTACCAGCTAATGTGTTTTTATTTATTGCATTGTTTTGTAATTTTAGAATGTCAAATGAGTGCAATCGTGGAAATCATTGTATATTTACAGCTACCTCTATGTTTTTTGACGGAATTGAAAAGACGTTTGTTTGGATTTTAATGCTACTCAGTCACAGTACAAATTGGCAAACAAACATTGATATTAAAAATTCTTGATTTAAAGTACTAAAAATAGTAGCTAAAATGTAAAAATATTACTTACATGTTTGGCATTCTACACCAGCATCTTCACTATGTCCACAATTGTGTGTTTCCCATCCATTATGTTTACAACTAGATACATTAACTTCTGAACCTGTACAACCAACATTATCTAACCATATCTTTCCACTACCATCTGGAACAGAACTTCCTATTAAAGCCTTTACTGCTCTACCATAACCAAGTTGACGACAAGCTACCATAGCATCTTGCAAATCCCAACCATCGTCACAAATTGTGCCCCATTCTCCATTGTAGAAAAGTTCTACACGACCAATTCCTTCGCTGCTTCTTGGTCCTTGAAGTCGCACTGGCTCATTTAAAAAATCAGTTTTAATTACAAAGTTGTTAAGTAAACAAGTTGTTCAATATTTATGTTACAGCAAAGTTAGCAAACACCGACTGATTTTAAAATTTCTTAAATTATATGCTACAAATAGTAACTAAGAAACAGAAAAATTACTTACATATTAGACATTCTACACCAGCATTTTGACCATGTCCACAATTCTGTGTTCCCCATCCTTTATGTGTACAACTAGATACAATAACTTCTGAACCCGAACAAACGACATTATCTAACCATATCTTTCCACTACCATCTGGAACAGAACTTCCTTGTAAAGCTTTTACTGCTCTAATATAACCAAGTTGACGACAAGCAACCATAGCATCTGGCAAATCCCAACCATCGTCACAAATTGTGCCCCATTCTCCATTGTAGAAAATTTCTACACGACCAATTCCTTCGCTGCTTCTTGGTCCTTGAAGTCGCACTGGCTCATTTAAAAAATCAGTTTTGTTTACAAAGTTGTTAAGTAAGCAAAGTTTTTAATTTTATATTAGAGCAAGCACATACTGATTTAAAAATTTCCTTATTTCAATACAACAAAAAGTTTATGAGAAGTTAAAATTACTTACATGCTAGACATTCTACACCAGCATTTTGACCATGTCCACAATCCTGTGTTCCCCATCCTTTATGTGTACAACTAGATACAATAACTTCTGAACCCGAACAAACGACATTATCTAACCATATCTTTCCACTACCATCTGGAACAGAACTTCCTTTTAAAGCTTTTACTGCTCTACCATAACCAAGTTGACGACAAGCAACCATTGCATCTGGCAAATCCCAACCATCGTCACAAATTGTGCCCCATTCTCCATTGTAGAAAATTTCTACACGACCAATTCCTTCGCTGCTTCTTGGTCCTTGAAGTCGCACTGGCTCATTTTAAAAAAGTAGTTTTGTTTACAAAGTTGTTAAGTAAGCAAGGTTTTTAATTTTATATTAGAGCAAGCACATACTGATTTAAAAATTTCTTTATTTCAATACAATAAAAAGTTTATGAGAAGTTAAAAATTACTTACATGCTAGACATTCTACACCAGCATCTTCACTATGTCCACAATTGTGTGTTCCCCATCTATTATGTGAACAACTAGATACATTAACTTCTGAACCCGTACAAGCAACGTTATCTAACCATATCTTTCCACTACCATCTGGAACAGAACTTCCTTTTAAAGCTTTTACTGCTCTACCATAACCAAGTTGACGACAAGCAACCATTGCATCTGGCAAATCCCAACCATCGTCACAAATTGTGCCCCATTCTCCATTGTAGAAAATTTCTACACGACCAATTCCTTCCATGCTTCTTTGTCCTTGAAGTCGAACTGGCTCGTCTAGAAAAGGTTATTGAGCTTGTACTGATATATATAGCAACAAGTTCTTAATAAAACAACGAATCACTTGGCAATTTGAATCGTATGACTATTTTAAATAGGTGAAAAGTTTACTTACATGTTAGACATTCTACACCAGCATCTTCACTATGTTCACAATTGTGTTTTCCCCATCCATTATGTTTACAACTAGATACATTAACTTCTGAACCCGTACAAGCAACATCATCTAACCATATCTTTCCACTTCCATCTGGGACAGAACTTCCTTGTAAAGCCTTTACTGCTCTACCATAACCAACTTGACGACATGCAACCATAGCATCTCGCAAATCCCAAAAATCGTCACAAATTGTGCCCCATTCTCCATTGTATAAAATTTCTATTCGACCAATTCCTTCACTGCTTCTTGGTCCTTGAATTCTGACCGGTTTGTCTATAAAAGGTTATTGAGCTTATATTGATTTAGAGCGCAATAAGATCTTAATAAAACACAAAGTCGCATAACGTTTAGCAATTTGAATCGTATGATTATTTTTAAACAGGTTTTGTGTCGAAATAACGGTTAATTTAAAGTAGTCACGCGAGCATTTTATACGCAATCTATCATCAGTTTTGTTGACAAGTTTTCCAGTGTTTTTACTTCTGTATTACTTTACTGTATTACTTCTTTCAGTACTTATATTAAGCGTTTGAAATACTACACAGGTGAAAACTTTTCTTACATGTTACACAATCTACACCAGCATCTTCACTATGTCTACAATTGTGTGTTCCCCATCTATTGTGTGTACAAATAGATACATTAACTTCTGAACCCGTACAACCAACGTTATTTAACCATATCTTTCCACTACCATCTGGAACAGAGCTTCCTTGTAAAGCTTTTACTGCACCATTAAATCCAAGTTGACGACATGCAACCATAGCATCTTGCAAATCCCAACCATCGTCACAAATTGTGCCCCATTCTCCATTGTAGAAAATCTCTACACGACCAATTCCTTCGCTGCTTCTTGGTCCTTGAAGTCGCACTGGCTCATTTTAAAAAATTAATTTTGTTTACAAAGTTATCAAGTAAACAATGTGTTCATTGTTTATGTTACAGCAAAGTTAATAAACACAGACGGATTTTAAAATTTCTTAATTTATATGCTACAAATAGTAACTAAGAAACAGAAAAATTACTTACATGCTACACATTCTACACCAGCATCTTCATAATGTCCACAATTGTCTGTTCCCCATCCATTATGTGAACAACTAGATACATTAACTTCTGAACCCGTACAACCAACGTTATTTAACCATATCTTTCCACTACCATCTGGAACAGAGCTTCCTTGTAAAGCTTTTACTGCACCATTAAATCTAAGTTGACGACATGCAACCATAGCATCTTGCAAATCCCAAGTATCATCACAAATTGCGCCCCATTCTCCATTGTAGAAAATCTCTATTCGACCAATTCCTTCCCTGCTTCTTGGTCCTTGAAGTCGAATTGGCTCATCTGAAAAAAATTTTTGGGTTTCAAAGTTTGAAAGCATCCGAGGTGTTCAATGTTTATGTTCCAGCAAAGTTAGCAACCAAAAATATATTTTAAAATTTCTTAGTTGAAATGTTACAAATAGTTACTAAAAAGTAGAAAAATTACTTACATGTAAGACATTCTACACCAGCATCTTTACTATGTCTACAGTTGTGTGTTTCCCATCCACTATGTGAACAACTAGATACATTAACTTCTGAGCCTGTACAAACAACATTATCTAACCATATCTTTCCACTACCATCAGGAACAGAGCTTCCGTGTAAAGCTTTTACTGCACCATTAAATCCAAGTTGACGACATGCAACCATAGCATCTTGCAAATCCCAACCATTGTCACAAATTGTGCCCCATTCCTTATTGTAGAAAATTTCTACACGACCAATTCCTTTATACCTTTTTGGTCCTTGAAGTCGAACTGGCTCATTTTAAAAAAATTAGTTTTGTTTACAAGTTGCAAAGTAAACAAGGTTTTACATGTTTATGTTAGGGCAAACACAGATTGATTTCACAATTTTTAATTCAAATACGATGAATAGTTAATAAGACGTTAAAAAGTACTTACATGATGAACATTCTACACCAGCATCTTTACTATGTCCACAATTGTGTGTTCCCCATCCATTATGTGTACAAATAGATACATTAACTTCCAAACCCGTACAACCAACATTATCTAACCATATCTTGCCACTACCATCAGGAACAGAACTTCCTCTTAAAGCTTTTACTGCTCTACCATAACCAAGTTGACGACATACAACCATAGCATCTCCCAAACCCCAACCATAGTCACAAATTGTACCCCATTCTTCTTTATAGAAAATTTCTACGCGACCAATTCCTTCGCCGCTTCTTGGTCCTTGGAGTCGAACAGGATCGTCTAAAAAGATTATTTTGGTTTTCAAAGTTCTTAAGCAAGCGAGATGCTCGAGGTTTTTGTTACAGCAAAGTTAGCAAACACAGATTGGTTTTAAAATTTCTTAATATAAATGCTACCAATAGTTTCCAAAAAGGAGAAAAAGTACTTACATGATGAACATTCTACACCAGCATCTTCACTATGTCTACAGTTGTGTGTTTCCCATCCACCATGTGAACAACTAGATACATTAACTTCTGAGCCCGTACAAGCAACATCATGTAACCATATCTTTCCACTACCATCAGGAACAGAACTTCCTTGTAAAGCCTTTACTGCACTACCATAACCAAGTTGGCGACATGCAACCATAGCATCTGGCAAATCCCAATCATCGTCACAAATTGTGCCCCATTCTCCATTGTAGAATATTTCTACACGACCAATTCCTTCCCTGCTTCTTGGTCCTTGAAGTCGCACTGGCTCAAGTTAAAAAATTATTTTGTTTACAAAGCTGTCAAGTAAACAATGTTTTACATGTTTATGTTGGAGGAAACACAGATTGATTTAAAAATTTTTCAATATTAATATGATGAATAGTTTATAAGAAGTTTAAAAATTCTTACATAATGAACATTCTACACCAGCATCTTCACTATGTCCACAATTGTGTCTTCCCCATCCATTATGTTTACAACTAGATACATTAACTTCTGAGCCCGTACAAGCAACATTATCTAACCAAATCCTTCCACTACCATCAGGAACAGAACGTCCTTGTAAAGCTTTTACTGCTCTACCATAACCAAGTTGACGACATGCAACCTTAGCATCTTGCGAACCCCAAGCATCGTCACAAATTGTGCCCCATTCTCCATTGTAAAAAATTTCTATTCGACCAACTCCCTCGCTTCTTCTTGGTCCTTGAAGTCGAACTGGTTCGTCTATAAAAGGTTATTGGACTTGTACTCATTTATATTGCAACAAGTTCTTAATAAACCACAGAGTCGCATAACGCTTGTCAATTTAAATCGTATGATAATTTTTAAACAGGGGAAAAGTTTACTTACATGTTAGGCATTCTACACCAGCATCTTCATCATGTCCACAATTGTGTGTTCCCCATCCATTGTGTGTACAACTAGATACATTAACTTCTGAACCCGTACAAGCAACATTATCTAACAATATCCTTCCACTACCATCAGGAACAGAACTTCCTTGTAAAGCCTTTACTGCACCATTAAATCCAAGTTGACGACATACAACCATAGCATCTTGCAAATCCCAACCATCGTCACAAATTGTGCCCCATTTTCCATTGTAGAGTATTTCTACACGACCAATCCCTTCGCTGCTTCTTGGTCCTTGAAGTCGAACTGGCTCGTCTGAAAAAATTATTTTAAAATTCACAGATGTTAAGTAACCATTGTGTTCAATGTTTATGTTCCAGAAAAGATAGCAAACGCAGATTGATTTTACATTTTTAATATAAATGCAGAAATAGTTACTCAAAAGTAGAAAAAATACCTACATGTTAGACATTCTACACCAGCATCTTCATAATGTCCACAGTCGTGTGTTCCCCATCCATTATGTGAACAACTAGATACATTAACTTCTGAACCCGTACAACCAACGTTATTTAACCATATCTTTCCACTACCATCTGGAACAGAGCTTCCTTGTAAAGCTTTTACTGCACCATTAAATCTAAGTTGACGACATGCAACCATAGCATCTTGCAAATCCCAAGTATCATCACAAATTGTGCCCCATTCTCCATTGTAGAAAATCTCTATTCGACCAATTTCTTCCCTGCTTCTTGGTCCTTGAAGTCGAATTGGCTCATCTGAAAAAAATTTTTGGGTTTCAAAGTTTTAAAGTATCCGAGGTGTTCAATGTTTATGTTCCAGCAAAGTTAGCAACCAAAGATTGATTTTAAAATTTATTAATTTAAATGTTACAAATAGTTACTAAAAAGTAGAAAAATTACTTACATGTTAGACATTCTACACCGGCATCTTCACTATGTCCACAGTTGTGTGTTCCCCATCCATTATGTGAACAGCTAGATACATTAACTTCTGAACCCGTACAAGCAACATCATCTAACCATATCTTTCCACTTCCATCAGGAACAGAACTTCCTTGTAAAGCCTTTACTGCTCTATTATATCCAAGTTGATGACATACAACCATAGCATCTTGCAAATGCCAATCATCGTCACAAATTGTGCCCCATTCTCCATTGTAGAAAATTTCTACACGACCAATTCCTTCGCTGCTTCTTGGTCCTTGAAGTCGCACTGGCTCATTTTAAAAAATTAATTTTGTTTACAAAGTTATCAAGTAAACAATGTGTTCATTGTTTATGTTACAGCAAAGTTAACAAACACAGACGGATTTTAAAATTTCTTAATTTATATGCTACAAATAGTAACTAAGAAACAGAAAAATTACTTACATGCTACACATTCTACACCAGCATCTTCATAATGTCCACAATTGTGTGTTCCCCATCTATTATGTGAACAACTAGATACATTAACTTCTGAACCCGTACAAACAACATCATCTAACCATATCTTTCCACTACCATCAGGAACAGAGCTTCCGTGTAAAGCTTTTACTGCACCATTAAATCCAAGTTGACGACATACAACCATAGCATCTTGCAAATCCCAACCATCGTCACAAATTGTGCCCCATTCTCCATTGTAGAATATTTCTACACGTCCAATTCCTTCGCCTCTTCTTGGTCCTTGAAGTCGAACTGGCTCATTTTTAAAAAATAGTTTTCATTACAAAGTTGTTAAGTAAACAAAGTTTTCGATGTTTATGTTGGATGAAACACAGATTGATTTAAAAATTTTTCGATATTAATATGATGAATCGTTTATTAGAAAATAAAAATTACTTACATGATGAACATTCTACACCAGCATCTTCATAATGTCCACAATCGTGTTTTCCCCATCCAATATGTGAACAACTAGATACATTATTTTCTGAGCCCGTACAAGCAACATTATCCAACCATATCTTTCCACTACCATCAGGAACAGAGCTTCCTTGTAAAGCCTTTGCTGCACTACCATAACCAAGTTGACGACATGCAACCATAGCATCTTGCAAATCCCAACCATCGTCACAAATTGTGCCCCATTCTCCATTGTAGAAAATTTCTACACGACCAATTCCTTCTCCGCTTCTTGGTCCTCGAAGTCGAACTGGCTCGTCTGAAAAAAATTTTTGGGTTACAAAGTTTTTAAGTATGCGAGGTGTTAATTATTTATGTTCCAGCAAATTCAGCAAACAAAGATTGATTTTAAAAGTTTTCAATTTAAATGCTACAAATAGTCACTAAAAACTAGAAAAATTACTTACATGTAAGACATTCTACACCAGCATCTTCATAATGTCCACAGTTGTGTTTTCCCCATCCATTATGTGAACAACTAGATACATTAACTTCTGAACCCGTACAAGCAACATTATCTAACCATATCTTTCCAGTACCATCAGGAACTGAACTTCCTTGTAAAGCCTTTACTACACTCTTATAACGAAGTTGACGACATACAACCATAGCATCTTGCAAATCCCACAAATCGTCACAAATTGTGCCCCATTCTCCATTGTAGAATATTTCTACACGACCAATTCCTTCTCCGCTTTTTGGTCCTTGAAGTCGAACTGGCTCGTCTGAAAAAATTATCTTGGTTTTTAAAGTTGTTATGTAAACAAGGTGTTCAATGTTTATGCTAAAGAAAAGAGTGCAATTGCACATTTTCACAGAACAATTACACAATTTTACAGTGCAGTTAAGTGATTAGAGCTTTTGTACAGTGCAATTACTGATTTTCACAGTGTAGTAAAAGCGTTTCACATTGCACTTGCATATTTTTGCATTGCAACTGATTACAAATCGATAATTATAAATCCTTACTAACCGAGTTCAGTTCTTTATGGAAAATGTCCTTTTTAATTTTGCACTTGTTTTGACCAAATGTGGTAAAAGCATAGTGTCATTTTAAAAGTCAGTCTTTGAAATATTTAATGTCCCTCTCTTAAATATTTTTCAATAGGAGCCCCTTTTTCACATCACTTAGTCCTTCGCAGCCATAAATCTATCAACAACCGGCATGAACAGATATATGTACGCTTAGCGTACTTATTTTTTTATACAGTGCATTTACAGGTTTTCACAGCGCAGCTGCAATTACAGGTAAACCTCACTGCAATGAACCAACAGTAAAGAAATATCTCAAACTCAAAGTGTATTGCTATTATAAACTTAACGTTTTATTCTTTGTTCATATCATCAAAAACAATCTTTCCATATGAGAAGGTAAAGATTTATAAAAAAATTCATACCTTGTGATAATGTAGTACGGACTAACAGGAAAACTATGAACTTGATCATTGTAAGTGAATTGCTGAAATGAAAAATAAACAAAACATGTTAGATTGTTAAACATTTCGTCGTCATATTTTGAACAATTTTGTCACCTTGTAGTTAAAGTTTCAATTGCTCTGTATATGTAACCTAAAGTCTCGTTAAAACGTTCAATTTTTCTTGCAAAAGCCACAACATCTGCTTCAACATATTCGTGAGTTAACAGGCTTACGTCAACATGTTGTATACATTATTTAAATCTGAGAACGAGTTTTATAATTTCACATGCAGAAGAATGAGAAAACTTCATCAAACACGATAACACGAACAAATGAACATGTCCACGAAATGTCTTGATAAAGCTAAACATCAGCAATAAGAAATTACTCATGTTTAAAGAAAAAACGATATTTAGCGAAACAAACACCAATTTTCCAAGGTCTTAACTATTTAGAAAAGCTTTTTGGAGATGATTTCTTTAAAAGACTTCCTCTTCACATTTCAGGTTTTTCAGGTTTCTTACCTCAACTTCCCCTTAAAGGTTTTTTACGTGTGAGGTGAATTTTCAGTGACTAAGTTGAGTGCATAGGTTACCCTTTTTAAATTTAGACTTTTATAAAACCATGTAAAACGTGTAACCAGGCTGCGATTTGAAAAACAAAACTTATATAAAATAGCAGAGAAAACATTGTATAGTCAATATCAATAATAATGCCTTGTGGAAATCAAACTTTCGAATTAATATAATCAAACAACCTAAGAATTTGATTGAAATCAAATAAACAATAACAGTTAATTAGTTTGAATACAATTTCTTTTGGCTACTGCTTTAAATAATAAATACTTTCACAGAATTTTATTCCCTTTTCAACTTCCTCAAGCAATGTTTGAAACCATCAATTTCCTCAAGCAATGTTTGAGAGCATCAATACAACGCATGCAGTTTGAATTAAAAAATTAGTTAATTTATGCACAATATCAATAAATTATATTAACATCAGGAAACTAAAATAACGAAACTAGCAAAATCTTTTCACCAGCCAGGTAACAATTATGGATTTACATTTTGAATAGGACACTTCCTTATCCGTAAAAGGATTTAAAGAAACCGTTTGTGCGATATTTTAAACTAATGCAGTGTGAAGTGCAAAATCTGCAAGAAAGTCAAAATATTGTGGATTTATGTAAGACTATTTAATTCTTCAAAACATCGTCTCCATAATAAACATAATGCACAATAAACGGATTAAAAGCATTAGATAATCATGATATTGAGTAACAAAAACATAATTCCTTGAGATAAAGCCACCTCCGCAAAAGAAAAACTTTAAATACATTCTAACCTGGTGCTTATATCTTTCAATATATAGTTCATCATCATCATTATCAAGGTTCCTATATTCTTTCTCACTTCTTTCTATCAATAACTTTATTCAATATTCAATACAGGCTCAAAATTCTCCAGTGAACTCTTTTTATTGCTGGACAGCGATAACCTCCAGCTGTTTTTAAAAATACTTCCGCAACTGTGCTGTGAACTGTTAACACTGATGAAATAATCTTTGTCAACTAGAATAAGTACGCCCTATGCACTATCGTATCAGTCATGTGACTTTATGTAGCACTTATATTTGCATTTAATTATCTTAACTTTCTATTTCTCTTGCGCTTGCAAACGCATGGTTTTGAAAAATGCTTATTGCGTCGTTTTTGCAAATAGTAAATACATCGTTTTAATGGCATCCAGTTGCGTAATAAGTTAACATGTTATGGGCCCAGGATGTGAAAATGAATAAGTAAATTGAATGTTTTCCACAAAAGATGATTCAATAAGAATGGCGCTAGCTTCACCAAATGCTTTGAGTTTGAGATATGGTAAAATCACTTAAAACGTATAAACAACGACAATCTTTTCCAACGCAGATAGTCCGCCGCAAACTTTTAATTATATACAACAATTAATATAAAAGTTTACGGCGCACGTATAAACGATGGAATGGGAAAGTTATTGTTTAAATACCATTAAGGATTTTTATATCGCCAATGGCTTGAACGCGGCGCGATTACGGGAGATCAATACGGCTGTATTTGAGAGCATGTGAACTATTTAAATTCGTTCATGGTATATAATCAAAGTCTTAGACAGAGGCCTGTCCACCGGTCTTTGAACCGTCGTTTAAAGATGACTGGCAAAAATAAAACAAGTTAAAGTAAACCTTAATAATTTACCTCAGTAATACCAAAGCCGTATCGTGGTTTCGCGATTTTCGCATTTCTTTATTTTTTGCGATATATTATTACAGCGGTGCGCATACAAAGGAAAGCGCGTTTCAACAAGCAGTTTAAAATCAAATGACTTATAATACGATTTTGTTAATGCAAAATGCTCCACCAAAAGCGTTTCAAAAACAAACTGTCGATAGACTCCTTATTTAAAAGAATGAACAGTGACAGCAAATCACAGTCAATATAAACATTTAGAGAGCCGGCTGACGTCCATAAGATATCATTTTCATTTTAAGTACACGATATTCATCCATTCCAATTGTTACTTCTGCAATAGTCCGAAAGAAGTGATTTCCGTAAGCAGCAACACTTCCTGGTTCCCAACCATCTTTTAGTACTTTTTTTCAGAACAAGGTCAGTAGCAAATGCTAGCAAGTATAAGAAAGAGCATTTTGATTGCTAAAAGTACAAGATGTTCAGAAATTTTGAATCAAATCGTGAGTCACATCGTGATTGTCCTTTGACGTCATTTTGTAGCATATTGATCATGGGAGATTTGTGTTCTACAATCAGCATTTTAAAACATGTGAAAGTCCCCGTAAATTTGATCTAACCCTTTATTCCTTTTTAAATACATCCTGAATGCAAAATTTATGAAATTATTATTCTCTTATTGTCAGCACATTATGTTATCATAAAAGAAAGAAAAGCACATTTTGTTTACTTTCATACCTCAGATCAACATCTACTGTATACGTATACTTTTGTTTCTTGATGGACTTCTCCATAGCGTAATAGATTGCCTGTTTTTAATCTCTTTTACGCAAGATACAAAACTTGACCAACTTCGTACAGTTTAAAGAAATATCTTCTTCAGAAAAGAAATCTTTTCTTGTCTGTCTTCTTATTGTGCATTGTGAATGTCTTAGCAGTACCATGCACGAATGTAAAGATCACAATCACTATCACTATCACCATCACCATCACCATCTTTGCCTTATAGTTAACATTACATCATCTTTGCCTTGGATGTATACAATCAACGCAGATTATAGTTTAACATTGAGTTCATGCATTTAAAAAGTTTGTGCTTAAGTAATGACATAAAAATATTTCCTGAGTAGTTGCCAAATGATAGAAGCAGCCATTCTTTTTGAAATAGATTTCTTGGTTGGTCATTGTCACTGACCTGTATAGTAATAGTCAATGGTTCCAGTATTTTACTAAATGCAAACATAGAATACCATTGAACTGAGTGAAACATCTTTATGGCCTAGTTCAAACGTCGAACTTTACATGAACCGAACGCATTTAAAACAAAAGATAATGAGGAAGTTCATCTCATTTTCTTTTGTCTCTAATGCGTTCGCTGCATGTAAAGTTCGACGTTTGAAACAAACCTTACTTACCTGATAGGACACGGTTGTACAAGAGTCATATTGCATTTGAAAGAACCTGATAAGGCTGGTATATGTATTGAATGATGCTCTACTTCATTCATTTTTGTCGTTGAAAAACGTATCAGTTATCCTTTTTGAGCGATGATGTCACTTGTACTCAAGAAACAGGCCAGGAGTCACAACAGCAACGATATAATATTCGTACTTGTACACAACTAACATTAAAAGTTTACGGTGATGGTAGTAGCAAAGTAGGAAAGGCCTACGCTACTTGCAAATCACCTGATTAAGCATGTTAATTCACATTTTGAAAACATTTTCTTGAATTAAAAATGAAAATAAAACTTTAATCAACAAGAGGAAGGTTATTACCATAGAGATTATAAATAAGACAAGAGGTGGAATTGATGTCGTTTTAAGGCGACGCGTGGATTGGGCGGCAAATTTAGGTCCCGGATTTAAACACGAAGTAAACAAATGATGTTTTTGCAGTCTGCCTCGAGTTTTGGATTCTTTTTTAATATATTTAGTAAGTTTTTTTGCTCTTTTTTGCTCGCCCCTGCGGCTTGTGGCCACTTTGTATTTATCACAGTTGACGTCATACCCGTGTATCTATAACTGTAAAGACAACGGTTAAATGTTATCTATTCGTTAAATTAACTATTATAGTCATTACAGTTCACCAATGCAGGTCACTGGAAGTGAATGACATTACTGAACTCATATAGAATCTGGACTAATATAGGAACAAAATGCAACACCTATGCTGATTTCCGAAATTCGTTTCGCATGCATAAAATTGCAGTTCTGAATCAGAAAGTTTATGCTCTTTCGTCATCGTTTCTTTGAGATCATTCAATGGTGCACCTTGTCTTCATTGAAATTTTTTGCTAATAATGTTTGGAAAATGTTTTATGCTATTGCTATAACATACTCGCCTTCGTTATCTTCCTTGAAGATCGAATCACTGACAGAAGAATTTCGATATTCACTAACACTTTCACCATTTGTTACATTACCATTCTTCCTCAATGGTTGATAACCGTCATTTTCTGTATCATTTCCACTTCCTGGAAGTCAAATCAAAGATTTATATTTCTTGCCTTTATCTTCATCAATCCTCAAATCACTGAGAGAAGAATTTCGGTATTGATCAACACTTTCGTTTCGCGGAAGCTTGTCAAAGGTTAAAATAGGTTCCTCATATCCGAAAGGACGAGATTCAAAGATGATTTTAACAACATTAGAAAGATTTTCGGGTTCCCACCTCGATTCTTCATACCGGTGATTCAGACTTTGATATGAAACAGATCGGTGCATGAATTCATTGCCAGATAAGTTTGCTGGATTATGTCGTAAGTTGATTTCATAGTTGTTATCTATGAAAAGAAATGTCAAAAAGTGCCGTTTTCAATGACATTTACATTTACATGTCTACTATTTCAATAAGTGGTGCAGTTTGCACAGTTTCATTGCTGGACAGCGATAACCTCCAACTGTTTACAAAAATACTTCCGAAACTGTGTGCTGTGATCTGTTAACAATGATGATATAATTTATTTGAACTAGAATAAGTACTCCCTTTGCACTATCGTATCAGTCATGTGACTTTATGTAGTACTAAAATATTTGTATAGGTAATAGCATGGTTTCGAAGGCAATTAGGGAAAAACATGCACGAGTGAGTTTTTCAAAGATTTTCAAAATCACACGAGGACGAGGGCAATTTGAAGTCTTTGAAAAACTCACAAGTGCATGTTTTCCAAATTGCACGAGAAACCATGCTATTACATATTAATATAATTATTTAACCGAAAATAATTTTTGATTGAAAAGCATGCACAATTTATCTTTATATTCTCAAGTGAATTATAAACGTACTATATTTTAACTACATGTAATGACGTGTTGTGCCCATATTGATCAAAGATGTTCTTCTACAAGGTGTATAAAAATTAACATATGAAAAAACGTCGCTATAGTTTTCAGCGGACAAGATCAGCAAAACTTTACTGGAATAGGTAGTTGGACTTCCAACTGGATCATCTGACAGTAAAATTTTCCCAAATAATCACCATTTTAAGAAGGCGAATTGTGTTACAGCGAAGCACTTTTTAAAAAGCTAGCACACGAAACCGACAAAGCTAAAAAACAATTGGAACACACAGCGTTAAAATATGGCACATGTTGTTCAAGCTTTTGAGCTTCAGGGAAATTTGGCCGAAGCGTATTTGGTGTTTTCTCCTTTAAATTGCCATTTTCTTAAAACCTTTATCACTTATTCATATTTCGATTAACTTACGCATAATTGATGAAGATTATAACAACATAGCATTAAAAAATGAAAAATTCAAAATAATCCGCAACATTATACACCCTATATATCGTGTTTTCTAATGTTGCTCTTAAGTCCAAATATCATACTTGCTTTTTCAACAACGATCAGCAGTTTTATAAAAGGTTCTTGATTAATTCTGCAATGAGACTTCCAAATGTAGTAATAACGTAAAATAAAATAAATGGTTTGATCCCGGGAGTATCGTTAGATGCTAGTAAGTAGATCGTTCAGGTTAGTTCCTGGAGACTGCGTTGTTGAAAGACGGATCGGCAACCTTAGCGGTAGTCATCTTCAGAATCAAAAGACCATTTCAGCTAACAAGATCAGCAAAACTTTACTGGAATAGGTAGTTTGACTTCCAATTGGAAGTCATTTTGACTCTGAAGATGACTACAGCTAAGGTTGTCGAAACGTCAGTCAACAACAACAAAAACAGTCCTTCTCAGGACTATACCAACCTGGACGATCTACATTTACAAACATATAATAACGTAAAACAGTAGTTATATTTAATCATTAGCAAAATTAAAAATATATTATATTAATTTATTGGTTACATGCGCCTAGCTATAAATGCATATCTTTTTAGCGGCAATAACTACATTACTTCAAATGCATTTCTCTCAACCAAACTCAAAAATTGGCCCCTATATTGATTTCTACATCCCCCCAAAAATTAACACTTGGGGCAGGGCATGGCTTCCCCCTGCCAGCATGCCACTGAGTTGACCTCTAAAAACCTGGAGTTTTAGCTCAATCTTCTTTCATTCACCTTACAAGTGACATTCAAAAAAAATTAGATTTTGGCAATTGCAAGTACAAAACAATGTAAGGATTAAAGCAGGGGTGGGCAACATACGGCCCGCAGGCCGGGGCTGGCCCCTAAAGGGATTTTGACTGACCCGCAGACTATATCCATCTATATCTGTGATTAAGATATTGAATATTATTCATGTAATAATACGGCCAACCAATAACTTCAATTTCCTAAATCTGGCCCGCCGACTGGAGAAGTTCCCACCCCTGGATTAAAGCTTACCATTCTAGTGATTAGAGCCATAACCAGCTTTCTTTTGGAGTAAACATTTAGATTTCTCATATCCTCAAATAACTGGATATAGGTGATGTGCAACCATTCTCATGGGAATGAGAGAACAATGGAATCTTCATCATGTTGGAGGAGACTTTCATTGTAAATAAGGAAAATCCTATTTTAAAATCATCCAACAGGGTGGCAATGACATAACTTGCACAACAAGAATTACAGACATCAAATGCTCTTTAAAAAAAAATATTCTCATGGTAACATACTATATAAAAGGACTATGAAATATTGTGTAACTACCTGAAGTGAAGTCATTTGACGGATTGATTATCACAGTTTTTTCGTACATCAGTCTTCTTTGCAAAAATGGTAAACTGTTGTGGTCCAGTCTGTCCACTGGTCCTATGATTGAATTCAAACAGCTATGCATTAAAGCAAAAAAAACTTTCGGACAATTCAAAAATACAAAGACCACGTTATTTAGATATCATGTTTGCATTTTTTGATATGTAAACAATTACTGTAACAAACATAATCCACATACTTCCTCATTTCTTGTAAAAGTTCAAAACGTACTTCTTGTTTCTTTCATTCGTTTGTACCTTGTATTGTTCAAATGAATATGACTGTATGAACAGTTCAACCCCCAGTAATAATTAAATTTCATATGGGTACGTTGGGGGGGAGTAGTAAATCAAAAAATCACAAGCCATTTGGCGGTAAAAAATTGTATTTGAAATTTAAGAATTTAAAACTTTTTATATGTGAGATACAGTCAGCGAAAGTCGTAGCTTGGGTTAAAATGACACCAGTTCGAGTAAATCAAAACAACATTTTATGTAGATTTCGTGATTTACCAACATATAATCATGCGACCTTGCTGGTAAGTACAACTTGCCCACTTCGTTTCGACTTACAAATGCTCTGGTTGCACACAGGACGTAGGTTAAAAACATAAATTGTTTAGTGAATAGTAAAAGATGTAGACCGTCGACGGATCTAGAACCATCAACAATTTTATTTCAGATAGTTAGTGTTAAGGGTATTGGCTCGGAAGATCTTGTCGAAGCAATATTACAAATGGACACATCGTATTCTGTTCAAATGTGAGTAAACCAGGGTTTCTTGCTCTTTAAAACATCAGGGAGTTCGATTGAGGATAATATCTATCCGTTTTATCCTGTTATGTAAATTTTAGATCATACTCGCTATTTATGTCTTTACAAATTATTGATTTCACAGTCAAAGCAATTGACAATATTTGCATAACAGAAGGCACAAGCAAATAAAGGAGAAGATGGGGATGACTAACAGAGACTGCAAAACATTTGTTATTTTTTACAGAGACTGCAAAGCATTTTTATTTTTTACAGAGAGTGCAAAGCATTTTTATTTTTTACAGAGACTGCAAAACATTTTTCATTACCCCCCCCCCTCAACTGCTCTGTGTCTTGAGCTAATTACATAAATTTAAAATTTTCACTTCGTAATCATCAATTTAACAGTCGCACCACAACAAGTCTACCTTTGCCACAACTGTCAAAGACTGAAAGTCGTCCTCGGATTGACTACATCATCTTTGCCTTGGATCTAAGCAATCAACACAGGTTAAAGTTGAAAATTGGTGTGTTTAAAAAGAAAGTGTTTGAGTAATGGCATAATATATTTTCCAATTAGTTGTCAAATGATTGAAGAAGCAGTCGCCTTTGTGGATGTGGATTACTTTATTGGTCGTAGCTGTTTCATATTGTCCAAAGGTCTGCATGTCAAAAATTAATGTTGTTTATTGATGAAAAAAATATGCTGTTAGCTGCATGCGTAATGAATGGCAACTCTCTCCAAAAAACTAGTTTATGTTACTTCCAGGGGCACGCACAGAATGCATGATATCATGTTATGGTGTAATAACCCTTTCCTTTCCAATTTTTATTGGTTCTTTGAGTTTTGGATGGTTTTCTTGAAGTTGCCATAAGGAAACATTGGGAGAGAAGGGGTTGATTTTGCAGGTAGTATAACATACCTTGTCATTTCTTGTCTTCTATATTCTAGCAAATCAGGAGCATCTTCACAGTGTGGATGTAACATATATTACAGACATGATCAAGGCATATGACTCGACAATGTTTTTTGGTGACCTTCAGGTAGTTTTCAAAACAAAATTTTAGCAAGATCTTTCTATTGATTTCTGGGTTTTTTTCACCATAGAATAAAGATGACAGATTCAACATGGTCGAGAAAATTCTTCATCATGTTGAAGTTGCATGTGGTTTTCGCAAAGGCATTAACCCCCTCTTGCTTTCTGCCACAAAACATTTATATAGCTTTGATGACATGATGACACCATGATTCATAAACTTAAGTTCTCTTATTTTACATTCTTACACTGTAAATAAAAAGCAAGGCCAGCCATTGGAAGATCAATTTATTGGAGGGAGGCTTAAAGGAACTTTAACTTTAATTGCCTCACCATGCATATATGAATATGAACCCTCCCCCCCCTTAATTATCAGTCTTCTCATAAACGAATATGAACCCCCCCCAATTATCAACCTTCTGACAGCACTGTAAAGGGAAGTAAAACAAAGACCTCATCTATCTAATCATGTTGTGATTTGCCTATAAAAAACTTGTGACTTTGTTCACATCAATAACACAAACTAATGAAAAAATATTTTGACACAACTTCAAAATTGTAAAAATGTAGTAAATAATGGCCAGCTTTCTTGTTCTACATGAATGTTATATTATTTTTGTTGTAAAGCTGCAATATTATATACTTCCATCTGTTCCTCAATGTTTGTTCTATCCATCAATATCCACAAGCTTCACACCTGTTTACCTACATCATCCTATATGTTTCCTTCTATTTCAAACATAGTAATGTTCAATATGGCTGATAACGATAGCCTTGAGTATGACTTTGTTGGGGAGCTTGTGGTTGAAAATTCTATTAACAAAAGGGAAAACATTAAGCTGTTTTTATCTGATACTTCTACCGTTACTGGCCGTAAAAATTTAAATGATGGTTTCCTGAGGGAGGGGTGGTGGTAAGGTACCTCCTAGCCTTGGTTAGAGGTGCAGCAAGGGAGGTTGCAAGTACCAAGAAATTAAGCAAAATCAATTGTGTGATATAATGGTATAGAAGTAGGGTAACAAAATACTAATATGATACTGATACTGCAAAATAATGATACTGCAAAATGATATCAACAAAACAGCCTCTACAATCTAATTGAAACCAGACCACTCCATCTAAGTCCATTCCTAAAAATTGCAACATCCATTTCAAATAAATGCAGTTTGAATACTAACCGTAGGATACCCAGCACCATATCCACTGTTGTATGGAGTTGCACCTTGTCCTCCAAAATTAGCCCCATATCCTGCACCATATCCCCCTCCATATGATGGCTGAGGTCCATGCTGACCATAATTGCTGAATGATGAGAGAGAAAGATGGCTATGAGAAAAATTATAGTGAACAAGTGAAATGAGAGAGACAAAATTATGCAAATAAAAGTATTGAAGATTGCTGTGAAGTTTGTTTTGAATTACTACTAAATGCAGGGGGGAAGGTGAAGGTAGAGTCTTATGTTATTTTTCAAATATACTACATACTGAGTTATTCACTTAAGTAATATAGATTTTAAAGCCAAAAATTTAAAACTAGCACTAGACTTAATTTACCACTCCACCTCCCCCAAATATTTGTCAAGAGTTTGCTCCTGACTAGTAAACTATAAATTAAGATAAGTTGCTTGCTGAGTATTCATACTGGCCTCAAAATACTTGCTGGTGTACAAAAACAAGGTATTAATTGACTGTGGATGATTGTATCAGTTTTATTCTGAGACTCCAACAGTTCATTACATAGATGTAGATTTATGGATATGGACAAAAACTTAGGCACAGAAAATAGGCAAACTCAACATTCAGCCTTACAGCTTGTATTGAACGTGGGAATGTAATTAATTCAATTTTCATCAAAATACAGCCAATGTTTAGAGTTTTGTAAAACCAACTGTTACAAAACAACTTACTGAAAAGCATCCTGGCCATGTGGAGGTGGATTGTAACCCTGAAATCAATAAATTCAATGAAATACATAAGTTTGCATGTATTGTAATAGTTTCAAAGGAAAAATTCATAAAATGAGAAAAATTGTAAAGTATCCTACTATGTTATGTAAATTCCCTAAATTATTATTCACTTTTGAATCAAGTTTAAAAATGTGCTTGTTTTTGAGGCATAAAGCTCTTAAACAATCAAAATCTTTCTTGGATTCTTTCACACATGAAGATCTTGACAGGCATGTAAAATCAATGAAATATATTAACTCATGTGAGATTGCATTGCAGTGAAACTTGTTGCACTATTTAGCAACTAATAAAATATGCAAATATAACCAAACACTGAGCTCAGTGAACGCTTAATAGGCATCTTGTTTGTTGTACATGCAAAGGAAATTTGAGTGGTCAGCAATTCTTCTTTCAAAAATAGCAAAACTCAAAAAACAATGTTCTTAATTATTCAAAGCTAGAATTTCCAACCTGATTCATGCCATATCCTTGATAGAAACTAAATAAAAAAAATTTAATGTCATCTTTGTAAACTCCACACTTTTGAACAAGGAGTAAATTTAAGGTAAGTTTAAGACAATAGGGGAGGGCAGACAAGCCCCCCACCACATTTCATTACGTGTTCCATGTCTCATGCTTATAGCTTAGAGGCTTCATACCATATAATTATCCATAAAGTTTGGTATTTTCACAATACACTATGAACCGCTATATTTATAAATTATAAATAATCTTGAAAATTACCTATGATTTTGATATCCACCATGCATTCCACCACGACCCCGTCGACCTCCTCTCATACCTCTATTGTTTCCTCCTAACAATCATCAATTGCAATAAAATGTGAATATTTCATCAATAATAGACAATATCTGCTCTTGCAATATGCATGCAATGAAGAATGGGATGTAAGGTAAAGGTTTCATCATATTAGCTTGAAGTAATATGATAATCATGTCATTTCCCAAAAAGATCAAATTAACAGTTTGCAAATGCAATTTCACACTGTTTTCACCAGAACTCGGGGAATTAAACTTCTTATTTTGAAATGAACATGCTTTGGCTAGCATTTCAAAACACCATATTATGTTAGCCCTTAAAAAATTACACACTGCCTTTCCTCAACTATTCTAAACCTGCCTCCCATCCTTCAAATGCATACATAATTCAAAAAGCAAGAATTGTCTATTAGACCATTTATAAATAACTGAAGTATATTTCAGTGCTACAACATATCATACATCACCAATCTTCCAGTATCACCTTCATACAAATATTTGATAGTATACATTACGTGCAACATGCAACATGCAAGAGACTTCTGCAACATGCAACAGAGTTTCATCTTTCGAGCAGCATGCAGTACCATGAAAATTCCCTCGATTGGACTGACCCACCATGGGGCCACGTTTTGGCCTTGGCGTAGCATTGTTAACCTGCATGAAGAGAATTATTGTTGAGCATGCAACATGCAACCATGCATAAAGACCTCAAGTTTTCATAACTTTGCTAGATTTATTCGAGAAAATATACACTTCAAAGCAACCATTATCCAATTTGTACCCCCATAAAAATACTACTATACCTCTATCTTTCTTCCATCTATGATAGTACCATTGAGATTTTCTCTGGCCTTCATTGCATCGGCAACATTAACCATGGTCACAAATCCAAAACCCTGAATTCAATATGAAATTTATGTTTATTTTCATTCATGAAAACATTCTTTTGGATGCAATGATGGATCAACAATGATTTTGTGGGGAGGGAGGGAGTTGGTCTTCTCCAATATACATAAATCCCTATTGCTCTGGTTCATATCTTTGTATATTACTATTTCATTGAGAACTGGCAAACCTCTGGCATCTCTCTTACACCTCCTCTTGCACCACCTCTTGCATCCCTCTTACACCCACTTTTGCATCCCTCTTTCACCACTCTTACACCCCCTCTTGCATCCCTCTCACTCTTACACCCCTCTTGCATCCCTCTTGCACCCCTCTTTCACCACTCTTACACCTCCTGTTGCATCCCTCTTGCACCACTCTTACACCCCCTCTTGCATCCCTCTTGCACCACTCTTACACCCCTCTTGCATCCCTCTTGAACCACTTTTACACCCCCTCTTGCATGCCTCTTGCACAACTCTTACACCCCCTCTAGTTAAGGTTGGAAGAATGCACACCGATATCTGCCTTCCAAAAAATTCAACCCAGTTTGTACAAAAGACAAAAAGTTACATATACATGTTTGTACATGTTGACTGTAGTCCTGAGAAGAACTGTTGGTAATAGTGTTGACCAATGTTTTGTAGATATTAAAGATGTCAAAAACACCAGTGAATGTTCATTAACACCAACAGTCCTAAAGAACACACTGACCTTGGTGATAAATACATAATTACTAGTAACAATACTCAATGGATGATACCATTCACTTTCAAGTTATAAATTGAAGACATTTGAAGATTTTACAAGGTTATTACTGTTGAAAGGCTTCATATGGCTTCATTGTTCACAAAAATGATTGGTATAGTAACATGATACGCAGAAAAACTTCATATTGTGAGGCTCGTTTGACGGGAAAACTGCAGATCTTTTTTTTAACAAACTTGAACCTTTGGACGAAAAAATTAACACTGCTTATTACCTTGGATCCTCGCTCATTATAAATTATCTCGGCTTCGAAAATTTCACCATATTTCTAAAAAGAATGGAACGTTACCAGCCGCAATATTTTTTGAACAAATGAAATATACTTCAAAATGCTATTTATACCCCAAACATGTCGTGAAGATCGTTATCTCGTATCCTAAATGGTAAATTTGTAACGTGGAGTCTCTTTGAGCCCGAAGACACTTCCGTAGCTGTGGAATTTGTAGTTGATTGATCAACTGAGCTGATTGGAGCTGAACTTGGAATTGGGCTGGTTTCACTCATACTGCTGTATTTCTGGATCAATAATGCGCTGCTGTAAAGACTTTAATCTCTTGAATTCAACGTGATTTCTCATCAAATTTCACCCAAGGACTTCGTTTTACACCATGAAAATATCTACTGAGTCGTTGACGACCTATATATTTATAATGAGAAGATAGCAGTTTCTTTAAACAGAGACCTTAGGCCTTTACAGGTTTACAAGTAATGTAAAATGTGTGGCAAATATACACCATCATAACTTCCATTCTTCGCTTTGCTTTTGGTAAATAACTCTATAGAAGAAGTGCATACATAACTTAACTTACCCTATATAAACAACAGAACGAGCGAATACTTTAAATTTTGAACAAAAACTCTTCCTAAAATTTGAGGATTGTTGTCGTAAATATTTAGTACGCTGGTAGAATGCAGAACGTCCACCCGATTCGTCGTTTTATTTCTCCCGATAAAGAAGTCGAAGTCTAGTTAAAATGAGCCTCACAAACACCTCGAAGTTAAGCAAAGCGTGGCAAAGTTTCCACGTATGTAAAATCTTAAACATGACATGAAATTATTTTTTAGTATAAGGATACTAGACTTCACTACTCTGGTGATTTGAGTTTTTAAAAACACATAATTTTTTTCATGTGCAATAACCCAGTTCCAAAACATAAAAAAAGATCAGCGACTATTTCCCAGTCTTAATAATATTTCACATGCAGCCTCGGTCAAATGAAATGTTATGATTTGACATATCAACATTAATTCAATACAAAATGCCGGGACTGAAAATTCAATGCGAACCTTTACCGCCGAAATTTAATCAACCAGGGCTGCCGCATAGCCTTTATACAGCGGTAGTCGTTTTCAGGGTCAAAAGAGCAAAGGAAACAGTTACGATGTTGAAGTAGTTTTACAGGTAAATAACTTTCATTGTTTTTGGCGCTCGAATTTCAATTGCGCGCCAACGTCCGAGTACAAAATTAAATGTTATTTCTTGTAGCACGTTGATGAAGAAAACGCGTTTCTTTGTGGCTATCTAAAAATAATAGGTTTAACAGAGGTAAAGTTGATCTTTAATTTAGGTATCTAGTAAATGTTGTTTTAAAATGTTTATATGTTATCAATTTATACGTTTTTTATTATTTATTTAATCAGTGTCTTGTACTTAGGGATTCTCCAATTACTTGTACAAATATGTACATATTGGAAAGCTGTGACATTGAAACTTTGTTTGTCCATGTTTGTTTAGGAATATCCATTATTAACCACATATTTTGATGGTGAAATAATTTGTGATAAACATCCATTTCTAACAAGAAAATGGGTAAGTCTGAGTAGAAGTGACAAGGTTTTTCTTTTATTTCAACTTTGAAAACCACATAATTTTTCTACTTGTGACACTTGCAACTTTTTTTTATCATTCATTGTATCATTTAGCATCAAAAAGGAGTGAGAAAAATATTTTCCTTTATACATACTTCTAGCAAAGTTTACCATTTGTTTTCACATTTCTTGCTTAATATTTCAACTTCTAAATATTGCTTCAATACAAATGGAAAATCCCAGTTTTTTTAAACAAAATCACACTTTATTAATAATAAATTTTTTTCTTCAGGAGGCAAACGAAGAAGTTGACAGAAAACACTGGGTTTGAAATTGCTATTTTGTTCAAAATCACACCATTTTCAGGGCCAGGGAATTTTACTTTGTTGTATTTGTATGTATTTTTTTAGGGAAAGTTCCCTCTATTTTATCAATTTGCCAAGAATTTCAACAGCGATAACTTTGATTACAGACAGCTAAATAATTTGGACTTTGCATTCATGAGGTGGAAAGTAAGTTACTTCTCGATATTTATGATGAAAAATATAGAAAATGAACTTTGGATGAATACATATGCCTAAAGATCTTTCTGATCTAAGTACGTTCCTTGAAGATAACAGTAAAATCCTATATAAGATCCTACTGTATCTGCATATGACAGAAATAAGATTCCTGTGCATGATCTTACATGATCTCTAGCTTAGAATCTTAAAGCAATACCCTGAAAAGCAATACCCTGAAATCTATCACTTATAACCATTTTTATTAGGCAAAAAGGGGTGGTTACCAAGCATAGACTTTAATATGTAATATCCTTGACATGGCCTGATCTTTTTGACTTGAGGATGTAGCACCTTTGGTCTTTTCAAAAAACATAAGTCTTAAACACAGTATAGAGAACATATAGTAGAGCCACTCCATTGAATTTTTTTGTGCCACGTGGCAGCCAGTCAACTGCAATTTATAGGTTGACACCTCTAACCCTCCAAGTAGATATGACCCGGTCTAGTGTATGATAGATATCAACGTACCTTTCATTGTTATGAATTCTTCTTCACTTTTCAGGAACATTTTCTTGTACCAGACCATACAATTAAAGACATAAACGGTGCTTCGTTTGCCGGCTTCTATTACATATGTTTCCAAAAGTCCACAGCAACCATGGAAGGCTACTATTATCACAAAACATCCGAATGGTAAACAGAATTTATGGAAAAATGAAGTGAAGTGTCTGTGATTACAAATTCATTTTCTGTTGCAGGTTTCAGACATTAAACCTTCATCATGTTCCTGATCATAGTCCATCTATCTTTGAGTTCAGATGATATTACTTTCGTAAATAAAAAACTGTCAACCAATACCTAATTATTGCCTCCACTTGTAAAACTCTATCTACTCGAAAAGCTATTAATCAACTATATGAACATACATTGTCCAGCTACTAACAAATACTAAAATACTAAAAATTTTTATGTCTTAAGTAAACAATATGTCACTTCTCAAAACAGAGTTCTGGAGTTTGTTCAATTGATCTTTTGTGATTTATTAACATTAGGCATTGAACTGTGAGCATGACAGAATTAATATGAGTTCATTGATTTTACAAACATTGGATTTCACAAAAAAAACATATGGTTGATAATTTGACACAAAGCATGATGAAGATACTTTGTGTTTTTAACAAATGTTAGAGCTTTGTTTTGAAAGTGGACTGAATTAAATACCAACTGCATAAATTATGCAGTCTAAATCTTGCAAATATATAAATAAAAAATGCTTTCAATAAAAACACAAAACTGAGTTGACAGTGTGGTTTAATGGGCAGTTTTGGAAAAGAGGTTTCAGTGAGTTAATCAAAGAAAATCATTGAATATATTACTTTGTGATATACATGCAAAAATACTTGAGTCTGTTTTTAACAATGCCTGAAATTGTAATTTGGTGCCAAATTACAATTGAGTTTTTAGCATTGCATTGCATTTGGAATAATGCACTGTTCTTTAACCAATCACATTAAAGAAATTGAATCTTGTATGTTGTAGAAGAATTTGTGAAATCATTTCTATTGAAATTGGAACTGATTTATTTATCCATTTTCCACCAACTATTCTTATCCAGTGCATTTGAAACAACCAGAAACATCTCGGTCGTAGGAACAGAAATTTCGTTGGCAAGGAAGTCAATCAAACTGTCCTCATTTCCAATGCACTCAGGTTGAGAAAGTTTTGAGTCAAGATTATAATACCTTCCATTGATATAACGTACTGCCAGCCAATGCCGTCGATTTAAAGGAATTGGTAAGCCAAAGACATTCGGTTTATAGAGCTTATTAATGACAAAACCAAAGACATGAAATAAATTTATGGAGTTCAAATTCCTATAGGTAATAAAAGAAATTTATGGGAAGAAGAATCGGGTAAAGAAAGGTTACTTCTGGTGTTAGATAAAATGTAGGACTTGTGAAATCAAGGTATTTTGAAAAATGAACTTGGTCTAAATCAAACCACTCCTTTTATTAGTTGGTCAGTCTTTGTCTGGATGAAGTGGTGCTTCCAGGTCCATAATTTGGGAGGAGGAGAAGGGAGGGAGAAAACCTTCGAAAATGCATCTTTTGCCTCATCATGTTCTTTTGAAATCAATCAAATGTTTCTGAGGTGTTAGCATATACGAATATCCCCTCCCTGCAAATTATGAAACTGTCAGCAACAATGTCTTGAAGTATAACTGCACACATGCAAGACCAGAGATAAAGAGGGTGATGACAGTCTCAATTCATCTTTGTGAAATCAAACTCCTATGAAGAAAAACTTCATTATAAGGGGTGTTTAACTGAAGTTGTTAACTTCTGTTGATCAATCAATGCGTCTTAAGAAATAACGTACAAAAAATTTTTTCCAATTGCTGACTTACTTCCGTTTATCAAACCAGATCAATTGATAATGTTTGAGCTCCAAAGCCGCAGACAATACATTCACATCGTAATTTCCCAAACCAAAAATACTTTTGTGAGGATTAAGCTTCGCGTGAGAATTCAGAGAATTGCAAATATCATCCAAATCTTGCTTAGCGAACACTGAAGCTTGGAAGAGATTGTTAAGAGCGTGAAGTGCACAAAACTGTAATCTTTGACGTTCATGGTACATCTAGGCTTCAAATATGATTCCTTACACATCCACCTATTTAAAACATCTTCAGCTACAAGTCAGACATGTCGTCGTTCGATATAGAAAATATTCAACAGATATCCAAGAAAATATTGCCCGCGTTGGCGCAACGTAGCCTGGGAACTACGTCACTTTTTTTCTTCAAACTTTAATGCTATAGAAAGGAATTCAAACGAGCTCTAGGATTTTAGAATTTCGTTTGGTAGTAAGAAATTGCATCAGAAAAAATCTAGATGTAAATGACAATTGGATTACGGCCTTTGGTGAGTGTATCCAAAGCATTTGAAGGAGAAAGTTTGAAAGGAAGACCTTGGAAACCAATGGTTTTTTGACAATGAAAGAAACGTGGCAGTAGATAGTATTATTGAATGAATCTTTTGTAGAAATCAAACGTAGCAGAGGTTTTTTACAGTAGGTGCAATACTTTATTATGTTCAATTTGTTGAATGCTAATCAGTTTGGTTTTTGACTTATATTTGTGGACAAATGATCATAAGGCTTGAGCAGGCGAATGTCAATGTCTTTTGTAGTAAGTTGGATTATGGCAGATAACAGGAATAGCCCGATATGTTTTGATGCTGATATTAACCTCTTTGCTCCTGTCGAGAAAGAAAATTGTGCGTTGAATGGGGAAGCACATGATACACGAACGTTGTCTTGTGCGAAGGTTTATTTACAATTTTCCTTATTAAAAATTTGAACCTTTCGTTTATGATACAGGCGAACAGTTGGCCAACCTGACTTTTTTACCAATGTTTGGCAAATATTTTAGTGATAATTTAATGCATAAGTTTAGTTTTTAGAAAAAAAAGTCTGTGAATGAAAATTTGATCTTACTTTACCTCTATTGTCAACATCTATAGAACAGGCATATTCACTGTGTCACAGTATAGGGAGTATACAGTAGGGCCACTTCTCTGTGCAATTGGCTGCTGTATATTTAATAAGATTACTGGCTGTTGTAAGCCATTTCATCATTCCTATTGGTTGAAAAAAGCAATTGACTGGCTGCCACTATGGTAATCACATGCACAATGAGATATGTGTGGCACAAAAAAATTCAATGGAATGGCTCTACTGTATGTTCTCTATACAGGGGCTGTGTTTAGTTCTGTGTTAGTGGTAATAGTTTAGCAAGTGAGTGTTAGAATAAAATAGGACATGCACATTTTCAAATGATCAAAATGGCGAAAAAATTATTGGAGGGAGAGGGGGGTCATAGTCCCTTTACCCTTCTCCAATGTCCCTGAGGATTGCTTGTTTTTCGCCACATAGCTTAATTTTGTCATTTGCATTGTTTCAGACAATGCTGGTCAGTCCTAATGATGATGAATATGACTTGTTGCTATGGCAACTACAGCAGATGTTACGAGATGGAAATGGCGAAACAATCTATGAAATTGGTGTTGGCGGTATTGAATTTGTTTATTAATGGCATTTTCTTATTTCATGATTTGTTGTTTTCAATGTTTTGAAATGGAAAACGTCGGTTTCTTTTTTCTTAGATGGAGATTCAAGTGGTCTGAATGAAGATGATCTTTTAGCTTCCATTGCTACGCTGGAAAGCTTGGCAAAATGCTGTGGTGTCGAAATGCTTTCTCTTCGTGAGAAACTCACTGCAAATGGTGGCAAAATAGTTGAATATTTACTGCGTAACACAGTAAAAGATGAAGATTTCATTGAAGTTCGGTACGCATCTAAAACCAAATCCTGCTCTTCTGTCAATGAGATTATTTAGTTGTTTATTTCAAGCATATCCTTTGCTTCAGAGTTGCTGTTGTAGGAAATGTTGATGCCGGTAAAAGTACTTTACTTGGTGTTCTTACTCATGGGGAACTGGACAATGGCCGAGGTTTTGCTCGCCAGAAACTCTTTCGACATAAACATGAAGTTGAGTCTGGACGTACAAGCAGTGTTGGAAATGATATTCTCGGTTTTGACAGTCAAGGGAATGTAATTAACAAAGCTGAGGTTCATGGTGGGTTTAAATCATCAAATTGACTTTGGACTTATTGGATCATATAAATTTGAACATCAATTTTTTCAGGAAGCAATGTGGACTGGCAGAGAATTTGTCGGGAGTCATCTAAAGTAATGTCAAAATGTTGTATTTAAAGCTAGCAAATACTAGCACTGCATTTAAAAGTTGCTAGTGGTGAAATGTTACTTGGAAAGTTGACTCCTTTTCTGTTTGTTAGGTCATAACTTTCATAGACTTGGCTGGTCATGAAAAATACTTGAAAACAACAATATTTGGCATGACAGGTCATGCTCCAGATTTTGCAATGTTGATGGTAGGCACTGGCAATGAACTTTAAAAAATACCCTTGAGAAATATACATATAAATATACATTTCTTATACCAAACAGGTTGGTGCAAATGCTGGAATAATTGGCATGACCAAAGGTAGGAATTTAGATTAAAAAATGATCAAGGGACATTTTAAAATCATATATATTTTATATTTACCTGCATTGAAGAACCTATATCAGGGTCAGGGAAATAACAAAACTAGATTCTTCGTTAAATTGATTCATTGAAAATTTGCAGAATATTTCATTGGTTCAAAATTTTATTGCAACAGACTTTTAGGGCTAGAAAAAGGCGACTCGTCACCGGAAGTGACGTAAATAGGAGAGCACACTCATTTTGTAAAGAAAAGACACCGTTTAATTTTTAGAATTTTAGTAAAAATAGCGTCGGAACAGCTCTACTGTTTAAAACGTTATTGTTTGTTACAAACCTGTATAATAAAAGCCACATCCCGATGCAAGTACTTCTACTTCTAGCCGCGAAGGTCCATGTGAAGATAAACGTTTTGTCCTACAAATAAAATTTAAACTGCTATAGTTGGGAGAATCTCTCGTCCATACGCAGTTTAAAGAGATTTGACTCAGGTCAACATCTAGAACGGCAGACTAGTATCCCAAAGGTGCGAGTTCAAATCTCGTCCAAGTTACATGTTTTTCATGTGCACATAAAAACCGTGTTAGGATTAATATATTATATATATTCTCTGATGATAGCTTTGGAATAATTATATTTCAAATGTTCTTGTATCAATCAACTATCTAAAGAAATTCTTTCCTGATACAGATGTACGCAAATCTAAGTTTCTTATATGTATATACGTACCTTTCTCCTAGAACATCTTGGGTTATCATTAGCTTTGAACGTGCCTGTGTTTGTCGTCGTTACAAAAATTGACATGTGTCCTCCCAATGTTCTGCACGATACACTAAAACTTCTCGTCAGAGTCTTAAAATCTCCTGGTTGTCGTAAAATTCCAATGATGATTCAGAATAAAGATGATGTGGTCGTGTCTGCTACGAACTTTGTCTCAGAAAGGTAAATGTATATTTCAAGAGTCAATACACTTGTAGAAATCTTAACAAAGAAATCTTATTGAAACTTTAGATCCTGAAACTAGATCTAGAAACTTTCTACACTTGTAGAAATCTTAACGAAGAAATCTTATTGAAACTTTAGATCCTGAAACTAGATCTAGAAACTTTCTACACTTGTAGAAATCTTAACAAAGAAATCATATTGAAACTTTAGATCTTGAAACTAGATCTAGAAACTTTCTACACTTGTAGAAATCTTAACAAAGAAATCTTATTGAAACTTTAGATCCTGAAACTAGATCTAGAAACTTTCTACACTTGTAGAAATCTTAACAAAGAAATCTTATTGAAACTTTACATCCTATTAGATCTTAAAAGATCTTAAATAAGATCCTGCAAAGATGTTATACAGGATCCTATCGGGATCTTAGCTACGGGATCAAAGATGTTATACAGGATCCTATCGGGATCTTAGCTACGTGAGATCTTACCATGGGATTCTATAAACCTTATTTAAGATCTTGTAGGATCTTATTTAACATCCTTTAAGATCTTGATCCACCCAATACGTATGCAAAATATGTTTACCATTATCGCGGACAGCTCCAAGACTTCTTTACCGTTGCGTCTTTGATACAACCCTGCATAATTTTTCAAAGTTGCGATGATGAGAAGCATTTTAAGAATCATACACTCTAATTGACGATTTCCTCTTTGAGTGGAATACAATTACATCGACTTTTTTGTCGTCATTGATATTGTTTTGCTCATGAGCCATTCTCCTCAAGTATTAAATTTAATTTTTTTTCAGAGTCTGTCCAATATTTCAGGTCTCAAATGTCACAGGTATTAACCTAGACCTGCTGAAGATGTTCCTCAACCTTCTGTCATCTGGTGGTGACTATAGCGAATCAGATCCGGCAGAGTTTCAAGTGGACGAAACCTATTCTGTTCCAGTAAGTGATTATAAAGTGATCTTCCTTAAAGTTAGATAAATAAAGGCTATCTTAACAACAATTTGTCATCTACATGTAATTTTAGTTCTCGATTACATTCTAATGACTTCTTCTAATGACTTCTTTTAATGAGTTCTTCTAATGACTTCTTCTAATGACTTCTTCTAATGAATTCTTCTACCAACTATTTTCATTAAATAATTGTTTTTCCATAGATAATGATTAGTTGATACAACTGATTGACTTAATGGTTGTAGCTTTCAGTATGTATAAAATTATATGTGCTGTCTATCCATAATCTGCTAACACGGTGATTAGATTACGGATTACTTCCTTTGCAAGCGAGATTGCTTCCGTTATGATGAAGTATCAATGAAAATAAATGAAATCTATGCACCTCAAACTTTCCCTACAGTTTTCTCCTCGCTTCTTCCTTAAGGGTGTCGGTACTGTGATATCCGGGACCTGTCTTAAGGGCACGATACGTTTAAATGACGTGCTTCTACTCGGACCAGACTCCCTAGGGCAATTCGCGCCGGTTTCCATAAAAGGCATCCATCGCAAGCGAATGCCAGTACGCGAAGTGCGTGGTGGACAAACTTGTTCTTTCGCGTTAAAGAAGGTAAGAATATTTGAGGGGTTTTTTTTTCACAACACTTACAGGAAAACTGGATAAACAATTTTTGGCATTTACTGTTTACTGTTTAGATTAAACGCAATCAAATACGAAAAGGAATGTTTTTGGTGGATGAACGATTAAAACCAACTGCATGCTGGGAGTTCGAAGGAGAGATTCTTGTCCTTCATCATCCTACAACCATAAGTCCAAAATATCAAGCCATGGGTGAGTTGATGTATTGTTCATGTTTACATTGGCAGCTTACATTACATTGTTTGTTAATGTCTCAACTCTTACATTATATTACTTTATCTGAAAAAGACGATATTCAACCTTTGACTCCTGAAGTTCTGGAGTATGCAAGGAATTAAATTTTAATGTCAGGTCCCGCCTGATTAATACACTAGACTAGAATATCATTTCAGTTTCAATATCTAATTCCAGCAAAGATTTCCATCAGATTACTCCTGTTGAATAGTAGAGAAGACTGGACTTATATAACAACCAAAGTTTCAACATCAGATCATATCTGATGTAGACACTAGACTGGAGTATATAAGAACTAAAGTTTCAACATCAGATCACTCCTGATGAAGACACTAGACTGGAGTATATAAGAACTAAAGTTTCAACATCAGATCACTCCTATTGAAGATATTAGACTGGAGTATATAAGAATCCTACTTTCAACGTCATCACACCAAAATGGATAGTGACTTGACCTAACGTAACCTCTTTATTTCTCAGTCCATTGTGGCAGCATTCGTCAAACAGCGACGATCTTATCAATGAACAAAGACCACCTACGAACGGGCGACAAAGCTTTGGTTCATTTCCAGTTCATCAAGCAACCAGAATTTTTAAAACTTGGAACGCGCATGGTATTTCGGGAAGGAAGAACGAAGGCCGTCGGAACGATAGTCAATATATCACCAAATCCTCCACCAAAATCAACAACCGTTAATAAACTAAAACCACGTGTTCACCATAACAAACATCGTTATAACAGGAAGAAGAAAAAGACGACAACATCCAATACAGAGCAAAAACATGAAAGTTAAATATAGATGATTTTTGAATCATAAACCGGAGATTTAGAACTTGCGGGAGGAAGTCCCGTTGCATTGTAGATATGTCTTTAAGAACGCGATCATTCATGTCAAGTAAAGTAAGGTTGAAAAGTTAAATTATATATGTTTAGATGATCTGTCGCATTTGTGGGTAAAAATTTATAGCGAATATCTTCGTTGAAAAGAATGAAGATTATGATTACAAAAACATACACCATTGTCAAAGAAAAGAATCTTTACATTTGAACGGTCATGCTGCAAACGAAAAGAGAGCGCCCATTCCATGCAAGGTGTGTATTTTCTGATATTCTTTTTTGATTTATTTGTAAACCGCATGGCTCATCTGCGTGGCAAATATGGATTATCTGTTAACTTGTATTGTACAATACTCGAAAATTCAATAAAAATTAAGTGACGGAAATTTCTCGCTAGCCCGAAGCCGCCATGTTAGGGCCTGTTCATATAAAAGCCGAGCTGGCTCGCTTACCGTTATGCAAGATCTCCCTACGTAGTAGATATATCAAAAATCTCTTTTCGTTTATATGGCGACATGGGCTGGCCCGCTTACCGAGATCTCACTTGGCAAAAGCGAGATCTCGCCTGCCGGGATGAATTTTTCTTATGTAAACACTCAACTGCCGAGCTAGCGTATGATGACATATTAAAATGGCAGAATGCATGCTTTGCAAAAGCTAGCAAAAAAGTCATAAGAATGGTTCAAAGAAAGAGCTTTCGCTGCGACACAAAGATGATGGAGCATTTGATCGATAATCTCTCTGATTATAAATAGAAGATGCTTTATAAAAGTCTTCATTTTGACAGCGAAAAACGTCTCGGCAAGCGAGAGGAACGTCATATGAACACATCAAAAATTCATCTCGCTTACCGGGCTGTCCCGCTAAGCGGGCCAGCCCAGCTTCGTATAAACAGCCCATTTTAATCATCTTACGGATGTGAAATCAACGAGCAACGCATGCGCTATGGTGATCTTTACCGAATTGCGCATATTTTGGAGGAAGTACGAATGAACACAGAACAGTTCACAAAGCCTTTGAATGAAAATATTTAACAAATAGATAACATTCAACCGTTGTCTTTTCAGTTATAGATACACGGTATGACGTCACTCGCCATAAACGTCATACACTCTTGTTTTTACTGTTTTTGTATGCATGCAAAATCCTGATTTGTATTGAGAAGGTAATGTATTGTACTCAATACAAATAACTATAAACAAAGCATGAGCATGCCATTTCTGATGGTCATTAAATAGTACATTACAAAAAAAATCGTGAATAACCAAACTGGCGAAAAAAATATCTTGCGTAAAATTTTTACCAGTAATAAATGATCCCCTTTTACCAGTCCCCTCCCTCAATTTACGATATTCACTCCCCGATTAGATCGAATAGAAAAAGTGCCAAAGAATATTTTTAATAGAATGACGATGAAAAATGAATAGGTATATTCTAAAAATTGGAAAAAATATCAAAACTTTCATACATAGTGACAGAAGATGTATGGTATGAATGTTACAAGCGTAGCCAGGGAGAGGTGGGGATTTCCCTTCTTTTTCATTACAATTTCAAATTCTAAAGGTTGTTTTTTTGGCACATCTTAAGTTGCTTACCTCTCCCCATCGATGTGATATTATAACATGAATATAAATAAAGATAATGTTTAAGGAAAAGACGCATCGCATAGTACATGTTAGCCTCCACTTAACTCCTGTAAAATTCCTTCCTTGACGTTTCCACTAAGTTGGACTAACTGCAATTTTTCTCCGTTCGCGTTTTTTGAGATGTGGACTTGAGTGGTGGACAGGTGTTTACTCGTTCTCTCATTAACTATAACACAATAAGAAATTTACAACAGAATTTTATTTTTGACATTAAACAAATTCTAGAGAGCTACGAAACGAAGAACCCGAAACTACATTTTCAGTCTATAATTACTTCAATTGCCATAAGCGCAGCCTGTTCAAGCGTTTGGTGAGGTGATGTAAATTTTTGAACATTAGCATTATTTATTTCTTTAAAAATTTATAGTTTATACAGTGAGTGAAGCACCAAAGTATTTACATAACATGAACAAAGTTGTGAACTGGCTACGTCAAGAAAAATTACAACAAAAAACGACTCAAAAACACAAGAAAATTTGTAATTTAAAATAAAAATAAGGAATAAACGATAGTTAAAAAGAAGAGGTTAAAATTCGTTTGTGTGGTACGTCAGCGTCAACGCATAAAACAGCAACAACGCTCTCAAAAAACCATGTTTCTATTTAACAAATAGATTGCAAGCATTGTCTGTTCACTTATGATGAAAATAATTTCAATATATAATATAACTGGAAAAATATGAGCTCTCATCTGAGCTCAATTAAATTAAATCAATCAATCAATTAAAAAGAATTTGCAAATCAACCATAAATATATTTTAAAGGAAAAATTAAAACGATTCTTTTACATTTGTCATCTTTTGTTAACGCACGAGAACTTCAGTCGCGCAAAAGTCTCGCAGGTTGCGTGGTTTGTGGGAATTTGAATGACGAAAATATAAACAATGTTATTCTAAAACTATAAAATCGATAAATTAATCTTTATGTTTTTAAAAGCCTATTTTATTATGGAAATAGAAAACATTTTTATTTGTTCCTTTTGATTTTTTGAGTTATAAAAGCACTTGTGAAAGTTTGAGAGAAACTCGAAATTGGTTGAAAACACTCGTGCTTGCCACGCAATTTCTCGTTTCTCGAAAACTTTCCCGCGTTTTATATAACTCTAAAGAAACTCGAAATTGGTTGAAAACACTCGCACTTTGTGCTCGTGCTTACCGCGCAATTTCTCGATTCTCGCAAACTTTTCCGCGTTTTATATAACTCTAAAGAAACACGGAAATTGTCTTCTACATTAAAACATATGTAACAGTGTTGATAGTTAGACTCTAGAAATTTTCCACAAATATACCTGTTGAAGGCCATCTTTTCCAGAAGGGACTTTGTAAACACTAAAACAAAAACATCATTTACAAAGAAAATAGATCAGAAATGCAAACCAAGACCAGATATGTTCGAGTCAATGACATACAATCGAAACATTTACGTCAGACTGAAAAGGAAATTCTTGAGATGGTCAAGAAATACTGTCCTTTATAGGTCATGAATCAACTGTTCTTCATAGAACATTATGATATAAACGCAATGAAACGCGTGCGCTGATTGGTCTAGAGCTGTGTTTGCATCAGCCTGTGCAAAACGATCTGAGCTTAACCAATCAAATCATTAAATCAATCAAAGAGAATTTGCAAATCATTCATGAATACACGTTAGAAGAATATTAAAGCGTTTTATTTGTTTTGCATTGTTGTTATTTTATAAAAGAAACAAAAGATGGTTTTCGTGTTAGCACTGACTTATGCAAACCTCGGAGACGTTTGTGAGGACTCTCGAGCTTGTGCAACCCTCAACCTTCGGTCTCGGACTTACACTGATCTGCTCTCGAGTTCTCCCAAAGTTCTCCTTGGTTTGCATAAGCCTGTGCAAACACAGTAAACATTTAAAAAATATTTAAGAAATAAAAGATGTTCACTGTGTTTGCACAGGCTTATGCAAACCGAGGAGACTTTTGGGAGAACTCGAGAGCAGATCACTGTAAGCCTGAGACCGAAGGTCGAGGTTTGAACCTGCTCGAGAGTTCTCACAAACGTCTCCGGTTTGCATAAGTCAGTGCAAACACGAAAACCATCTTTTATTTCTTTTATAAAATAACAACAATGCAAAACAAATAAAACGCTTTAATATTCTGCTGACGTGTATTCATGAATGATTTGCAAATTCTCTTTGATTGATTTAATGATTTGATTGGTTGAGCTCAGATCGTTTTGCATAGGCTAATGCAAACACAGCTCTAGACCAATCAGCGCACGCGTTCCATAAGTTATTTTATAATTCTTAATGACTTAATAGCAAAAATTTGCAAATTTTAAGGCAAACCTTTTTCTTTTTTTCTTTTCTTGAATAACAGACGAAAATTGCGTGAGAAATTTATTTAAGTCTGAGAAAACTTCTTCGGAATATTTTTTCGGAGGTTCACCAAGAAATTTCTAAAAAAAAGGAAAATGTTTATGAATCAACAGAAGGAAAAAGGAAAAAAAGATATATCAACGTACCAGCATGTTTGAATAGCTTTCATTCATTCTGTCACAGCTTTTTTCCAACTTCTTGAGAGATAATTCGTAATCATTGAAAATTTTCTAATATATATAGGAAATGACAACTGTTATCAGTATTAAGCCCTTAATAATCGAGCTCGAGATCTTTATGGAGAAAAAGGACCGAGGTCTTTTTGTACAGACTGAGCCCGTAGGGCGAGTTTTGTACAAAAAGACAGAGGTCTGATATTTCTCAGTAACGACCGAATAAGCGAGGTTATTATATGGCATTATTTGAACTGAAACGAGGCTTGCTTTCTTTCTCTTCCTTGCTCTTTGTACGGGTTGGTTTTCACTTTTATAGTATTCGTTAGTAAAAATTAAATCGTTTAAAATTGTATCGTCTGGATAGTTAAACTGTTTTCTAAGTGTTTTTCCTTCGAATCGCATTCGTAAATGGGTTTTTTGTTTCTTTTATTTTGCGTTATGCTGTTTGCTTTACGAAGTTTGTTTACATTTGACTTTAAAATTACGCGTTTTGGACCGTGGTCGATTATAGGAAAATAATGGACTGGGAAGAATGTTTCTGAGCCAATCAAAGCGAGAAACCATGCTATTACTTCTGTTGGTTTTTAACTTCAGCGTACGACATTTAAGCCGGCAAGTTATTATAATCGACCGGCTCGTATTTTTCAATCCATCAAATATTACAGTCCACGATACTGCAGCTTTTACACACATTTAGCTAGAAAAGGTATCTACTTTTAGCAGTGTTCATATTTTTGTCCGTAAATGTCTTGTAAATTGCTAAACTATAGGACTCCGTCGCCAGAGAATATCTACTTAAACTTACGCCATTGGTTTTGTTTAATTTTGTGTGCAATATTTTAACTTTCCGCCTATGAATTTTTTTATCATGATTGGCTCGTGTGATTACTCTTTATTTGGCTGACCAATCTAGGGCAGTTTAAAAAAATTTTCACAGGTATTTCCTTTTTATGCACTGATATTTGCTGAAATCTGCGCACTACTCTAAGCCACTAGGAACTGAGAAATTTTTCAATGTGTTCATTTATTCAGGAAACCAACAAGGCTGTCGAAAGTCACATGCAGCAAAAGGAAAGGATACAATGACATCGTTATGAAATTCTTTATCTGCCTCGTTGAATTTCGAGTGAAGATTGCGAACTAACTTCTTGCTCGCTGGCAAACTTTTACATAAAACTTTATCAAAGTAAAATGAATATTAACAAATCAACGAGATATAAAATGATACTTGAAATACATTATATGCGATTCTTTACCTTCGACTTCGGCTGTCAAAGCTTTTACTGAAGCTAAAACCAAGATATTAGTTGTATACATAAGTACGAATATATGTGGATGCACTTGGATAAATGAATACACACAAGGGTAACAGGATAAACATGGATATTTGAATGAACATGGATAGCTGAATACACACATGAATAACTAAGTACACACATAGATAACTTAATACCGACATGAACAACTCAATACACACATAGATAACTAAATACACACATGGATAACTCAATACACACATGAATAACTAAATACACACATGGATAACTCAATACACACATAGATAACTACATACGCACATGGGTAACTCAATACACACATAGATAACTACATACGCACATGGGTAACTCAATACACACATAGATAACTCAATACATACATAGATAACTAAATACACACATAGATAACTCAATACACACATAGATAACTTAATACACACATAGATAACTCAATACATACATAGATAACTAAATACACACATAGATAACTCAATACACACATAGATAACTAAATACACATATGAATATCTCAATACACAAGGATAACTGGATATACATGGATAAATGAACACACGCATGGATTATCGTATACACATAGACAATTGAGTACACACATAGATTCTGGATGCACGTGGAAACTGAAGTGAATTTAAATCAGTTGTCTTTGTGAAATTGTGACGGTGGTAGGAGAAATGTACCAACCTTCGGTGACGTCTTTTACACTTGATAAATCTTCAGGTAAAGACAAAGCATCTTTGTTTTTATCATTTAATATATCAACAAGTAGATGCAATAGACTGTAACTACGATCAAGGTCACGTGTTTCGTATAACTGCGAAAGAAAAAAATACGATAATCATAACCTGAAAAAAAGACTGCTTGCTATAACATTATTGCAATGTTTGTGTTTAACGCATTGAGATTTTAAGACAACCTTTGGAAGGGAGGATGTTTGAAAGCCACGGGCTTTCTCAATATTAAGGATGTTCCCAAACGCAAGAATGTATTCCAAGACAACTCGTAATTTTGTGCTTTCAACAACGTCATCACAACATTTTACAACCAATGACACGATCTGCAAAAAGAAACATCGCACAAAAGAAATACTTATGGGTGGATTATTGTTTTAGAAAAATGAAAATACTCACAGATGAAAGTTCTTTGTACTTAAGAGGAAACTCCCTAATACTGTAAATGATATCAAGGCGCTCGTTCAGATCAGGAATTTCACACAACTAAAAACAATGATTTGGTATAACAGATGTTTCGGTGCAACAGATATTTGCTCTTTTTTTCATACTTTCATCATAAATTGATCAGCCTTTGTGAGATCTTTGTTGCCATCTTTGTAATCTTTATACTTTTTCTTATCTTCTCGTTTTGGTAAATGGCTGGGGAAAAAATCAGTACGATTAAGCATTCAAATGCTACTCTTAGCTTCAGCATGAATTAAAACTAATACCTTTTCAAAAATTGAACTTTTTCCAAAGGTAAACCGTCTGTTTCATCAATGCAATTTAACCGCATATCAATATTATTGGCGTTTAATTTTGCAGCCTTTAAGAAGATTTCTGCAAAGAGACCAGATTACGTTGATTGGTTAAAAATACCACCAATAACGTACGTTCTCTTACCCGTCCCGTTACCAGGTTTCTCACCTAAAGTTTGCGCACGTTTCTCATCCATTATTAAAGTCCTCTTTTTTACATTTTGAGCTACAACGATAAAAAAAACATTGTCTAGGCAAACAAACCGACTAACTCTTGATATCATGCTCAATTTCATCCAATAATTGCTTATTATTAAAAGAATATTAACACAGGAATTTCAGCTTCCTAGTTCAGTATTTACATACTATTTTTTCGTTGAAAGATATTTTCTGATAATGCATCGTCTTTTTTCACTTTAAATCGAGATTTGATCATCTCTACATCAAGCTCGTTTATTCTATCTTTGGCCTTACTCCACAGTGAAGAAGAAAACTGAAAAAAAGAAGTTTGAGAAAATTTACAATTGAGCTCGCAACAGGTGCGTTTTAATTAAGAGAGGCAGTTTCTCACCAGTTTGTCGGGAACCTTTATCCAAGGGAGTTGTCGAAACTGAATTGTCGGCTTTGGCTTACACACAGATGGTGGTGGTGGTGGTGGTAGAGGTGGTGGTGGTAGTGCTGATGGTGGTGCTGGTGATGATGCTGGTGATGGTAGTAGTGGTACTTTACCTCCATCTACAGGTGTGGCAGTAGGTACGATTGAGGCACTAGACAAAGACAGTGGGCCAGGCGATGAAGAAACTGAAGTTTTTGAGACAGAATTCTCAAATGCTTCTGATAATTTCTTATTTTCCAGACTAGAATCCTGACAAGATGCAGAGGATTGACTTTTGACTTCAGCTGATAGCTGTTGATTGTCTGAAATAAAGGACATTGGGAAAATGAAAATTAATAAGGGTTTAGAGTGTTCACTTCAATCATGATTACCGTTGTCATTTTTCGATTCTAGAACATGTTTTGAGTTTGAAATATCACTTGGATCAGTTTTGTTAACATTGTCATCCACCTCAGTAGATGCATCACCATCCTCAATCATTGTCGGCAACGTGTGGTTTCTAGGACCGTCAGTGACGTCAATTGGACCAGTTTCATTAACATTTCCATCCACCTCAGTAGATGCACCGTCATCGATAATCTTTCTTCGCAACATGTGGTTTCTAGGACCGTCAGTGACGTCAATTGGACCAGTTTCATTAACATTTCCATCCACCTCAGTAGATGCACCGTCATCGATAATCTTTCTTCGCAACATGTGGTTTCTAGGACCGTCAGTGACGTCAATTGGACCAGTTTCATTAACATTTCCATCCACCTCAGTAGACGCACCGTCATCGATAATCTTTCTTCGCAACATGTGGTTTCTAGGACCGTCAGTGACGTCAATTGGACCAGTTTCATTAACATTTCCATCCACCTCAGTAGACGCACCGTCATCGATAATCTTTCTTTGCAACGAATGCCTTCTTGGACCGTCAGTGACGTCAACTGGAGCGCAATTAAGTTCAAGATTTGAGTTTGAAGAAATCTCACCATTCCTTTTGGATATTGTAGGACGATGAGGGTTCATAGGGAAACTTGAGGTACTGTGCATCGCTACCATTGAATTCCTAAATCAAGTATGTCAGTCGTAGGAGTAAAATCTTTGAATCAAATGATATCTTTACTTACATAGTCCAAGTTAATAAACTTGCTTTTATCTGATGATTCAAGTCTTTCACAATGTCGTCTATTTTTTCCATCTACATAAATCAAGTTACACAATGGTAAAAAAGGGGAATCATTTTTTGGAGTGAATGAAAAACAGTATTTTTGAAGTGTTTCAACTAAACCTGAGCTGTGGCGTGAGATGGTGCATCTAAATCATTCATAATGAACTTCAACTGCCCCAATTCCTTTCAAAACGAAACATATATAACAACGAAATTTAGCATCTTTCCATAATTTAGTTCTGCAGAAATCTTTTTTTCATAAAAACCTTTTGCAAACATTCCACGATATTTTTAAGAGATTTGTCTTGTTCCAAGCCAGAGTTAAGAATATCTAAAGGATGCGAATAGGGAAATCAGAGATGTAGAGCAAACTTATAGCAAACTGTCCTAAAGAGAGTGACGTTAAACGCTCAAAATGTTGTGGTATATTGTTGGGTTTTAATGCTGTACTTTTACTCTTTCTACTGTGGTAAAAAGCATCTCCATGTTAATACAATACTGTCAAAGTGTCAACACGATAAAAACGTCTAGTTCTATGTAAAATATCTCAAAACAAACCTTGCTTGGGTAGCGAAGGAGACGCCAGGGAAGATGTGCCATCCACATAAGGACTTGAAGGCTGAAAAGCTTCTGACAACGCCTAAGTATAAAAAAAACACATCAAAACTTCATACAAGCTATGATTAATGAATTCATTTACGTTGAAAGCGAAGCACTCACTGCAAACCATTCGTCACGTTCTTTCGTTATGGCATCAACATCTTTCATTTTTTTTGGATTCATGATACGAAAACTTTGATCGAAGGAACAAAAGTAATTTTAGCAAATAAACGAAGGTGTAGAGATTTTCTTGGGTAAGTAGAAAACGTGTTTAAAATTACATGTCCGTTAATAATAATCAATAATAGTACTATTTGTTAAAATACAACTGTAATTTCTTAAATAATGAAACAGAGACTTTGTCGTGGTGACAAACTTAAAGATGGATTTCAAAATAGCCCAAGAATGTTAGTGTTCTGGTTAAAACAGTTCTTTTAAGAACTATGACATTGTTATTATCACCATTCACCATGGTATTTGCTATTTTGAAATCCAACTGTAATTTCTATTATCAACGACTTACACATATTCCTTCTTTTGTGCCAACACTTTAAACGCATTATATTCATGTTTTTTGACAGAAGAATGCCCGGGGCCAAGTTTGAAAATGTTTAACGGAGTCTGAGACATAAAAAAAAGACAAAATTGTTACAAAGTAAGTGCCCTACATGATGTATAAATGTCTCACAGAGAAAGGTCGTATACCGCATTCTCTTTGCCGATTTTGTAGCAAGATAATTCTCCTTCTTTTATTCTGATAAATCTCCTACAAAATCATGTACAAGTGGTGAAGATCCACAAGACAACAGGATCTATATTACTTGCGTAATCTATTTGCATACTTTTTCCACGAAAAAAATGTTGCAAATTCAACATGTCCTTCCTTTATAACTTTTTGTTGCAATGTTGAAATTCTTGATCGCGATAAAGGACTTATTTTACCTAGAAATATTTTATACGCGTGTCATTCAGGAAAGAACAAAACTAAAAGATTTTTTTGAGTTTAAAGCAATTCAACAAAATATCATCTTTCTCGAGCCGCAATTTTCAAAACACACCTGATGAAAGAAGCGTGTCTTTGTTCCCCGAAACAATGGCTTCTAAGAAATCACAGATCTGGAAAAGTTCAGAGAAACTTTAGTATGAAAATATAAAACTAAGAGAAAAAAAGCTCGTACCTTGATTTTCTCTTCAGCCGTAGCGGCGTCGCACTCCATTTTATATTCCCCGCAGTCGATAAAAAACTTCAAATCATCCTGGAAAGTTTTAAAATTTTTTCATGATAAATATGCCGTTGTATTCATTTCATTATTGAACCATTTTAAATTTCACAGAGATCTTCCAACACAACATTCAGCAATGCAACTGTGCGGAGCTTTATTGGCAAACTCAACTGACAAAGTTTAAAGTATGGTAACAAAAATATCGCTCATAAACTGTAAAAATAACGGTGTCTAGAACGAGTGGAAATCATTACAGTTCCTATATGAACAATATCAGTCTTGCATGTACTTTTTTCCCCTTTTACGTCCTTCCACCGCGATGTCCCGACTTCCAGGTCCAAAAAGTACATGCAAGACGATGAAATTTTCGACCTATTAAATATATTGCAAATGTTTCTGAAATCGATTTAGCTGTCTAAAAAAGCTATTCCCTAGTGGTCAGTTGCACGAAGCCTGGATAGCAATTTTTTTTAAACGGTTAAAAAACTTTTTAAAAAGGAAAATACAAGATTTGAACCAAGCAATCACTGAAATAAATATTGCTTCTAAGATTACAAAATTTCTTTGTCGTAACGAAAATATAAACACCTTTTTTACAAGTTTGAAAATTTTACTATCTAATGGATAACGCTATCCGGGCTTCGTGCAACCTGCCCCTTACCCTCATGAAATAGGACGACGTGCGGAAGAGTGTTATCAACTCATAAAATATGGCGCATTCATTGCCTACCAAAAAGACTGACTCAATACCATGTTGTGGAAGTTACCTTGCTTTCATAATCACGAATTTCATCAAAACCTATCTGCTTGTCAAACTTTCCCAATCGGATCGTGGATATGGTTTGTTCGTTAAAATCAAACTGCAGGATTTGGCGCTCTGTCTGCTCTTTGTCTTTGGTATGTTTGTACACGCGAAAGTTGGAAATACTGGAACTGCTATTTCCAGTCAGGCCTGTCGAGTCGGCGAATGACATAGCTTCATCAACACTCAACTGACCGCTCTAAAAACATAGGTATAGAGAGTTGTTAATACAATTTTCATCATGACAGATAATTGACGTCTTTGAATAAAGTTAATGCTTTGCATAAAGTTAAAGTTCGCGTAAAGTTTCTCCCGTGATTTTATACATAGCCATAAAATCCGACATCAAAGTTTGGAAAGGTTGTCCTACCCTTTTATATTTTAGAAAATTTTGCTAATTTTGGAAGACACCCTAACCTTTGCAACATAAAAATTAAGAATTTATCGTTTAAATATACCTTGACAAGATTACCAATCAATATTCTTTGTTGTTCTTCTTTCTATAAAGAAATTTAACATCATTATCAATGTGCTCAAAATTAGCGCTTAAATCTTGTTTTAACCGCAAAAGTAGAAAGAATCATGCCCCTAACCAAGAGCTGCACAGGGTGCATGTGCGCACCCACCCCTCCCCCCCACCCACCGCCATAAATCCAGGAGGTCCGTTTTTCAAGCATTCAACTCAAAAAAGATAAACAAGAAAATGAACTTGTTAGTAAAATTCAAGAGTTCAAGCTCAGACCCTCTCGGAAAATTTCGTAAGTGATATTTTATGCATTTCTAGAGCAATTGTATAACTGGTAACAGATGAGTTATGAACTAAGCATTCTTACTTCAAGCAAGGAAAATATTATACACAGTGAAATATTTGAAATACCAAATTACAAAAAACGCTGAAGTGCCTAAAAAATGGGAGGCCAATTTTATTTCAGTGAGGAGCCAATAAGAACGCCTGGGAAGCCACATGGCTCCTCTCTCGAGTGTCAAAATATGCCCAGCTGCTTTCGGTCAGGTAGCTAAATATGAAACGAAAACAACGTTTCCATGCAGTTGCAATAATAGACTCCTTTGAAAACATGTCAACGTTGTAAGTGTAGAATTATTGCAATTAGCGTTTGTCAACAAAACCGCGAAAACATCCAAATTATCTCATTCTAAGAAATGAAAACTTTTGAGATGAAATCGAATTTCTTATATATAACATGACAGAAAGTGTTGGTATCGAATCAGCCAACGATACACAAAAACAAGTTAAAACATGATGCGACATTTTTGCATAAATGCATATGTACAATTTTAACACTTTTATGTAAGAGCAATAAAACAATAAAGATGCAACTAGCGCTAACCAAGTTTTTCTTACATTTTTGGTTTTTGTTATTACGTTAAATTGGAGCTTCTATCGTTGTTTTTGAAATCTTGTATGGCTGCTTGCGCATCGCGATTTGCAGCTGGGGGAGGCTCAGAGGGAGATGGGGCTAAATATAAAAATTACGTTAATATATGCACATTGCTGACAATTTTTATGCACCGGTAGGCTTAGCATTGTAATAGGGTTTTGAAATTCTGACAATGCTCTCATTTCTAAAGATCTTTTTATGCATCCTGTAGTGATTTGCAAAACATAAAACAACAGCCAAGCAACAAATCAACTACGTGTTGATAAAAAATATTCCAAATCGATCAGAAATGATTCAAATATTTGATCATAAGGAAAAATCGAAACCCAAAAATGGTCTTCAGTAGCCCTGGGTCGCAGCCATAAATTGCAGTTTCAAAATTTACTAGATTTCAAATTATTACGCAACGGTATTTTTATTTCTCCAAAGTTTAATAAGTAATATCTCGAAAATTTTCAACAAACTTCGCCTACTAAAAATGTTCAATAACTAAACTTTATTAGACACAACGAAGTTGATATACCTGGAGTTTGGTATCATTTACTGGAGGATTTTGTTCATCATTCTCTGTATTTCTTCCGCGTCTTGTAACGGTAGAACGGCGACGAAGAAAGTTAACATTACTACTACCACCCTTCGAGGTCTTTCTCGACATTTTCTTGAATTTACGTCAATTACCTGAATTTACTTCTTCAAAATGTCACTCAAAAGTGAATGGAGCGTATGAAAAGCACGCTCAAGTACAGCTTCGTAGAGCGAAGATATGAACGCAAAAATTCGCTCCCAGGGCCTGGCTTTATAAAGACACAGTTAACTATAACAACAGTTAACATTAGCTACTAAGAGAACTCATCTTTGATCGTTCTCTGCCAGACTTCACCGCGTTGCACAAAAATGATTTTCAAGTTGCTGACAGTGTAGTTATTTTGCGTGGAATTTGCGTGGAGTTTTTTATAGTTCGTGTCCGCAAAATTCTGACGTCAGAATTTATCTCACGTGAAGCATATATGCGACAATAGTGACCTTAAGATTTAACGACGCGCTCATCTACAACGCGAGCGGAAATGAATTTTAAACCAATGCGCATGTGCGTGCGTCGTTGAGTTTTGTCTTGCTTCTACAACGCGGCGTCTTTGCTTAATAGTGACCTTAAGATTTAACGACGCGCTCATCTACAACGCAAGCGGAATGAATTTTAAACCAATGCGCATGTGCGTGCGTCGTTGAGTTTTGTCTTGCTTCTACAACGCGGCGTCTTTGCTTAATCCCACGTCGTCCTACATCGAGGGTGGAATTTTTCACAAAAAAAGTTTTAAAGTAAGTATTTCAGCTTTTAATTCACCTGTTACAATTGTCTGTGGAGTCTGGTATGTGATTGATGTGTTGATATTTATCTGTGAGTAAAATATGTTTACATTTTTGCTTTTAGCAAGGCAAGAAAATGGCAGAACAGTTTTCATCAGCATCAAGTGATTGCTCATCAAGCACACCAATAAATTCATCGTGATTTAAATTAATTGTTTAGCTAAATTAACATCCAGTGGCTTTGAAATTTGTCTTACTTTGTAATAACGGTTTGTGTTCCCTTTTATGTTTGCATAAAAATACTATACAACGGCTACTGATATATCAATTTTGGCCACTATATATTTCTAAATTGTTCTTTGAACGCGAAATATCATACAAAAGCGCAAATTCTTCTTCGTTTATCAAAGCGGCGTCATACGCAACAGCTATAGCATTTTTTGTTTTTTTGGAGGAGGCCATTTTTTTGAAAGTATAGGTAGTGAACTCACAAGTTCGCGTCGTTAAAGAAATCCAATCTTAATGACTTAACTTACAATGACACGCGGACGCATTCGCACCAGGCCATGCGCGCCAAACTCGCGTCGTTGTAACGCGCGTCGTGAAATCTTAAGGTCCCTCCTTTACGACGCTAAACCACAGAATAGACATCTAACAGAAGGTCCACTCAGCTAAAATCGTGGCGTATATTTTCACTACGCATGCATGACTTCCCAGCAAGATACTTTCAAAAAATCAATATGGAATAGTATTGCACGAAAATGTTATTTTACTAAGAATTCACGTTTAAAGCAAACGCTTGCCGAAGAAGATAAGGTTCCAAGCTTTTGTAGTGTAAAACGATATATTTGTAAAAACATCTATATTTTCTATTGCGATCTAGCGGAAGTTCTTGCTATCTGCTTTAGAATTTGCTTTAAAAAGGTGGGGGACATGAACATCAAAGGTTCCGACACGAGTGGACCTTCTGTTAAGATATCTATACTGCAGCTATACTTAAAAGGACCAGTGCTTTAAGTTTTATTTCACTAACAACAAAATGCATGGTTTGAACCTGAGAGTATCGTTACCTGTTTATGTTATGTAGATCGTCCAAGGTTATTTAAGTCCAGAAAAGAACTGTTGGTTTTGATGTTGACTGACGTTTTGACAACCTTAGCGGTAGTCATCTTCAGAGTCAAGTGAAAAGTTAATGACAATGGCGAACCTGACGTTTATTTTTAACTTGACTCTTATGATAACTACCGTTAAAGATGTCGTAAAGTCAGTCAACATCAGCACAAACAGTCCTTCTTAGGAGTCTACTAACCTGGACGATCTACATCCACAAACATGTTACAAACTACAGTTACCTCTAGAGACTGAACCGTTTCGTCTTTACTGGTGAAATTTGAAAGATATATTAAGATATAACGAAATTAATCATATGAACTCGTAGAAATTTGTGATGGAAGAGTCCATTACGTAATTTATATCGAAGACTGTACGATGAGCAACAAGCTAAGAACATTTTGAGCCCGAAATAGGGAAAAGGAAGGACGAAGAAGATTGAGCTTGAGAAAATATTTACTTGTTCTATTAAAAGAGTGTAAACAATTGTTGATGTAGTCAATGATGATTATTTACGATTAGTTTTTCGCTATCGTTGTCGAAGAGTTAGGAAATGTACAAAAATCACAGATTTAAGTCGCTTTCCCTAGCTACTTTAAAAAGCCTTCTCGTGGAATATAGTGGCTAAAAACTTGAAGAAAAACGCTGTTGATCTATAACACACACACAGCCGACATTTTTAATTGTCTTTTGAAAAGTTAACGATGCCCCCCATAGCATAGTTACCTTAAATTACTATTTAACTGCAGTTAAGCACAACCCCTCCCCCCACACACAGTAAATCTGAGGGGCTGTTTACATGATCCCGGCTAACCGGGTTTCGGTGAAATGATTTCGAGGCATTGAAAGGGAGGTAAAACTTTAAGCGTAAAAATGTTGAACGCCAAAAGCCATTCTTGATGTAATTCTCAAATTAGGCCAAACTGGTTGTTTCATTTTAAATGTTTTGTGTAGTTATTACATCAGAATATTGCGAAATTGCTAGGGAAGATTTATCTGATGATAAGCATTGAATCGTTTCCATTTGCCAAAATCATTTATCGCTTGGCTGAATCCCAGCTACCCGGGATCATGTATTCAGCCCCTAAGTTTTGATCACCGATGAAAGATTGGCGTTGAATTGCTCCCGTTCGGAGGCGTCGCCAGCTCGATAAGCGAGAGCGACAATATTCATATATTCATGTTTTAATCCTTCAGAAACAATTGATTTCAAACGAACTTAATAGGGAAAAACACGAATATATGAATAACATCCCCCTCGCTTATCGAGCTGGCGACGCCACTGGCCCCGTTCAGATTTCCCGCTTCAGAGTATCCACAACACACAAGCTTTAAAGCTCGAAACTTTATGGTTTGATTGATATTTTAATTAAATAACAAAGCAAACGAATTTAACTTTGCCTGCTCCTGTGTTATTAATCAACGACTAAAGAATAAATGACATTTTTTAAGTAGATCTTATTGCTATGTAAAACCAGAATATGAATATCACATGCAATGTATATAGACGAAAACATAAATCATGCATTTGTACATATGAAGCACCGAGGCCAAAATCTAAAAATCTTCGTTTTAAGTCCACTACAAAATCGTGTATGTAAGACACTAGGAGAGAACAAGTGTCAATAACTTACTTACAATATAACAGCCTTAACCAATTAAAAATAATAGAGTTACTGTGATGGATAGCCACTGGCATTATAACCTGTCTGGTAGCTCTGTGCATAGCTGTAACCACCAGTATTTTGATATCCTGTTGATTGGGGCTGGTGTTGTTGATAACCACTATAGCTTTGAGGCTGTTGGTAACCACCATAACCTTGCTGTTGGTAGTTACTTTGTTGTGAGCCACCCTGTTGTTGGTGGTAACTACCGTTACTACTTGAGTGAGAATTCTGTCCATATCCATTGTGAGTACTGCTTCCACCACCTTTGTTATATGCACCACCAGTACTACCATATCCACCACTACCACTATTATTGTATCCACTGCTACCACTATTGTATCCACCACTGCCACTGTGATATCCACCACTGCTACTACTATTATGATATCCACCACCACCACTCTTGTATCCACCACTGCTCTTATACGCACCACTTCCTCCACCGGATTTAAAGCCCCCGGCACCACTGGATGACTTATCGGCATTTCTATAACGACTCCGGCCTAAAAATGATGGTTAATTGAAAATGTGTACAAAATGGCAAGAATCACCACACAAACATAATCTCCAAATCACAGGGTTCCACAAATAAACAAAACTAAGCAACTATATGCTGAGATGGTACTCACAACGTTTGGATGTGTTTGTGTGTGGGGTGGGGTGGGTGGCTGTTGCAGCTGCTTAAGTTTACATTAGATTTCGTTGGCTATTTATTGCCGTACTATTTTTTGTTAAATTCTGTAGCCTACACATTATGATTGGGAGATTTTCGAAGGCGTGGGCACTTCATTAAACGCTAATCAGCTAATTGTTTTTTATATTAGTATTTCGTAGGGAAATTGGTAGCTCTCTCGCGTCCATTCAGCTAAGGCTAAGAGGTGTGCACACGCCTTACCTAAATCCATCCCTGACTAAATTATATCACAGCACATTCTCAATAAAAATATAGAATAAATGAGTTGAACAACAAGTATGTAGTTAGGAGGATATAGTTGCATTTAAAAATTACGTAATTTTGGGTGAGATTGTACTTGACCTAATCTTTTCAAAAAAAAAACTTACTTCTTCCAGTGAAATGACTTGCAATTTCCACAAGCTCCAAAAGTTTACTGCTCACTTGCTGTTTAGCTTCTTTGAGAACATTAACAAGATCTTTCGCTTGCTTGGCGTTCGCCTGCGTGAAAAAAGTGTAGGCCGTCCCAGTCCTCGTAGAGCGAGCCGTGCGACCAATTCGATGAATATAATCCTCACTCGATGATGGATAATCGACGTTTATCACAAACTTGATATCGTTTACATCTACAAAAGAAAATGCCGGATGTTTTCATCTATTGGTCAAGGAAATTGTAAATATAGTAAATGAACATCACAAGACAACAGGATATAAAAACTGTTTAACACACCTACCTTTACATTCTCAAGGAAAGAAAGTTATATAGATATAATAGCATGATTAAGCAAAGCAGACATACACCGTTCCCACCCTGTGGCTACTACCATAACCCTTTAATTAATTAGACTATAGGCCTTTCTCAACATAAGGTAGATACTCGATGGTTGCGCGAAGGACATGCCATTGGCCGAAATATCCAATTTAAAACCCAAAAGCAGCAACAGAGGCTATGGCATAGTTCAAATTCATAATCTTTGTAGGGAAGGACCCGGCTCTTTTCAAAAGACATCACACAAACATATACCTCTCAAGGGAGTGACAGAACGATACTGACAAATGACGATACAATCCTGTTTATATCATATCTGAAAGGTTCTTTGGCATTCCTTCTCTATTTTGCTCACCGGTTTATATAGAGCAAAACTTCCGCTCAGCTACTCGTCACCACTCCCCGTCGCGGTTTACTCACGTGATGTCATAGGCCGAGCGAGAGAAATAGAGACTAGTCCACCAACATCATGTACACACACAAACACCGTCTTTCAGAAGCAGTCGTCGTTTAGGGTCTCGCATCAACGACCCCTACAACACTACTTTGAAACACAGGCAAAATACATAAGTTAGTACAGCATGTCCTTTAGTGTATAAGGTGGACTAGAACGCTTCAAGATTTGCCATGCACAAGGTAATCGCATATACAATTCATAATATGTATAAAAGTGTTAAACGAGCGAGTCTTTTACTACCGATAGAAAGGGTGTGGTTAAATTGTCAATTAGGAGCTGAATTTACATTTCATTGCAGAAACGTTGTCTATTTATTTCAAGCTGAATCTTTACGCTGCCGTCTATTTCATTCTACATGGAATGCATGCAATTTAAACGCATGGTGCACCCTATGACGAAATCTACAATACCGCTGTCCATTGATTGCTTTTATTAACGGCTCAAACACAATCGTTCTGTTGTTGATAAACAGGTTTTAAATTACATGAGCCGCAGTTCAATGGCCTTATACTACTTATTCTATTAACTTAAAGTAGATCGTATTATCTAAAGTAAACGAAATTTACACTTCCCAATTTTTTGTGTACATCGCCATATTGTTTTCTTCAAGCTTCACTTACCACATTGAATTTCAAAATTTTGGGATAGTAATGCGCATGCTCAAATTTCAAGTGCACCGTGTCTTAGATTTTTTAATCGAGTTGTAAAACGCATGCTCAAAAGTTTTTCACGATTCTGCAAAGATCTCTAAACAGCTACAATAGACAATTTTCCAATTCAGTTAGATGACACAGTTAAACAAACCTCCACAATTCTTTAAAGAGACGCAGAGAACGCAAACATCGTGGGAGCACTAAAATATGAGCGATAAAATGACTTACCCAAACCACGAGAGGCGACGTCAGTTGCTATCAAGATGGGTGCATTTCCCGAGCGGAATTCTACAATAAAAAGAAAAAAGCTTGCACGAAGAAAAAAATACTACAAAAAGTCTTTACTTAATGTAACAATTCCTAAAAACATTGAGAAGTTATTTTACTCCTAAACATGTTCGTTTTTCAGAGTTATGAAAAATGCGAAGAAACAAAGTTAAAATTTTTTACCATTCAAAACCCAATCACGTTCTGGTTGAGACTTATCTCCATGTATACACATGCATGGCCATCTGTAATTAAAGTCAAAAACCTTCATTCGTTGAAAATTTCCACACCTTGTCGACGCGCAAGAATTCGGGGGGGAGGGAGGGGAATAGCCTCAGTAACGAGGAATTCACTGAATTGTCATCAGTTTATGAATTATGAAACACGACGAGAATCATCATAGGCTATTCGGAGTTAGAAAATATCAAGATTATAGTAGTTAGAATTTATTGCAAAAAAAACATACCCTTCTCGTCGAAGACTTCGCGTTAGGTCATCCGCTTTTCGTTTTGTTTCCGTGAATATGATCGTCTGAACATTATAAATAAAGAAATATGAATTATAAAACGACGTATTGCCTAAAGCGTGATGTGATTTGTGGCTGTCCGAGTTTAGATCAAACCATTCAGTAATTGTTTAACACTAATTTAATCATCGGCAACTATGGTTATGAAGTGGATGCATCTTGTAAAGGTAAAGAACTTAGAAATCTTTATATTATATTAATCATGTATATTATTGACAACTATGGTTATGAAGTAAAGAACTTAGAAATCTTTATATTATATTAATCATGTATATTATTGAGAACTATGGATGAAATGCTGACGTAGTTGAATTATGAGTACATAAATATTATGATATACACTTTAATTAATATATGCTTTGAATACTTTCCACTTTTTTTCCATTTTAAAATAATTTCAAATATTGAGAACTACACGTGTGGCTGAAATGCTGACGTGTTTAAATTATGAGTACATAAATAAATAAAGAAAATAATCGTTAACAGAAAAAGACCCAACCTTATTTTCTTTTTCGCCCATTATTTCTTCCAAAAGTTTTGCCAGCCTGGTAAAATCAGACACGCAGTGAGAAAGAGCAGTTAACACAATGAAGATTGACGAAGAAAAGCAAAAACTCGCAAATAAATTGCTGTCGACACAAAAATATAACATCACATTCTCTGAAGAGATGTTGAACACAGAAAAAATGCCAAATTTAGGATTTATTCCGAACCATTACGCCTTTATCTACCGGTAATCAGTAACCAGGTCTGTTTCGTACACAGTTTGACATCAAATACAGGGATGGATTTATTACGGGAGAGGGGGGGGGAGAGAGAAAATAAGTTGCCAATTTCCCTATGAAATAGTAGTATACCGAACAACTAAGCAAAAGTAGCAAAATAGCGATTTGTGTTTGATGGAGCAAACTTCCAAAAATCTTCCGATCGTGGCAATCACCGACGTATAATTCAAACTATAGCACCCCCCTGCAACATAATATCATCAAACATCCATCTCTTGTCAAATACTAGATATAGCTACATACTTTCCTTCCTTTTCATACTCCTGGCAAACGTCAACAATCTGTAGAATATTGTGATTAGCACTAAGTTGAAGAGAACCGATATTCACTTGAATGTAATCCTTAAGAAAATCTTTAGCCAATGTCTGCACTTCCTTTGGCCACGTGGCACTCCACATGAGAACTTGACGGTCGGGTCGGATCTGCTCGATGATAGTTCTGATTTGTGGTTCAAAACCCATGTCCAACATCCTGTCTGCCTCGTCCATAACAAGATACGTACAACGTCTTAGGTTAGTCTTGCGAGCCTCTAACATGTCAATAAGCCGGCCGGGTGTTGCAACGACAATTTCACTTCCTGCAGAATATACAGAAAATATAGTATACGACAATTTCACTTCCTGCAGAAGATACAGAAAATATAGTATACGACAATTTCACTTCCTGCAGAATATACACAAAATATAGTATACGACAATTTCACTTCCTGCAGAAGATACAGAAAATATAGTATACGACAATTTCACTTCCTGCAGAATATACAGAAAACATAGTATACGACAATTTCACTTCCTGCAGAATATACACAAAATATAGTATACGACAATTTCACTTCCTGCAGAAGATACAGAAAATATAGTATACGACAATTTCACTTCCTGCAGAAGATACAGAAAATATAGTATACGACAATTTCACTTCCTGCAGAATATACACAAAATATAGTATACGACAATTTCACTTCCTGCAGAAGATACAGAAAATATAGTATACGACAATTTCACTTCCTGCAGAATATACACAAAATATAGTATACGACAATTTCACTTCCTGCAGAAGATACAGAAAATATAGTATACGACAATTTCACTTCCTGCAGAAGATACAGAAAATATAGTAATTTCACTTTTTGAAAATATACGACAATTTCACTTCCTGAAAATATACATGTGATGAAGATTCTGATGTCAAGTAATCATTTTAAATTTTCTCATGTCGACTACAGTTTACTGGAGTTTGTCAAGGACTTTTCATACACCTTATCATGCTAAGAAAATTTAAATAACTTTAAGCACTTGCACGAATCCTGTCTGCACAATAATATTTTGTCGAATGGATCAGGTTTTAAACTCATTCCAAATAGGCAGATATATGCAAGACATTAGTTGGGTGGTTATATTCAACAATTATTGGATAAGATTGAGTATGGCATCAATAACTATTCAGACCGAGGTGAATGTTACGTGATGGTTACAATAGTCTAACTCATGTTTGTTAAGTGAAAAACATTAAAAGGAATCATTACCTCTTTCAAGTTCTCGTATCTGCGGTCCTTTAGGGGCTCCACCGTAGACACATGTCGTACGTACTTTGCAACTTCTTCCAAACTGTTGAGCAACACCCTGTACCTGTTGAGCTAATTCTCGCGTAGGGCAAAGCACGAGCATCTACAAATAAAGAAGACCATTTTCATAAAGCAAGCATATGGAAAAGGGATAAAAAAATTTCATGCTTCTAGAAGCACATTGTCCTGGTTAGTTAGAGTCCTGACAAAGACTGTTTGTGTTCATGTGGTCTGACGTTTCGAGCGGTTGTCATCTACACAAGCTTAGCATCAGTCATCTACACAAGCTTAGCATCAGTCATTTACACAACCTTAGCGTCAGTCATCTACACAATCTTAGCGTCAGTCATCTACACAAGCTTAGCGTCAGTCATCTACACAAGCTTAGCATCAGTCATCTACACAATCTTAGCATCAACCATCTACACAACCTTAGCATCAGTCATTTACACAAGCTTAGCATCAGTCATCTACACAAGCTTAGCATCAGTCATCTACACAATCTTAGCGGTAGTTATCTACACAATCTTAGCATCAACCATCTACACAATCTTAGCATCAGTCATTTACACAAGCTTAGCGTCAGTCATCTACACAAGCTTAGCATCAGTCATCTTCACAACCTAAGCGTCAGTCATTTACACAAGCTTAGCGTCAGTCATCTACACAATCTTAGCATCAGTCATCTACACAAGCTCAGCGTCAGTCATCTACACAACCTTAGCATCAGTCATCTTCACAAGCTCAGCGTCAGTCATTTACACAAGCTCAGCGTCAGTCATCTTCACAACCTAAGCGTCAGTCATTTACACAAGCTCAGCGTCAGTCATCTACACAACCTTAGCATCAGTCATCTTCACAAGCTCAGCGTCAGTCATTTACACAAGCTCAGCGTCAGTCATCTTCACAACCTAAGCGTCAGTCATTTACACAAGCTCAGCGTCAGTCATCTACACAACCTTAGCATCAGTCATCTTCATAACCTAAGCGTCAGTCATTTACACAAAAGCTCAGAGTCAGTCATCTACACAACCTTAGCATCAGTCATTTACACAAGCTTAGCATCAGTCATCTACACAACCTTAGCATCAGTCATCTTCACAACCTAAGCGTCAGTCATTTACACAAGCTCAGCGTCATGCATCTACACAACCTTAGCATCAGTCATCTTCACAACCTAAGCGTCAGTCATTTACACAAGCTCAGCGTCAGTCATCTACACAACCTTAGCATCAGTCATTTACACAAGCTTAGCATCAGTCATCTACACAACCTTAGCATCAGTCATCTTCACAACCTAAGCGTCAGTCATTTACACAAGCTTAGTGTCAGTCATCTACACAACCTTAACATCAGTCATCTTCACAACCTTAGCGGTAGTCATTTGAGTCAACCTTAGTTCACTCAAAAGACGACTACCGCTAAAGATGTTGAAACGTCAGTCAACATCAACACCAACAGTCCTTCTTAGGACTCTACTAACCTGGACGATCTATATCTACAAACATGTAACGATACTCCCGGGTTCAAATCATTTACTTTAATACGGATTCCATAAAAATTTGCAAAAACTACATTTTGTTTATAACTGAGCAAAAAAACGACGTCTACTTACAATGGGACCATCACCATGTTGCAACAAAGGCTGATGATTAATATGGACTATTCCAGGTAAGACAAACTAAAAACATTCAAAAATTTTTTTTATTCAAAAAGCGCAACCTTCGAAGTAACCGCTTTTTCAAATATAACTGTCCTGTTTATAGAGCTTTTGAGAGCTTTACAACATTTATACTTTCATCCAATTAAAACGTTCATGTACATTTATGAACGTTTTAATTGGATGAAAGTATAAATGTTGTACAACTACCAACAACCTTACATAACTTTAAACGTGTAAAAAATATTGTTTATAAAACGTGGATATAAGAGTTAATTATTGCGATTAACCGATGCTGCAAATAACAACTTGAAACTAAGCCCTTCCTCCCTGAAGCCATTCATTTCGAATGTAACGCCGGGTGCCTACTTTTGATATTTCATGATGGTTAATAAAGTTGCTAAAGTTACCGAGAGTGTTTTCCCTGATCCTGTTTGGGCGATACCAACGACATCTCTACCAGACATTGCCATCGGCCAACCTTGTGCTTGTATAGCAGTCGGCGCTGTAAAACCCATCTTTGCAAGTTCTGATGTTAGATAATCTATGAAAACCAAAGTGAACTTACTATAATACCTTACAGTACGAAAATAACATAAACCATATACATATCACCAACTTATTGTGATTCAATACTAAGCCCTTAATAAGAGAGATATCGGACCGAAGTTTTTTTGTACTGACCGAGCCCGTAGGGCGAGGTTTGTACAAAAAGACAAAGGTTCGATATTTCTCAGTAAAGAAGAAGAAAGCGAGGTTATTAAAAGGTTTATTATATGGCATTATTTGACCTGAAACAAAGCTCGCTTTCTTTCTCGTCCTTGCTGTTTTTTTACGGGTTGACTTTCACTTTTATAGTTTTTGTGAGTTAAAAATAAATCGTCTCTGATAGTTAAACTGTTTTTGAAGTGTTTTTCTTTCGACTCACATTCGCAAATGGTTTTTGTTTCGTTTTTTTCTTACGTTTTGCTGTTTGCTTTACGAAGTTTGTTTACATTTGACAGTAAAATTACGCGTTGTGGACCGTGATCAATTACGAGAAAATAATAGACCAGCAAAAATGTTTCTGAGCCAATCAAAGTGCGCCACGCAGCCGGAAGTGACGCTTGCCATATAATTAAAATAATTTTACAATCAAACCTGCATTAAGCGGACACTATCGGTGAATGGACTAGATTCCGCTTAATGGAGGTGTTCAATTGATGGAGGTTTTATTATTGCGAACTAAATAAGATTAAATTTGAGACAAAGTTTAAGCTTAATACAGGTTTCACTGTGCATCAGAAAACTTTATCTTGGTATCGTTTCTTTTTTTAAGCCTGGTTCTCATATAGTCGTCTGAGTTGTTTCAGTCGTATCAAAATTTCACAGAGGACCCGTGCGACTATATGAGAACATTTCAGTGACTTTCAGTGACTTTTCAATGACTCACAGCGACCAGGGTCGCTTGGATAAAACTTTGCTCTATCCGGACGACCGAAACGACCGTTGAGAAATGCAAGCGACCTTTTTATGGCGCAAAACGATTTGAAGAAGCAAATAACTAGCCAAAAGACTTTGTCTTTAATAAACAGCAGCTGCCATTTTTACACAGGTTTTAGACAAAAGGCAAAACAACACAAGTGTATTAACTAAATTATGAACATGAAGATAAGACACTATAAGCTACCTCAGTTTATACAATTTGAGGAGACCTTTGGCAGAGCTCGAGAACAATTCATTGCAATGCAGAGACAGAAGGTCGAGAAGTCACAAACGTCATATTTTTTTTCTTAAATCAAAAGTAATAATACCTGGAAATGTCATTTCACTGAATGTTCTAACAGGTCTTGGGACATTTCTACCAGAAAGAGTCATTTCTTTGGATTTCCTATACACTTGAACCTCATCCTCGCTCAAGTTCTGTACATTAGGATGTTCTCGATAGAAGTTCTTCTCAAATCGTGGCAAACTGTTAATGTCCCATTTGGGTTTTCTAAGATTTGAACCAGGACTGTTGAATTTTTCCTTCTTTCCACCACCGTATCCTCCACCTCCTGAGTATCCTCCTCCACCACCATAGCTTCCACCACCACCACCATAACCCCCACTTCGACTACCACCATATGTACCACCATGACCTCCACTATACCCACCACTTCGGCTTCCTCCTCCGCCACCATAACTAAAAAAAGAATTGAAGTGTTATTTTCCGCTGGCTGATGAACAAAATACGCGGGAAATGTTCTCACACTCGCCGGCTGCCCGTTAGTCGGGTGGTGGTGCAGGTTGGCAATTATGTTTTTGTTGTTGCTTCGCCGTGCTGGACGTGTTGTATCGGCAACAGCTCCCAGTGGTGTGTGAAAAAAGTCCTTTTTTAAATTTCAAAGTTGTTTCAATGAATTGAGTAGACGTAGAACAATGATTAGTTGAAATACAACAATTTATTAAGAGTAATTATAAGTATACGTTAAGACGATAAGCGCATACGTGTGCACAAGTGTACACCTGTGTGCGATAAGCGCATACGAGTGAACGATAAGCGTAAACGTGTGAACGATAAGCGTATACGTGTGAACGATAAGCGTATACGTGTGGACGATAAGCGTTTACTCGATTCTTCTACATGTAATGTTATAACTAGTATAACATCAAAGTGCTTAAGATGTATCAGCTGAAGAAATCTTATTATATTTTGAAATTGTTGGAAGTTTCTTCAACGTTGAATCCATGTAATATTATGCCATGTAAAAAATTGCCAAATTACACTATTTCGTAATTATTTACAAGCAAAACAACCAGTGACTTCAAAAGGGAGACTTGAGCAATCAGATTGTTTTTATTGAAACCTAAACGTTTCAATTAACAAACGCGGCGTTTCAAACGTAAACAAAAGCGAAAAAAGGCTCACCGCCTATATGAAAACAAATGACAATTTTACATTACTATATACAAAGCTCTAACTCTCAGAACTTTCAGATTGTTAACAATTCTAATGACGTCATAGATACACGTGTTCAAACGTGATAAAATCTACATATGGTAAAACGATAGCCTGGTTGAAGATAGTATTGAACGTCAGCTAAACGTTCTTTTGATAAAAAAAAAGCCAAAGAAAGTTTCATTACCATTTGAAAGAGACCGTTTGACATAAACTATTTTGCCGTTGTTTTCCGGTCACGTTTGCACGTCAAACACACACCATTAAATGTATAAAGAAAAAAGCTTAGACTGAAACATGACAACGTTTGACATCTCTCGTCTGCATGTTTTAGATGAAGACTAAAATGTTTTCACAAAAATATCCTCCAGAAACTCCAATAAGGTCAGATTGGTGTAACATTATTGACCATCACTGACGAAAATGATATAAAAGATGTTGTTTGACATTCAAACAAGACATGTCGAACGTTACTATCTCGCAGTCCGAACTATTTACTTTCAGATATTTTATCGCAGTGTATGTTTGATGCGCAAAACGTGACGCTTAAACCGGAAAACGCGCAAAAATATTTTGTCCTTAAAGATCGCCTGCAAACGATAGTGACAATAAACAAACATTGCCAGTCGGCAGAAAAATATTATCACAGATGTATAATATTTTCTTGCCAATATTGACTGTACATACAGAAATAAACACGAGTTAGATGAGTAATGCGTAGGGTGGAAAGGACTCTGGTTTTCATTGCAAAAAATGTTTTAATTCAATACGGCAATGAATTTATCGTTTAAATTTGGGAGATTTCCAAAGACAGTGGCTACCATTTTGTTGTTTTTCTGTAGAAAGCTCACTTTCACACGATGTAAACACGTGAGCACTATACACAAACGTGCAAATTAGGCGACAGTGTTGAGATAATAAAAAATGTTTAGACAATCATTGAGTGTTTTGACTAAACAGTGAGAGGAGACACAGCACGTTTTTGCACGAAAGTGTTGAAGGAAGGAATAACTGTTTTTCTTTGCTGTTTTTGCATCATTTATCACAAATTTATTGTTATTATTCAAACTTTTATTCGATTGCAAATATATCTTTAACTAACAACTTCTTTTATTCGAACCATTTACGACCTCGAGAGTGCTCTATTATAAACGTCTTTGATATTTGTCATTAGAACTCTGTTCATGGGAAGGCAGCTTACGCGTACCACTTTCTAATGTCATTTCGAATTGCACAAGTTTATAAATAAGAAATTATTTCATACGATGCAAGTTGTAAAACAGCATTTCAAAAGGCAAACGCATCTCTGGTACTGTATAACTTATTATCACATTCTAAATGGTACTGTGTAACTTATTATCACATTCTAAATGGTACTGTGTAACTTATTATCACATTCTAAATGGTACTGTGTAACTTATTATCACATTCTAAATGGTACTGTGTAACTTATTATCACATTCTAAATGGTACTGTGTAACTTATTATCACATTCTAAATGGTACTGTGTAACTTATTATCACATTCTAAATGGTACTGTGTAACTTATTATCACATTCTAAATGGTACTGTGTAACTTATTATCACATTCTAAATGGTACTGTGTAACTTATTATCACATTCTAAATGGTACTGTGTATCTTATTATCACATTCTAAATGGTACTGTATAACTTATTATCACATTCTAAATGGTACTGTGTAACTTATTATCACATTCTAAATGGTACTGTGTAACTTATTATCACATTCTAAATGGTACTGTGTAACTTATTATCACATTCTAAATGGTACTGTGTATCTTATTATCACATTCTAAATGGTACTGTGTAACTTACTATCACATTCTAAATGCACACTCACTCCAATGAGTGCAAAATGAAAATAAATGTTTTCTTTATTCAATGGCAAAGTCATTTCCCATCAATGGCAACATTTTTGTAGAAAAATTTCAAATCTTTCAATCAGGGAGTGAAAATCCTGTCTTTGAATAATTATGCGGCGACTTTGAAGCCCCTTTCTAAGAGTGGGCTTTTAGACTATGAACATTATTTTAATCTCCCAGGGGTGCTGTTGTTTAGACAGAGCAAATTGTGTAATAAAGTAAATTCAATAAAAACATTAGTCTATTTTTCTTCAACATATGATGCATATCTCCAGCAGGGTTAGAATGATGCCTGGTTACAAACAATATAATATTGATAAACATTGTACACTCCTATACCGTTCTATGCTTTCTCATAAGTCTTGTGTGAGAGTATGATAATAAATTGATATTAATAACCATCTCATGAAATGGATTGATTTCTATCTAATTTTAACATGTCAGTTTCAGTTCAAAATAGGATTAGTGGATGTTGTGTCTCTTGTATTTTTTATTACTTTGTCATCTCAAAGATCATGTCACATGATTCGTGTAGTTATTTTGATTGGACACTTGAACAACTTCCTCCAGCTGATCTCTTTAAAATAAGCTGGAAATGGCAGAAGGGACACTTGATCATTGAACTCAAAGAATTTCTAGCTTTAAGAGATTGGGAACAACTTTTTTTGAAAAATGATTGACTGATTGAACTATTTTTTGAAAGAATTACTATGTCATCATAAAGATCACATATGTGTTCATATAAAGTCACATAAAGACATCATATACTTCGTATGTCGTCCAAACTCATGAAAAATATCCAATCTTCAGTAGAAGTCAACCTGCTTCATGCAAAGTTACATTGTTTTGTCACACACACAACTTTAAAAAAATGCTGAAGTACAATTCTCCTGTCACATCTCTGACATTTACACTGTTCAAGCGTAGACAATACATAAGACCTTGCAAAGTATAGCAAGTTTATTGTGTCTTGGGTAACTTTATGTGAAAACATATGAAGTTAAACTTTTTCAATATCTTTCTCAGAGATACTAAGGCAAATGTGCTGTGATATGCAAATGACCCCAAAAATTGAACATTTGCTAAGCTAAGGTCCTTTAACAAGTGCCAAATTCTGCCCATTTGATTTGTCAAAGGAATGAAAAATACATGAAATATCAAAACCAAGAATCCTAATTTGAACTGAAACAGACATGTTAACATATTATAACATGTTATTAAAACAAGTGAATGATTTCAAAGCGGGTTCTATTTCAGAAATTTACCCTCAAACAATTTAACACGTTCATATAAGAGAAAACATTTCAACAGGGAAACAGTGAATGCTAGCTACTGCTCATTATCAACAAGAAAGCTTTCCTAACTCATAGCAAGTTGACACCTCTATGTATTTTTCAGTTGGAAAGAAATTCCAAGGTAGGCATGATTTGGGCTTTACAGATTGAGAATTTAGCCTAGCCGTGTTTCGGTGATGCATCCTCAAGAGCACCTAAAGCAATCTTCTTCAAACGAAGTCAGCCCGTTTATTGTGAAGCAACCGAAAAACGACTCGTCACTAGACTGAGTTGTCGTTTGTCCACAAACTAAAACACTTAAATCACCAGGAAGAAGTCTTTGAAATTAAGAAAATGCAAACCAACTAAGTACTAATTTACTAGTAATATAACTACAGCGAAATATTTAGGCCGAGAAAAAAATAAAACGACTGTTTTAAAATGGATGAAATCTACCGGCGTCTGATGAACATGTGTTCAACGGCGACCGCATTGTATAAAGTGCATTGTATTTTTACCTTCCTTTTCTGTCAGACCGACTCGTATCGTAGCCCCTTTCTCTGCCAAATCGACTCATGGTACGTGCAAGTTGAGTGAACAATGTTGAACTTTTAAAAATGCCTTTTCCCACGGCTGAAAAGCCAACAATTTTACAAGACATTGAACACGACGTCGATGCTAATCACGAAAATTTCCAAGTAATAGCGGGGTGAATATCACGTGATTTGTATAGCTATTTTGATTGGACACTTAAACAACTTCCTCCAGCTGATCTCTTTTAACCAGCTGGAAACGAGAGAAAAAGGACACTTGATCATTGGACTCAATTACAGAATTTCTATAGGAATAACTTTTTTTGAAAATTGATTGACTGATTGAACTATTTTTCGAAATACATCAAATATTCAATGACTTCGCGGAGACGGGAAAAACGCGAACGCCTGTTTTCCTATGAACAAGCAAATTTCTGAGTACCAAATGTAAAGTATTTTTCGTGTCCCCATTTTGACGAGGCTTAGATGTCGTGCTTGGCTTGGCACGCGTTTAATCCGTTAATGAAGTTTTACTTCTTTACACTTTTCATCTTACTATGCAGAAAAAGAAAACAAAAGCCAAAATTTTTGCAGAGAAAAGCAAGTCAACGACCTTAAAACATAAAAAAATTAGCATCTAGCAAAGGTTTCAGAATTATCCGTTTATTATTGATAACATATTCAGAGCGATGGCAACCGACTTCCATACAACAAAAGAAACATTTCTTCTTTGTTGCTTTTCATACTTTTTTCAAAATTTCAAAATGGTCAAGACGTGCCTTGGTTTGTACGATTGTGCGAATTTCACAAGTGAACCAAGGTAAAAGAAAGTAGACTTATTTCGCTTAAAGTTGAAACTGCCTTTAATTTTAAAAGTCTCAGACTTATCTATTATAAAATATTTGACTGAATATGACAACTTTCGCATAGGAACGAGCCCGTTTAATTTGTGAAAAAAAAGTGCATATCACGCGGACTAACACGCGCGTCCAAGCTTATCTGATGGTAGTATCTCAGTCTTCTCAGTTTTGTTTGAATGATAAAATAAACATTGCGTAAAGATATGTCATTGTGGAAATCGATAACTCTTTTCTTTTCTTGGAAGCATTGAAGTGTTGCGCGAAAATATTACATACATCTTAAAAAAATATTACATAAAAAAGATAAAACCCGCTACCAATTATAGTAAGCTCGCAAAAGCTCAACTGGTGGGTTCCTGCGAACGAAAGTGAAAATATTGAGATTGTGGATTAAAATGCTTTCTCTATTTCACTTGGTTGCTCATTTGGGTGAGAAACGGCAACTTTTGTGAAATATGTATAAAAATTTGATGCAGAAATTGAAAAAAATGAAAAGTCAGTCCGACTAAAATTTTCACTTTTCTATCAATTTAAGACCCAACAGAAGTTAGTCCCATTACCTATATCCCCCAAGTTTTTTGAATGTGCCCCTGCCTGCTCGTAAAGATTTTGTGTCATAGTAAAGTTTCAAGCCAATGCCATGAATACATAATTCATAAATAATCACGTGTCACTATTTCGTGTAAATTTGTAGTTTCGAATAATATGAAGAAGAGAAAAATATAGAAAATTCATCAAGCAAGAGCGTCGTTTAACTGTGATAGTGGTTCATCCAAATGTTTTGCCAGAGCGAGTGTCTAAAGAAACGTAGAAATATCAACTTATTTGAAAATCTTTACTACAGCTACAAGTAGATCTAATCAGTTCCAAATTAAAGTGTCTCTTCTATTTTGAATTCAAGCTGATAAGTATACTGCAAATGAAACCAGTAAGCTCTGGGCTTACATGAGTTTATACATAATATAAAACCTAACACGATTTTTAATACGCACATGAAAAACATGTGACTTGGACGAGATTTGAACTCGCACCTTCGGGATACTAGTACTTAGGATTTATACTATGTATAATCTCTGATGATGGCTTTGGAATAAAGTCGAAACACAGTGCCATCCAGTAAACTGCTATCGTCGCGAGAATCTCTCGTCCATACGTAGTTTTAAAGAGATTTGACTTGTCTCCAATCCTGTGGGCTTGGTAGCTCAACAGGTAGAGCTGACAAGTAGGTGCGAATTCAAATCTCGTCCAAGTCACATGTTTATCATGTGCATATAAAAAACCATGTTAGGATTAATATTATGTATAATCTCTGATGATGGCTTTGAAATGAAGTCGTTACATAAGTTTGTTAGCCCTTTTTCAAGAGATTATGTGTACATGAAAGGGCTTACTTATAAACAGAAAGGCTAAGTCATTGACTGTATTATACTACAGTTATCCATGCAGTAGTTTGTTAAATAAATGTATTTTTATTGTCTGTCTGATATAAATGTTATGATACTAAAAACCATCACTCTACACACTAGTCAGCCACAGCAGCATCCCCATGGAGTGCCAGGACTAATGTTAACAATGAAAATGTCTTGCTCAGAGTTATAAATAGGGCATATATAAATGGACTTGCAGGCAAGTGGGCTTGCATGCAGGTGGAATTGTTTGGGCAATGAATTGAATGTCACAAATATAGTGGGTTTATACACAGGAGGGGCATAGAGGCAGAGGTTTACAGTCTCAAAAATCAGGAAAAAAACATAAGCATTACACAGTTTAAGTATTTAAATAAACTTTCTTTCACTGTATTAATGTTTTAATCAATTAGTTTCAATTACTGCAAATTATAACATTTTAATTAATCTAATTTAATCAAATCTAATCTAATTCAATCTAAATTTTAAGCTAATCTAATCTAATCCAATTCTCCCACTAGGAAAGTGAAAACAATATTCTAAAGAACTTACTTTTGCCTTCAGCAGCCCCAGACCAACTGATTTCTTAGAATGCAAGCAAAGTAGAAGATCTGCAATGCTTGTTATCGCCACCTTTCCATCCTAAAAATTAAAAGGTTACTTTATCATGGGCACAATTTCATAATATGCTACAAACTGGTATACACACTTTGTATTCTACCACAGGAGTTGAGAATTTTTTGAGCATGGAGAGAGCTATCAGCCATAAAAGTTGGGGGCAAGTGAGTGTGTACATATATGCTAACATCTTTACCAGATTCAGTTGAATGAGCTTAAGCACTCCCCCCCTATTTTGAATGCTCCGACTCTATAAAGCAGGTAGGAGAGTCTAGGCTCATCACAGCAAATCTAGTGAAAAGTACGGAAACATAAACACCCTCCTATTCTGAGCTTTCCAACGACATAAAGCAGGTGGAAGAGTCTACGCTCATCAAACATTATCATGTAAAAAAATTGGATGTATGGACACACTGGTGCAAGGTCCGAGGACAAATTTGAAAAATGCAAAAAAGTTGCAAAATCATGGGGGGAGAGGGGGCTGTAGCTCGTTAGTCCACCTGCTTCATAGTCCCTGTACCAACCATTGGCTATTTTTCTTTCAGTCAGGATAAAAATTACCAAGAAAAACAACGCCATAGCAATTTAAATTTTCCACTTAATCCACCTACTTTACACCATTTTGAAAGACCTATAGCTATGTGTAAATCCAGATTATATCCTTAAGTCTTACAGAGAATTTCTGCAAGATCAAACTTTCAAACTTACATCACAATCCATGAGTACAAAATTCAAAGTTTCTGTATGAAAACTTTGCTTAATATTTGAATGATACGCAGTCCAAATGCTCGAAGCAATTGCTGCCGTAACTCGTGCATCTTTATCATTTGCACCAGCAAAGGCCAACAATGAACCATTACTTTTCAACAAGCTAACAAAACAAAATCAAACATTAAAACACAGGCGAAATACATACTATCATTTAAACTGATACTACAAGCCAACTATAACTAGGTTGCACCAAGAAAAAATTATACTGTGCATTTACAAATGTATGTGTATGTGTTTGGCATAACATTTTCATCACTGGGGGGAAAACTGGGGTTCCTTTATAGATGTAATAGTGTATAGATCACTTTCTTGTTTAAGTTTTGCTGGTAGGCAGATTTGGTAAAGTGCTTTTAGAGAACACTAGCAACAATGATAAACCTCTCTTGGGATTAATCTGCCTGCCAATAAAACGTAAATAAGGCAAACATTCGTATATGAAACATTTTATTTTCTGTATGTGAAACATATCACAATAAGAAAGTTAAATTTCATTACATTGTACTCATGATGCCGCCTGTTGTTTCTCGAGCAAGTAACTCCGTAAGGACTTTAGGCTTCAACATGTTCAATTCTAAAAACGTTGGGTCTTTGCTGCTAAATACAGAACCAATGATGTCAATAAAAGTCAAGTGCGGAATCAATCTTTTAAATGAAGAACCGCAAAAGGAATCTTGAAAGTTGAACTCTAGTGAACTATATAAAACTGGAGCGACATCTCCGTATAAACACATGCCTTTATTTGCGCGAAGCCTCGGGGTAAGATGCCCCCTCTGCCCTCCACTCTCGTCGACACAAAAAAATATTTACCACTTTGAAATAAGAATTTATCAATTAAAACAATAATGAAAAGATATGTATTTCTTTAATGGGAATGTATTTGAGGTGAGAAAGACGTCAAAAATCAGCGAGTTGATTTATCTGAAAATACAGTTCCATGCAAAAAATACTTTTTAAAATCTGAATTAAAGCGGGGCGACACATGCAAAGAAAAGATATCGTTCTGGCTTTGCTAAAAGTTTACTGGAAAAATCTCGACATTACAGGAACAAAAATGAGGCGCCGACTTCCGACAAGCAATTAGCATAATGTGTGTTAGACTTTAATATTCAAGAATGAAATTATATTATATTATCTGTAAACATTACGGCCGTTTACACGGACCATGGTTGGACAAAAAAAGTGCAAATAGTGTAGCAATTATCTTTCCATTCAAACAATAATATAAAAATACTATTACTCTGATGGATAGCCAACCAACAATCAAAAATTTCATTAAAAACAGCTTGATAAGCGTGTTAGTTTTAACGGCTACAGGGAATTGGTTAGAATAACGGTTAAATTTGCCACGGCGATTAAGGATCGTTGGATATCGACGTGAGATCGGCAATAAGCTGCTCAACTTTTTCGTCTTGCACTTTGCTTCTAAAACGAAAGAGAAAAGGTAATTGTCGTAAATATATTCCAACAATGTACAAGATCTTGTAAAATTTTCCCGAGGATGTTTTTTCCGAATATCAATAATGGTGTTCACCACTGTGAATACGCTGTAGGTAGGCTTTCAAATAAGTCCAGTCGCCGGTCATTGTCCGGTGAATTTCTCATGTTCATCGGCAAAATCCCTGTCACCGGACATGTATCACCGGATTTTTGTTCCCATTGAATTAAATATGTAACTGGAATGCTACCATTGAATGCTACCTTGAGAAATTTTACTTTATTGTCTCGGCGTGGAAAGATTGGTACTAGTTAAGTTGCTGGCCCATTGAACTGAATATAACTGGATGGCTACCTCCAGCCAAAATTTGAAGCCAACAATTCAACTAGTCGCAATCTTTCCATGCACGGCCAAAGAATGTTTATTTACGACGATAAGCTAAAATGCGAAATTTGATACCCCCAGACACACGTATAAAATTCGGCTTCATGAAAGTACAGGCATATTTATAAAAAGGCAGCATTCCAGTTATGTACTCAGTTCAATGTGCTTGCCTTAAATTTTGGCGGGAATTGGCCCTCAGTTATATTCAGTCTATTTTCTACCTCAAAAGTTCAGAAACTAGCAAATTATAACAATGTACAAATAAAATAAGAAAATCAAAAGGTGAACGGCAAAATGTAAGGTTTCGAAGTTCGAACGGTAAGTTCATGAGGACGGCCCGTGAACTTTCTAGAATTATTTCAAAGCCTGACCGTTGCCTTCATGAAATATGTCAAAAACAACGACTTTTAACAACATATACTTCTCGATGAATAAGGTATAACTACATATGTACAAACGTCATCAATAAACCAAAAGTTCTCAGTTACCCAATTGCCTCTTTAGAAGTGTTGGTCAAATCTACAAACAGAAATAACTGTACTTGCCCGCGTTTTCTCGACAATCAAGAAAACACATCACTTCTGTTACACAATTCATACTGTGTTCTACGCTTAGGTAAATCGCATAATCGGAGAAGCTCGTGATTTTAAAATGTTAATCTACTGTATTTGCTGTGATTTGGAAGACTGAAAATCTCATAAAGGATCTCCTGTCTAAATAACAGAGTATTAAAAACAGCCAGCACAAGTTTCAATTGTTTTCAAAACTGTTTTGTGCTGATCATACTAGTCTAAGTTAAAATCAAATTGAATTGCCTTTTTCTTGAAGATTAAAACAGTTTGTCTTATCATTTTCCATACATAGAGTCAATGGCTTAAGCCGAGAGGGGTGTTACATGTTAGTAGATGTTGATCATCCACGTTTGTAAGTCTTGAGAAGGATTGTTGATGTTGATATTGACTCTAGATTCTAAAAATGACTAACACGATGAATGCCAAAACATCAATAAAAAAAAAACACCAACAGATTCAATTAGGACTGTACTAACTTGAACAAATTACATCTACATATAAATATAGGCGACCTCGTAAATTTACCAAGTGCTAAAAACAATTTCAATTTGGTGGAAACTTGATTGATCGACTAGCTTGCAATTTTTCGTGCAAAATGGACTTCACATAACTGTCTTACACCACGTAATAACTTACACTTCATTATCACTGCCATTCGGCTCACTGGAAGCAGGGATGCCGTCAACCTCGCTCAATGCTTCTTGTAATAATAATAGAGGTTGTTTTGGTGACTCTTCCGAGCTGGATCGTTTACGTGAGGACGATCTCAGACTTCGACGTGGACTATGGACTTCTTTCACTGTTTTGGGTGAAGTAAAGTCAACATCTACAAAAGGAAATGAATCAATGACGTAATTTTCTCCACTTGCACATTGTGAGATTTTAGTACCTTCAGGGAAAAACCAGTCTGCATGTTCGATAAGTGCTTCCAAGATCCCCGTCAGTACCACTGTATCCTTCATGTTCATTCGGTTGCCGGGATTATACGATCTTCAAATGAATAAAAGCCGGTCATGTGCGCAATTAAAGGCAGATGTTTCCCCCGCGTGATCGATTGGAAAGACTAGCATTGGGTTGGAGACTTGCAGGAGGGGTAAGAATTGTCTGTGTCAGTATGCATTAATGATAAATTTACATCCATGTTAACTTGACGCTCTTTTTTTCATGATATTGGTAATCTTGTTAATTTTATTTTTCAAAATACCTGAAATCACGAAGCTCGGGCGTGAAGATGCCCCGGCACATAATTTTATGCCTCCCTCTCCCCTCTAAAAAATCACTCACTCCAGGACAACGCCCAAAGGGCTTTCTCTTCCTCTAAAAAGTCACTCACCCCAGGACCATGCCCACAGGCCTCTCCCTCCACTCTAAGGGCCTGTTCATATGAGACGAGCCAGCCCGCTTAAACCAGTCTAAGTAGCTTTGCCGAAATCTCACCTCATATGTTATTTTACAATGTTTTTGAAATTGCGTTCATATGAAGAGCAGGTTAGCCCGGCTTTAGAAGATCCCGCTTGAAGGAGGAGGGATCTCGCTTCTGACAAGCTCATATGACTGCATCAAGCGGTCCAGCCTGGCTGAACTGGGCTGGAAGTGACGAGACTGCGCATGCTCTTGTCTTATTTGTTTACTTCAACACGGCAAAAACTTTAAAACAACAAAGTGCATTTGAAAAATAAGTTTAAAAATTTCATGTAATGCCACTACGATAGTCGGTGAAACTCAATGGTAACAATCAGATTGTTGTAATGTATGAGTCTAAACACATTTCAATTTTCCCGCAAATTACAACATTTGTTGGCAGAAGTTAAGTACAACATTTCAGCCATACAGCCCGCCACATATAAATGCGAATACAAATCGGCCCTGAAACCTGGCTAGCCAGGCTTGAGCGGGTCGACCCGTCTCATATGAAAAGGTCCAAAAAAATCAACCACTCCAGGACCACGCCCACAAGGGTTCTCTCCCCCTATAAAAATCACTCATCCAAAGCCACGCCCATGCATGAAATTTCGCAGTTAAACGCATTACTGAGTAATTTTTCAACAACTTTACATTCATTAGTAATTACTTGTCATCGTCAATGGACCAAATGACGTTTGGAGCGATGACGATTGCGAGATTATGAGCGTTCATTTTACCAACTTCAGAATTTTGTTCTATTTTGGCCAAAAACTTCATCAAATATCTGTGGAAGAGATAATACAAATACTATAATGCCAATTAAGTTAATTAGCATGATAATCAATTATTGATAGAGGTTGAACGAAATTAACAGAACGGTCAAATGGTAAGACTAAGGTTGACGTTGAAGTTGATGGTATAACTAAGGTTGACGTTAAAGTTCATGGTAAGATTAAGGTTGACATTGAAGTTGATGGTAAGACTAAGGTTGACGTTGAAGTTGATGGTAAGATTAAGGTTGACGTTGAAGTTGATGGTAAGACTAAGGTTGACGTTGAAGTTAATGGTGAGACTAAGGTTGACGTTGAAGTTGATGGTAAGACTAAGGTTGACGTTGAAGTTAATGGTAAAATTAAGGTTGACGTTGAAGTTGATGGTAAGACTAAGGTTAACGTTGAAGTTAATGGTGAGACTAAGGTTGACGTTGAAGTTGATGGTAAGACTAAGGTTGACGTTGAAGTTGATGGTAAGACTAAGGTTGACGTTGAAGTTAATGGTAAGACTAAGGTTGACGTTGAAGTTGATGGTAAGACTAACGTTGACGTTGAAGTTGATGGTAAGACTAACGTTGACGTTGAAGTTGATGGTAAGACTAAGGTTGACGTTGAAGTTGATGGTAAGACTAAGGTTGACGTTGAAGTTGATGGTAAGACTAAGGTTGAATATAAAGTTGATGGTAAGACTAAGGTTGAAGTTGAAGTTGATGGTAAGACTAAGGTTGAATATAAAGTTCATGGTAAGACTAAGGTTGACGATGAAGTTGATGGTAAGACTAAGGTTGAATATAAAGTTTATGGTAAGACTAAAGTTGACGTTAAAGTTCATGATAAGATTAAGGTTGACGTTGAAGTTGATGGTAAGACTAAGGTTGACGTTGAAGTTAATGGTAAGACTAAGGTTGACGTTGAGGTTAGGTTTGATGGTGAGGCAAGGTTGAAAAACGACAAATTGAGGCTTTATAATTATACAATAAATCTTATAAAAAGTGCATTCAGTAATTGTTCGCTCGCATTGCTAGTTTAAATCAAAACGTTGTAAAACGCTAAGAAGTACTACAACGTGCATAAAAAACATTGCTATTTATATCACGGCCGACGTCTGTTCATCTTTTCAAGACAACGAACAAAAAATATCATTTTTTATTCAAAAACCTCAAATTGTCCTTGTTTGCTTTGGGCAGCTGTGACACAACCGTCCAAAGATTCTGCAGTCGATCATCTCGATCTCGGATGCTGAAAATTGTAACGATAGTTGATCAGAAATGGAAACAGCATAGACGGTACAAAGTATATGGTCATCACTCTCACAACAACTGAGCAAATACGAATTCTGTGATGTGGTACAATGAATACAGTAATAATAATAATAGTTGATTATATAGCAATGGATTTTGTGATGGTACAATAAATATGCTAGTGATGATCATTGATGATTGTGTGTGGATTTTGTGGTGGGGTACAATGAATATGCTAGTGATGATCATTGATGATTGTGTGTGGATTTTGTGGTGGGGTACAATGAATATGCTAGTGATGATCATTGATGATTGTGTGTGGATTTTGTGGTGGTACAATAAATATGCTAGTGATGATCATAGTTGATTGTGTGCGGATTTTGTGGTGGGGTACAATGAATATGCTAATGATGATCATTGATGATTGTGTGTGGATTTTGTGGTGGGGTACAATAAATATGCTAGTGATGATCATTGGTAATTGTGTGGATTTTGTGGTGGGGTACAATGAATATGCTAGTGATGATCATTGATGATCGTGTGTGGATTTTATGGTGGGGTACAATGAATATGCTGGTGATGATTATCGATGATTGTGTGTGGATTTTGTGATGGGGTACAATGAATATGCTAGTGATGATCATTGATGATTGTGTGGATTTTGTGGTGGGTAAAATGAATATGCTAGTGATGATCATTGATGATTGTGTGTGGATTTTGTGGTGGTACAATAAATATGCTAGTGATGATCATAGTTGATTGTGTGCGGATTTTGTGGTGGGGTACAATGAATATGCTAGTGATGATCATTGATGATTGTGTGTGGATTTTGTGGTGGGGTACAATAAATATGCTAGTGATGATCATTGGTAATTGTGTGTGGATTTTGTGGTGGGGTACAATGAATATGCTGGTGATGATCATAGTTGATCGTGGGCGGATTTTGTGGTGGGGTACAATGAATATGCTAGTGATGATCATCGATGATTGTGTGTGGATTTTGTGATGGGGTACAATGAATATGCTAGTGCTGAACATTGTTGATTGTGTGTGGATTTTGTGGTGGGGTACAATGAATATGCTAGTGCTGAACATTGTTGATTGTGTGTGGATTTTGTGGTGGGGTACAATGAATATGTAAGTGATAAACATTGTTGATTGTGTGTGGATTTTGTGGTGGGGTGTAATGAATATGCAAGTGATGATCATTGATGATTGTGTGTGGATTTTGTGATGGGGTACAATGAATATGCTAGTGATGATCATTGATGATTGTGTGTGGATTTTGTGATGGGGGGTGGGTCGAATAAATACAGTAAGGGTAATCATGGTTGATCAAATGGCCATTCGTGAGAGACGCAGTCTTTCATAATAATCAAAACATAACATAGCTACTGATTACTTACACAGATCTACAATAAACCTGGATAGACGATGCAACCATCACTTTTACACCATTACAAAATAAGTTTAAATTTTACACACCTTCCAGCTTCAATCCACTCATGATAGAGTTCATACGTCATCAAAGGTTCGGGAAGTTCGCGTAAATATTGCTTTAAAACACCTGCAAAACATGGCGCGAAAAAGAACAACATAATTTTCAATCAATGGTAATCACAGAATTATAACGAGAAAAGGTAGTTCTATGAAAGACAATCACGGAATCATAACGAGAAAAGGTAGTTCTATTAATGGTGATTACGGAATCATTATGAGAAAATTAGTTTTATGAAAGACAAACATGGAATGTGTATAAGGAAACTCGTTCTATGAAAGAGAAACACAGACTCATAACGACACAAGTTAGTCTAGTTAGAAAAAACGCTGGACATTCCTGATCATGAAACTTGTCTCATAATTCTCATAATGATCCCAAGATTGTACAATGTCATAAATTTTGTGTAACAAGAACCATATTAAGAAAGAAAACACATATTTTGAAGAGAAGAGATCTCAACCTGTCACAGCGTGAACATCGTACTCCTCACTAGACAAATCAGCAAGACCTGCATCGAATGACACCTGCAATAAAATATTGAAAAATTGCATAATTACATGGAAACACCATGTAACATAGAGTTTAAAGTTTAGGTTTTTCAAACACAGAGATTTCTTAATCCTTTACTTGGCAGCCGATCCGATTGGCAACAAATACCAAACGAAACGAGTACAAACTTTTCGAAAAATTCGCCAATTTAAAAGATAATATCAATGTCGCAAAGGGAGGACGATAGGCTGCAAGGGGCTTGTTTAACAGAAGCCGGATTTTTTAGCAGAAGCCGGAGTTTTTATAATCGGAGCAGGAGGTGAAAACCCAGCAGTGCATAAGCTTTTCATGTTTTTAGATGTAGATCATCCAGGTTAGTAGAGTCCTGAGATGTACTAACCTCGACGATCTACATCCACAAATATATAACGCTTCTACCGGGTTCAAACCATTAACTACATAAACTTTTCAGGTGAATTAGATCCACCAGACAGGTTTAATGATAATCATCAGGAAAACTGTAAACGGCACAAGCACAGTACGAACTATAAAATCGTCAAAGACCATCGATAACCGCTTCTTTTAATGAGCTGAGCTGACTAGTATACATATGGATATCACGGGATAAGGATATGAAAGGATATCACTAGAGACTACCATGAACTAGAAGTCCAGCTATGGCTTTGTACATCACTGGTACACTATGGATATCATAGGATATTGAATATTAAAGGATATCATTGGGGATCATCATTACCAAAATAAAATAAGCATTCCAATTCACAAACCTTTAATTTTTTCACTTTTGTAGATTGTCCGGCTATTCTGAACAGCCCCTGAAATCAACGAACGCATTTTAAAATGTAAAACGAACTCAACCCTCCATCCATAAAATACTGCGATCAGTTGTAAAGAACAATTTTGCACTTCATAAAAACTCACTTCAACATTCAAGCCGTGTTCGTATAGATATCTCACGCATTCCTCAAGAACTAAAGCTATTTCGCGTTTGGTACTTTCTAAATGTTTTCCAAGTGGACAACCGAATGTGCTTGAGTTCGTTCGAACGATTCCTACAAAACACAAGAAACAATAAAGCAAAAGAACTTCTAGTACAAAAATGTAGAATAATGCCTGAATTATAGAGGGGTGTGTTGGAAGGTCGGCGGGAGGGGTCAGCCCCCTTTTTAAAATTCTACCGGCCGCCGTATTCTCAGAGCTTATTAACACTCGTTGAGTGCAACACAGAAATCATGCTTCCACTAATAAATGAGGAAGTCATTTCCCCATCAATGGCAAGATTTTTGCTAAAATATATCAAACTAAACGATCAGTGGAAAGAAAATATCTTTCAATAATTATGAGGTGATTTGGATTATGAGTGACTCAAGGAGTAAAGGTTTGCTTTTAAAATATTAAAGTATTGTATTGGTCGTAGAAATTTATTCCATTGAGCCATCGGCACTAGTAATAAATTTCAGAGTTTTCTTTGTTGAAGATTTGGCTTTACACTTCTGCCTGAATGGTGCTGTCAGTGGTGTAATTTGATTGGTTAATGTACATGCGGTCATGGGGTATAACATAATGACAAACACACACGATGTTGCTTTTTAATGTGAATTTAGTTACATTTTGCACTGAAGTAAATGTAACGGAAATTAGTTAAAATTTTGATTGGCCTGTTGATTGGAGCCAAACACAACCTACCCATTTCTTTGTCAAACAAAGGAATAATTTCCTCCAAACGTTCGGCCGCCCTTTGATGAAATTCCAACTGTGCCAGAGCAAACTGCAAAACAAAAATATGATATCAAAATTGAATTACTTAGATAGTAGCAACATTTATCAAACCACCATTTCCTAGTAAAATTCAGGTATTGAACTGAATTTAACTGGAATGCGACTTCCCACCAAAAAATTTGAGGCCAGCCGCTCAACTAGTGCCAATCTATTCACACGAAGTCACGAAAGGCCCAAAGAAAGTTCATTGACGAATAATGACAGAAAGCCGAAATGCTTGACTTTATTACATCCAGACAAGCATGCTTATCTCCAGACTTTATTACCTCCAGACAAGCATACCTCAAGCATGCTTATCTAAAAGTAATCTTCAAGTATAAAGTTAGTTTAAAGAACATTATACTGTACACAATGAACTAAATATATAGATAAATGAATGGCTATCTTAAAGTTTAAGCCTGTACTTTCAGGAAGCCAAATTTAACTCCAAACACATGTATCTTAGGACCGTTCATGGAAAGACTAGAAATAGTCAAACTGCTGGATATAAATGCTGGCGGGAAGTAGTCAAATTTAGCGGAAAATTTCGTGAAAATTTTGGTAATACACTAAGCATCATTTTGTTCACACCGTCATCAAGAGTTTACACAAAAAGATCATTCATGAAATGAATTCTCTTTGAAAAAATTTCTTGGCTGAAAACGACAAACTTTAATTTTGGTGAAGGGGCTGACTCCCCTACAACGAAATTCGCATCCCTTATCAAGGTTGTAATAACAGTTGAAATATTCATGTGATAGTTTACTTTTCTAATGAGATCGGCATACTCTTGTTCTTTTGAGACTAAGGTGAGCATTTCTGTGGTAAAAAGATCCTAAAAAATATAAAATGTAAAACTTGCTGATGAAAAGATAGCTGAAAAATGAACGACTGAAATCAATAACAATGACAGTCAACAATAATCAATGACCATTATTTCCAAAATTGAAATGTCTACTCAAACCTAGCCAAAAACTTTAACTTAGTGAAATAAAGACTAACCTTATGTACAAACCACAAATTTACAACTAGCAGTGTGCGAATTAACTGTGTGCAATGTGCAATTTGCACATCGTTTTAGCTAAAATGAAAACAATTGCACATCACTTTTTCAAACGATGTGCAAAAATCAGCGGTTTTAACCAAAAACACTGTCGTAAATCATATGAATTTGTTCAAGTTTATAACTATTAATTTAGCAATTAGCGCTGTATAATAATTAACGTAATATCGATTTGATTATGACTCTAAAGAAACACTTTTGTCAAAAAAATTGCACATCGTTTTTTCTAAACTAATTCGCACACTGCAATTAGCTCCAGAAATATTCATTCAACCTTTGCAGCTTCAAATTTCGTCATTTCCTCTTCATACTGCATCTTAAGTTGTTCAGCTTTGGATTCGGCAACCGCATAATCTTTTGTATTGCTCCCTTCCTTAATTTTCACAGCTGCATAATACCTGAAAATCATGTATGTAAAAATCAATTTCTATTGACTAAATTCTTCCCTTAGGAACAAGTATTACTTTCATGTTAAAAATATTAGATGTCAGTTGTTGGTAGTGCTACAACATACATTGTTAACTTGGGTGAACATCTTGAGTAAGATCCTATATAAGATCCTACAGCATAATATCCTATATCCTATCCTTGATCCTATATCCTATCCTATTCTTGATTCTATTTCTTAGGATTCTCTGACAATGGCTTTGGAAAGATCCAACAGGTTAGGTGTAATGTAGGACAGAGGTAGTATTCTTGAACTGGATCCTTTTGGATCTTACAAGATTTTTTAAAATACAAGTTAGATCCTATGAAGATCCTGTAAGATCCTGATGGGTTCCTAAGAAAGATCCTAAACAGGATTTTCACCAGGGGAAAGTTGATTTTATCATCCAGATTATTGCCATGAAACTTAGTCCTTGCCCAGCAACAATAATCTCTAAAGTTCTTGCCATTACAAATATAGCCTACCTTGACCGCAATGTATCCATGTCAAGTCCAATTTTTGCCAATTTCTTCTTATTATGATTTATTGAAGGAATATCATTCTAAAATTAAAGTGAAAATATTAAAATACCAGTGGATTTAATGAGAACAAAGAAAACCTGGCAAAAATCATGTTTCGGATCATGTACAACTTGACAGGATCTTATCAAGGATCCTGTGAAGTTTTAATATTTGTTATCAACTGGGATCATGTCATATCTTGTATTATGCTACAGGGTCCTCAACTGTATTCCTCTTATTTCTACACAGATCCCGTAGGATTTTGTATACGATCCTACATATGTCTTCATAGAATCCTACATATGTCCTCACAGGATCTTGAATGCTTTAGGATTCGATTTGCAACCCTTGGAAGCCATTTGATGATCTGACAGGCCATACAAAATAGGATTCTAACTTTCATGATTTTACCAAGAACTTATGAAGACATCTTTTTGGATCATGAAAAATCTCCTGTTCCCAAAAATGATCCTATAAGATCCTGCAGGAAACTGGGGTCTGAGAGATTTCCAACAAGTACAGGCATTCAAATTTCAGCATATTTAATGGAATTACATAGTAACCAAGTAAAATATCAGAGGAACCAGTAGTGGCCTGGGACCAAATGATGTAGTAATGTATTTAAGTGGCTAAGTGTAAATGAGCGGACCATTACTCAATGCATTCGTATTTTTTTCCATCGAAATGGTTTTCGATGTGATAAGATGCAAGTATGTGGTGGTCAGCTCCTGAATGCAAGTTGTTCTATTCAGGACCTGGACTCCAAGCAACCCAAAATGTGTACTAAGTTGCTCAAGCTTGCACCTAACCATCCATGTGGTAAGTATGGTAACGATGGATATTAACATTGTTTATTTATCTAGTCCTACCTCTACCACATTTTGAAACGGTGTGATTATTGTCTTCTCAACATCCATTTCATATTCGGCAATTTCCTTAGCAATTTTCATTTGAGAATCCCCACATAACCTAGCCATATTCCTGAAAGTAAATGCATCAAGTTTGCTAATATTAGATATGTCAAGGCTCAGATAGCTCATAGTAGAGAGATGACATAATGAACAATGAGCAGAAAAATGATACTAAGGTAAGAACTGTCAGATAAGTGACCTAGAAGATGTGTACAGTCACACTTAAAGAGGACATGAAGAAAGGGGGTTTGAGACAAGGGACTCGATGACAAATAACAGAACTAAACACAGGCAGATGATATGCCGTGGAAACCAGTAAGAGGAAAGGCCAAAAGAGAAAGGCAGAGAAAAAATGTCAACAATTTTTTGTTGCTTTCAACCAAACTTACCCAAGAATTGATTCCTCTCCTATCACTGTGGCGACCTCTTCCATGCTTTGCGCAAAAGCCATGTGAGGTAGCTTTTTCTAATAAAAACAAATAACGCACCATCTATTAAAATTCAATAACTGTAAAAGGTTCAATCACTTCCCCTCTTTCATCACAAAAACACCCAATACAAAAAAGAAGAAAGATACCCAATACGTAAAGAAGAAAGATATCCAATCAAACATACCAAACGTTTATCAACGTCAGATCCTGTGCTTTGAAGGCAAGCATTGAGCTTTTTGCTTGTGATGTGACAGACTTGGCGGATTTTTTCAACCTTTTTCTCAACCTGGAATGTGCACAAGAAGGACTATGTGACAAAAACTGGAAATTAATGAAAATCTTAAAATGATCAAACAGCCCTTACATCTTGCAAGTCTTCGTTAAGTAGCTCAGTTTTCTCAGCCCTAAGAAAGAACAAAACCAACAAACAACAATCAACTAGATACATAAACGATGAGCGACTGAAATAAACAGTTGTATTATGGATGGAGAAAATTACCAAATCAGAACACAGTTTGCACACACAACAAAAAAGTAAAAAGTCATGAAAATATCAACACATTCACTAAACCGAAAACTCGTTGCACGAGTTGAGCTTGTATCAAATAAACAATCTTCAAAGTGATCGTCAATTATTGTTCCGTAGTACAATGCATTGAAATTTAATTATATCGATTTTCTGGTAAATGACTTTCGTGACACCAGCAAATATTAATCTTCCCTCGAAACATGAATTAGTTGTCTTCGTTTCAAGCAATCCATCAAAAGTATAAATTAGAAATTTTGGCGTAATATTTTAACGGAATTTGCAACATGTTGTTAATCCTTCAAGTGTTGTATAGCAACTCTTTCATTTTCCCTTGTGAAATTATGGTACAAAAACATACCTTCCTACACGCTGGTCAGCTAACTGTTTCACTCGATAAAACTGTTTCCGCATGATGCTGATATCTTTTTCGAGTCATTCGCAACAAATCAGTAAATTTAAGTTCTTATTATACGAAGTTGTCCAGCTTTAAGAGGCCATGATTATGACCTTTGCCAGTTTCCACTTGGCCCAGTTCTTACGTTAGCACTTAATTCGCCCCTCCCCGCCAGCTAATTAAATTGATTAAGGTTATCTCTTTCATAAGGATTAGTGACTTTCAAAAACCACAAGATTTTCGAAACAATCGAAGAAAACTGCTATCCACTACTTAGCAAGCCATGCTTTGTGTGTCTGGTCTTTGAACTACGATGGAAAACATAGTAAAAAGAGACTTGCCGAGCGGAAATCGAATTCGTGTAATAAAAATTAATGCCCAACATAAAGTTTTAATTAGAGCCATAGAAATAGACCAAAAATTGTAGGATTGAATTTATTGTGACGTTTCGTCTTTACTCAACACATCTTCAGACAATTAATTAATAGGATGTTATAATATAATATCTTGTCTTAATTATGTAATAAAGATAATTGTTTAATTGCGTTTGTTGTTCTAAAGAAGTAAATTCCCTAAAAGATGCGTTTAATAACGAAATTTCGAGTACTTCAACCGTTCAACCTAACTTTCTTAGAAAAAAGTCGCACTAGGTCATCAGTAGCGCATGGTGGCGTAGATGGATGGGGGGGGGGAAGAATTTTCCAAGACCCCTGCTGGTCATTAGTGGCAGGCAAGTTTTGTTTATGGAGTGGGGGAGTAGAAACCAAAACTGCTCTTACATATACTAAATACAGCGACTTCGGTTATACAAAACTTTGGTATTGTGGTTTTGTGGTTATAAAACAACACAAGGTTTTCCTGTTTTTGAATGGCTTGAAAGCTAAAGTAAACAACAAACAAATTAAATGATTGGGGGAGGGGCAAAGATAGGAACTTACTGTGTAGCGACCTTTGCAGAAATTTTTTATTATAGTTGGTACATTTCAAAACTCAATATAATTTACTTTAACCAATAAATCTTTACACCACAATGATTGGCTGTTCAAAAACTTAATCCTAAAAACTTAGTCTACACTAAGTTACTCATCCCTCACGTATTTGTACAAAATATTTCAACGGTCGTTACGTTAATTACCGGTTGTTTCCGATTATTACCGATTGTTTCCGATTGGGATGGGCGAGTCAACTTCTTAGATTCCATGACTGTCCATGACAAAGTAATCAAATTCTCAGTCAAAAAAACTTCGAAAACCTAGTTTCTCTTAAGCATTGATGCCATTAGAATCGCCCGCATAATTCACGACGATCAATTATAAAACAGATTTAATCGATTAGCCGCATAAATTAGCCGATAGATGACATTTAGCTATGTTAATTACCACAACGTCAGAACGGGTTATAATTTAACGGTAGGATATAAATGACATCATGGTTACGAATGTCAGTTTATTTGTTGATGATTGTGTTTGTGCAGACATCTGTGGTAGACGACTTAGCGTCCGCTGTGACTCAACTACGGTAAAGTGTAATGGATAAGGGCTGACTGTGAAGTGTTTATCGCGCCAGCAACAGCCAATGAAATTTGAATTGTCCGAAAACCTAAAGTATATCTATTTCACGAAGTCTGTGTTTGAAAAACATGAGGATATGTTATTTGGATCGTGCGTTACTACAAGACTTCGTTACCATACTGTTGTCGTTATGGAAATTTACATTTCTTGGTGAGTTGATGCTTTTATAGTTCAACTATACAGTTTCGTAATTTCACAATGCGGTACTAATTGTTGATTGAATCTGGGGTACGAATTGTTACATTTTTTCCTTCATAACTCGCATTTGTGTGCGTAGAAATTCATGTCGCTAATGGCATGACAAAGTGATTCAATTTGAAAACTTAACAACCTTTGTATTTGTTAAACAGTTGTTCTATCATTATGTACATCAGTATTTGCTCTCTCGGCGTGTAATTCAATACCAATTCTCGAAAAATAAAATATTAATTCTAATTTTACCCTAAAGTTGTGTTGAAGTATTCATAAATGGAGATAAATGTTGCAATTAAAGGGATTAGAATTTTCTAATTTCAACATTTATTGTTGCAATTCATGCGTTAAATATTTGTCGCTACGATTTTGCAGGAGCCAAAAACTTGCGTCGACAAAATTGTGGGGTTAGCGAGTGAAGGACAAAATTGACATTCCTACTATATAATTACAGGAAAAGCCCCTTTATTTGATAAATTTATACTGCTACACAATTCGCTATTTTCAAAACAAGAGTTTCATGGTTTTCGCTTTTAGTTTGCGGGTGTAATTGACTTAGAAACTGTTCTGCGGTTTAAGATATTTTTCCATACGTTTTTGCGTTTCAGTGTAAGTTAGAAAATTAGTGATTTTCTTTCAAGCTGTGAAAACTTTACGCTCCCTAATGTCCTACAGAATTTGCTGTATCATCCACGCAGTTATGGTTGACGTCGTCATGTTAAAGAACTTGCTGAACAACCATTGATTTAAGGGGCAGAAAATTCCTTCCTCGAAATTAATGCGTCCCGAAATTGTTTTCATTACATTGATGCAAGCCATAATTATGACCATCTGATACATGAAATCCAATTTTTTCTCATACATTAATTTAACAAAAGCTAGTTACATTAGGGACAATAGAAGAAGTATGGCTACATCTCACTGAGAAAATCAACATCAGACATAATATTTTCGCGTAGTATAGGAAAGTAAAAGTTCGATACCAGTTTTGAATCATAGAATTGGCTAACTAACTGTTACATTCCGCGAAATTATTACTTCTGAGCTTTTTTGACGATGTCATTGTTGTTCGGTTTGAACACGCTTCGTTTTTCCTTAGTCACTACGCTGTGTCTGTGCGACACACGTCTGTCTCGTTTTCCAAAGGAAATTGGTTTTTTGTGCCTATTTCATCGCACGAGTTGAATACATCTTGAAACTCTTCGAGTATTTTTCGGACTTGTCATTAATATATATGCTACCCGAAATATAACTATCCTTGTTGAAATACAAAATAAAACCTTTACACACTCAAGTAATTAAAAAAAAACGTTGCTAATACCATAGGAGGATACTATATAAGCACTGACATGTTAATCTTTTTTTAGCACTTGACGAGAAGTATGCCAAAACGCATTCCTAGTTGTAGAAAGTGTAGCTAGGTCATTTGAAATGTCTTCTATGTACATTGTTTGCCTAATCATATCAAAGTTTCGTTTGATATATAGCTTTCGCAGTATGTTGTCCGACATGTTGCCGTTCACTGTTTACTACGAACACAGATTACGTATAAAACAGTTGGATTAGTGAGCATTTGAACATCGCTATTTATGATGTATGACTTCAGCTTATGAAGATGACCTTAAAGTCAAATAACACTCCTTTTAAGCACGCGATGAAACGTTGAAAGCTTTGAAATACTGTAAGACATGATGCCATTGTTGACAAAATTGTTGATAGGACGTACTTTAATGCTGTTTAGAGCAAATTATTCGAAACTTCAGCTAATTTTTGTATGAATTTGTCGAACGGACAAAGTTATCCTCTACTTTTTGCTTAACGTACCACATTATGTTGTTCGTAGGTTGCTCCATGCTGTTCAAAAGTGCAGAAGCGTCACAATCACCGACGTCGTCTCATCAGAATTCGGCCAATCATGGAAGTTACATGTCAAAGTCCATGAATACCGTTAATTTGCAAACGTCTGATGCAGGTATAAAATCTTAAAAATGTCAACACATATGTCCCTAATGACTTTATTTGTTTACTTATTTATTTATTTCATAAGTAGTTACGGTATGCGCCATAAATATTTATACAACATGAAACACAATCATTGGTTCAATTTCTTTGAAAATCTAAGTCATGCACTCTTTCTGAGCCAGTAAATATTTGCTCATTTAAGCTCGACATTCTTATTTTCCCCCGATTTCAGGTTCAAAATGTTGTTGCCTAGTTCTTATTATGCAATCTTTTCTGAGATATAAATGTACCATAATGTACCATAATGTACCTATGTCATGCATATGATATCGCAAGATTAGTTACATGAAGAAATGTTTTACAAGCGTTTGCACTGTGCATTCTATTAAATCAATTTTTTAAAAAGTTATAATTGGCATGTTTGTCATCCGAAAGTTATTACTTTAAGCTGTCAAACTTGTCACTTTTGAAAGCATAACTATACAGGTTTTGTAGCCGTAACCAGGACGCCACTGAGAGATTGAGAGATATCACATGAAATTATAAAATTTTTGAGATTATCTGAAGTTGCGAACCCTGATTGATACATTCAAGTTGAACCACGCTAGCTAGTTGCAATCAATAATTATGCATCTTCCATTCGTTTAAGGTACATTGTGATATATTTTTAGCCAAGCGATGAGTTGTAACATCAAGGTTACGCACACTAAACTACAAGCTCAAAACAATAATTTTCGGATAACAAACCTGCTTATTATAACTTTTTAAAACGTTGATCAGAATGCACGGTTAACGGTAGCTTGCAAATGGTTGTAATTCTTTGCTGATTTGATTTGGTGTAATACAAAGTGGATCACATAGCACGCTTATTAGTCCTGCTATTTAAATTTTTCTATTTCCATTCACTTGAAAAAATAGATTTCCAAACTTCAATAGCATGTCTCAAACTTGCCGGCTGGCTACACTACTGATAGACATTACAGTATTTTAGTAGTAAAGCTGTTAAAAAGGTTGCCGTTGTTTAGCGTGAGTGCGATTTCTGCGTCGCACGCAGTGAAGTGAGAGAGCTTCGCGATAGACTAAAGAAGATGCGAAAAAATGAAGATTTATAGCATTTCGATTTCATTAAAAGTTTCACTCAGTCGAATATGCTACATTTTCTATATGCAAGATCACTGTTTTGCCTGTGGAGCAAGTCTGATGATCAGTTCAAATGAAATGGAAACTTAATTTATGATATCTTCGTTTCTCCTATGTCCTAGATTTGACAAGATATAAATCGTCAGATTGTTATATGTTTTCAAATTGTCGGGAGGCAGTGGATACTGATTGTTTTTAAAAGCTGTGGTGTAGCCAGCCTGCTTACATAGTCCTGCTGAGCAAATTATTCACCGTTTATTTACTGTGAAAGCAATAGATTTCTAAAGAAATGAAAAATGATGTTCTGAAATCAACGAGCAAAACTAACTCACGAGCAATGGCTAGCTACCCTATTGCGTATAAGTAATTTTTTCCGTATTTTTCAACAAAGCAATCACACACGGTGTCATCTAGTCACGGTGAGTCACAGTCGAAACACGGTGCCATCTAGTAACTGCAATCGTGGCGAGAATCTCTCGTCCATTCGTAGTATTAAAGAGATTTGACTCGTCTCCAATCCCTGTGGGCTTGGTAGCTCAACAGGTAGAGGCGGAGGACTAGTACACGAAGGGGCGAGTTCAAATCTCGTCCAAGTCACATGTTTTTCATGTGCATATAAAAACCGTGTTAGGATTTATATTAAGCAATCACACATGAAAACAAGTACTATGACTGGTAGCTGTCCGTCCGTAATATAAATATTTCATAATAAAACTTTACTGTAGGTATTCAACTATGGTTAATCGTGATAATCGTAGTAATCATTGGTCTATTGTTGGTGGCCATTGCTTTATGTCTTGTTAAACTTCATAAATGGTAAGTAACATTTCCATAGAAACTATCGCATCGTAAATTCCTAGAAATGTATTCCTGTTTACTGTACACATGCACATTTTTTTCATAAAAGGAAAAAGGACCATGGTATGTATTCCATGTGGAAAAGTCAAGAGCCCAGTGTCGAAGCAATGATTGCCAGGTATATAAATAGCATTTTCATAGAATATTTATTGACTTGATATGAAAATTTGTTATAAAATATAAACAATTAAACGCGTGCGCTGATTGGTCTATAGCTGAGTTTTCATTAGCCTATGCCCAATTGCGAAATCGATCAAAGCTTGAGAGAATTTGCACATCAATCATCAATACATGTTATAGGAAAAAGGAAAACGCTTGTTTTATACCTGTGTGTTTCGCATTATTGTTATTTTATAAAAGAAATAAAACATGTTTTTCGTGTTTGTACTGGCTTATGCAAACCTCGGGAACGTTTGTGAAAACTCGTCGAGGCTCGCACTGATCTGCTTTCGAGTTCTCCCAAACTTCTTCTCGGTTTGCATAAGCCTACACGTGCAATCACGAAAACATCTTTTATTTCTTAAACGAAAACGTTTCCCGTTGTTTTCATTGTAGGGAACCCGGTACTCTGTTGGAGAGTTTCGACGGTAAGTAATATTTGACTGTGTAACCATTGAGAAAGTTGGGGGGGGGGTTCATCGTACATGGATTTAATTGGAGAGTGTCTGAATTAAAGTATATGAAAAGCCTACTTTCTCTCGTAAAGGTTAGTCATTTTGAACCTAGGGAAGGTCGCTCATGCATGAAAGCAAAGCCATTATACTTGACGTCGCCCAGTGCAAAATAAAATGTTTCTTCTCAGGCCTATATACTAGTCTCATATGTGCTTTCTCTGTTGTGGCCATACATGCAAATTTACAAGATTTGGTCTGATGAATTTGGACTCTCCCACCTGCTTTATAAAGCTGCGAAGTTCAGAAAAGGGGGGAGTGTTTATACTCATCCGACCTTCTCTGGTAAAAAACATTTGCACATATGCTCACACTGGCTATTATTTAAAAAACCTACATGCTTAAGATGCAAGACCAAATTTTCTTTCCAGTACTTGCATTTATCAATTTCACGCCATGTATAATTAATTACAGTCGAAACCGAGTACGAAGAAGCGCAATGCTATGAAATTCCAGTAGACTCATATGAAAGACCTCAGAGAATCTATATTGAAGGAAAAAGAGTTACATTGGCATCTGAAGGTGCGCAATGTCCACAGTCTGAAACATCACCATTGTACACAATCGTGGATGAAACACCTGTGGTTGATCAAGCTGGATGCAGTTCAGTCAATACAACTGAAAGGATTAGTCAAAACAGCTCAACAGATCAAGGCAAGTTAGTCTTTTCTGTTTCGGATTATATCCTCCACAAATCTTTACAGTCGAACCTCCCGCAAGGGGACCCCTAGGGATCTTGTGTCTGCTTACGGGAGATGTTTGGTTATGAAAGGTTATGGCAAGGACTCAAAAGCAGTGTCCCCTTATTACGGATGTCCGTATGTAGAGGTTCGACTGTATGTAGGTTTTCTGTCTTATGTATAATTCGTTCATGCCTCAAAATAAAAAAGATGACTTGATATTTCAATTTTTTCTGGTAAGCCAAGAGAAGTTTTTACTGCCATTTTTATTCTTAAACTGACAAAATTTCATCACATTTTACCTTGTATATTTACATTGCAATTTATGCTGATTATCAACAACTTCAAGTAATTAAGAATGGAAGTTGCATGATAAACGAGTAAAATGAAGCGCATTGGTGTCAAACCTTGAGACACGTAGCACACTTGAACAGTACCAGTTTGCCCAAAGCTTTTAAACACAACCAGTTCACATAAAGAGCTTGAGTGAAATTAGTTCATCCTTGAAACTTGAACAGAATCAGTTTTTATAAAAAAACCTGATTGAAGTCAGTTCGCCTAAGAAACTTAACAAAACCAGTTTACATTAGAAACATGAACAAAACCAGTCACATTGGAAACTTGAATGAAACAAGTTCACATAACAAACTTCAACAAAACCAGTTCACATTAGAAACATGAATGAAACAAGTTCACATAAGAAACTTGAACAGAACCAGTTCAAAATTGGAAACTTGAATGAAACCAGTTTACATAAGAAACTTGAACAGAACCAGTTCAAAATTGGAAACTTGAATGAAACCAGTTTACATAAGAAACTTGAACAGAACCAGTTCAAAATTGGAAACTTGAATGAAACCAGTTTACATAAGAAACTTGAACAGAACCAGTTCAAAATTGGAAACTTGAATTAAACCAGTTTACATAAGAAACTTGAAGAGAATCAGTTCACATAAAAAACTTGAACAGAACCAGTTCGCCTGAAACACTTTAACAGAACCAGTTTAAAAAAGAAACTTGAACAAGTCCAGTTGACTTTAAAAAAACAGTCCGCGATAGAAAACTTACAATGTTTTTTTTTGCTGCAGATTTCAATGAAAATAGTAATATGTCTGACGACGTGTTCGACAATCCAAGTCAAAACGAAGCAGAGGTCTACCCAAAACCTTTACCTCTCCCCCCGGTGGATCCTCCAAAGGTAGATCTCCCTACCCCCGTGCTGTGCGAGACTTACACACTTGATGTTACCCCAAGAGAAAAATGTTTTAACAATTTAGTCAACAGGCCGCTCCCCCAAACACCAAAAAACGCCTTCCCCCCTGAAAATTACAGTGCAGTCAGCCTTGATCGTAGCTTACTAAAACGGCAAAGAGAGGCAAGACTGAATAAAACGGAAACGGCACGAACATTACCCAGACCCTACAAGATACGTCAAATTTCTCGACCTTTAATCAACGCGTTGACGCGTTCAACAAGTAACACTGACGTTAGTAAGGAAACGTCACGACTTAGTGATCATGTGGCTTCGGATCCAAATCAATGCACGCTGACCAGAGTGAAGAAACGGACATCACAGTCACTGGACACGCTACTGCAGTCAGAACGCGTGAGTCATTTTTACGAGAACCCGGATATAGTAGAAGGGATACTTAGGGACATTATCAGCAATCGTCAAGCGTCCCTAAATGACCCACGTTCCTCACGAGCATCCTGTCAAATTGAAGAGAACTCGATCAATGAAAAAGATCACGTATACACAAGGATAAGCCAATACTTGGATGTACTAGAGAACAGAGATACAGCTAGCATTCGCAATCCCTCGTTTCGTTCTAGACCAAGGTCCAAGCATATCTACGTAAGTATTATATTCGAAAGCTCCGATTCGGTGTGTTTTCCGAGCATAGATCCTGCACGAGATCAGGGATTTACAAGATTAACTAATAATACACGAGATCAGGGATTCACAAGACCAACTAAAAGCATGAGCAGATCTTGTCCTAGCCTAAGTGCGAACACAGAATCTCAAATTAACACCAAAACCAAACATCGACCCATCAGTTGTTACCCTCCAAAAGGAAATTTCAGCAGGTTGTATCGCAATAACTCACACCACAAGGAAGCAAGAATTCATCGCACAAATGAAGTGTCATCACTTTTCCCTGCACACTATCAAAACATCGAAGAATCATTCCGTTTTTCTTCTCCCTTTGGTAACACTCAAAACAGCCAAGCATATTTAAATGTCGTCTATCAAAACCTAAATCAAGTTGACGAAAGTCAACACAACACGACCAAGCTTATTCCCCCTTTAAATCATGCGCAATCTCATTATGAAAATATCCCTTGCGTGAGGGATAGCACAGGAACATTGGAGGGAAATGGTGAAAATCTCAACAAGGATCAGTACACTATCCCAAGAAGTCCTCCTATCACCAAAGAGAATCCATACGGCGTGCCTCGAAGTCCACCAGTCGTTCCTGAAGGTCCCTATGGTGTTCCTAAGAGTCCCACTGGCTCAACGAATCAGTATAGTGGTGTACCTCGAAGTCCATCCATCGTTCCTGAAGGTCACTATGGTGTTCCTAAGAGTCCCCCGGTGTCACTGAATCAGTTTTTCGAGAAAATCAAAACAAACGACACCAATTCGAAGCACGAATCACCCGCACCACGAAACTACCAGGATTCTCAGAATTCCACCGGAGATATACAAATATGTCAACGAAAAAGTACAAACGCAAAAAAAGAACGTTTGGTAGGCAACGAAAAACACGACACGTTGAGCACTTATTTAGAAAAACGCCTAGAAGGTATGAACAACGAAAACATGGACAATAGAGAAAGTAATGGAGAAAATTTTGGTGAAGACGATCCAACGCATTGTGGGACATCGGAGAGTCGGAGTTCTGACCAATCAGAGAGCCTCATTTCAGGCCAGTCTGAGAACTCTTGTAACCAAAATTCCTCATCTCCCTGGTCATATTCCAGCACAGAAAAGAAGGATGATCATGAGGACGTGCTGTTGGTGCAGAGGACTTCGGACTGCAATGGAAACTCTGTATGCCAATGTATTGTACATAAAATTAAAGTTGGAACACGTTTGCCATCAAGTGATTATGTCTTTGGAGAGTCAGTAGCTTGACGCTGGAAACTCTATATGCCAAAGTATTGTACATAAAATTAAAGTTGGAACACGTTTGCCATCAAGTGATTATGTCTTTGAAGAGTCAGTAGCTTGACGCTGGCTGTCTTGCAGCATGTATTTTATAAATAAAAGTGTGGGCAATCGCTTGCGGTTTTTTTTATTTATTTATCACGAACTCCAAGTTTTCCAACTCAGACTAATTTCTTTCTTAGACTTTCACAATTTAACACTGGAGCTGTTTTATCCAAAAAAATTGTAAGTGTAAATTAATCATTCATAACACTTGAAGAAATCTTCAATCAAACCTTTGATGCAAGAGCTTATATTTTTCCACAGTAATGGATTCAGAATGATTATGTAGGGTACATGAGGGTCCCTCTAAAGTGACTACTTTGTGGATCCTATTGTGTCATGTTAGATATTCGGTTTTTGTTGAACTCTGTTACTCTTATTCCATAGTTGAGAGATATATTCTTTAAGTGTGCCCAGAAACATTAATCACAATTGCTTTAGGTAGATGCATTTATATTTTGTACGGAAATTGAGACCGTGCTAAATCTAGGAGGGGGTGCCCCCCAAGAAAATCTATCCTTGACTTTCCATAGCTTGGGTTAGCAGTGCTATGATATGGAATCATCACTGATCAAAGATGCCTCACACATGTATGCATCCACATTGAATAAACATTTAGACTTGCATTAGGCAAACTTTCTAAGCAGAGCAAAGAATATATCAAACTTTAACCAAAGCTCTGGACCGACTGAGCGTTTCCAAAAACACTCCATAAAACTAAGTGTCATCAGGCAAAATATTTTTTATATTGTTTTATTTTTATATTCCTTTGAGAAAGGACATTTTCCGTTTACTAACGTTGTTTTCAGTTTTTCCTTTAAAAATTGGTGTAGAACGAAAAACTTTTTGACTGAAATTTCGGGAAACAAAACATGGTATATCTACGAATTCTTAATGTTACTCAACAATTCTAATAAATGTCTCGAAAGATGAAAATTTGTGAACGTCAACTCTTCGAGATGCGTACATTACAATATTTTCCCTTGACTTGGCCATGAAGAAAACATTTGTATAATGCTTGGTAAATAATTGTAACTTCATGATTATGGTGTGTGATTATAGTGAATAGAAAATGAGCAGTAGATGAAGTTAAATACAATCTCAGCGAGTAAGTAACCAACTCAAACAGCCACTTCAGACTGCAGTTTCTCATAACATTGACGCATTTGCTTCTTGCAACACTTCTTATATTTTGGTACTTTAAGAACTCAAGAGAATCAAGATTTGATGCCTACTGTACTTAGCCTATATCAAAACCTTATTAGATTATTACCTAATTTACCATATCAAATAAACAAATTGTGAAAGACTGAGAATTGCTTTACGATTTCTCAATTTTAGGAAGGAGAAAGCGTTAACACGCAGCCGTTCACTATGGTTTGCAGCAGAAAATATTTAAGCAACTTTTGAGGAAGATATAAGCACAAATGATCGTTAAAAATACAAATATCAAAGATGACGCACACCTCACAAAAAGTTTTCACTTAAGAAATAAAAGAGGTTTACTGTATTTGCACAGGCTTATGCAAGCCGAGGAGACTTTTGGGAGAACTAGAGAGCAAATCGGTGCAAGCCCGAGATCGAAGGTCGAGGGTTGAACCTGCTCCATATTCGCCATTTCATAACGCAAGGAACTTAGAATAGTAATGAAATTGTTTCATTTTAGTTATTTTCAATCAGTTTTTCTTTTTTTTCCGAGCAAACATTACAAAAATCCTCCAAAATCCCTTTGTTGTGTTTCATTACATACAAATGACTTGCATATTTCGTCAATGTTTAAACCATTTAAAATTTCCTGGTTCCAGGTGCCCGTTCAATAATTTGAAAATTTGGTACACATATCATAAACGTTCAAGTGAAAAGCTAAATTTGAGGGGTCCTTCCCATAAAGTACACCCACACTACAAAATTATGAATGTCCTTCCTATAAGATAAACCCACACAACATAATTTGTGGGGGTTCTTCCTATAAAGTACATCCACACTACAAAATTATGGGTGTCCTTCCTATAAGATAAACCCACACTACAAAAATTGTGAGTGTCCTTCATTTAAGGTAACCCACACTATAAAATTTGTGAGTGTTTGAACACCCAGACACCCACGGCTTCCCAAGCCTCTGGTTATGATGGTTTCAAAACACTTTAAATGAAGATCCCTTTTGTCATGTTTTGTACATTAGTTAAAGTACACTTACCCAAATAATTACATTACAGAATAACATCTAGAGTATTGGTGCATGTGCCTCATAAAGCCCAATAAGGCCTTTACATGTATACTTGATTGAGGTGAACATTACTTTATGTAAGTCTGGCATAAGTAGGTTCATATCATGTTTAAATCATCTCATCTATTCCCTCTGATTCAGAAACCAGAGCTCTTTCCAAAATAACTCGTCCTTCCTATAATTGCCAATTTAACAAACAAAAATAAGACACCAGAAAGTGTATGTATTTATTTGTGGTATTTGTTGCCCATATGTGTTTACTCCTGCTGTAAAAACATAGTTTTCCTGATATGTATTGTTATAAATTCTAAATGAACTAATCCCAGATAATTAGACATTGATATGTATTGTTATAAATTATAAATGAACTAATCCTAGATAATTAGACATTGATATGTATTGTTATAAATTATAAATGAACTAATCCCAGATAATTAGACATTGATATGTATTGTTATAAATTCTAAATGAACTAATCCCAGATAATCAGACATTGCACTACTTGGAATTTGCAGGTTGTTATTTGAAGAATGGGATCACTTGTGCTTTGAAAAAGGATATGTAATCTTTTGATTTCAAAAACACTAAATTTAAAAATATCATTACAAAGTGGCATCCTCAGTTTTACTCACAACTCGGCAATATTTTTTGTTGGCAATCCTCATCACGTAAAACAATTTGAGGATGCCACTTTGTGAACAATTTCATTCATTTAGTAGTAATAACATATTTATATAGACAGGAACTTTCTTCTTGTACAGTATTTATTTTGGTGCTAACTCACTGTATGAAAAGTAGATTAACACAAATAAAATGAAGACTTGCAAAGTCATAATTCCACATTGACCACACACCACAGTCTGATTATAAGGTGTGTCTTTTCAGGGACTGTTGAGAGCCAGACCCTGGTGATTCCTCTGAATCAGTGTGATCATATATGTAAATTTTTTACCAGATTAAGTTAAATGAGCTTAAACACTCCCCCCTGTTCTGAACTTTGCAACTATATAAAGCAGGTGGGAGAGTGAGCTTATCAGACCAAAAAATTCAGATGCATGATAACACTGCTCAGAAAATCAACAGACCCTTGTGCTACTTCAGAAAATCAACATACAGAGGGTCATATTCATTGATTTTTGTGTAAGAGATATACATCTTTAATTGGCATTCATTCATTGTAAAAAAAGGCAATTTACCCTCCCCCACACCCCCACTTCTTGGAGACATTAAAAATGTCAGAGTTAGTAACATATGATAAGTTCTTAACATTCTGATGCATAGAACTTTGACACAAAAATCACGGCGGATGACCTTATGGATGTTGATATTCACTAAAATTACCTTGTAACGTTGTCCGTCTTCAACAGCAAATTCCTAGAACAAAAAGAAAGTTGAGAAAAGTAAAAAGTAATTTCAGCCGCAGCCTAATAAGCTCATTCATTTTCTTACATATCAGTGGATGGCACAATCCTAGCCTATTCTGCAATCTGATTTGCTTTGTCATCAGATATACAGTACCGACCTCAAGTAACATAACTTGACTCGCGAGTATCGAATGGCGAGTGGGCAAGTGACTCGCGATGCAGTTGCGGAGAAAGAAATTTTTCCGAATTATTTCGATTTATTCGCAAACAGCGAAATATTTTATCCACTCGCAAACCTCTCACACGCAACTGCATCGCGAGTCACTCGCCCACTCGCCATTCGATACTCGCGAGTCAAGTTATGTTACTCGAGGTCGGTGCTGTAATTTTACAATATTGGAGTGTGCTGTATAGAACCTATTGTTAAGAAAGGAGCTGTTTTGTTGTTTAAATAAATAAAATTTGCAAACTTTTGATTATAATAATCTACTTAAAGTAAATTTTGAGTTTTCCAAAGCAAAATAAATAGCAGAACTTTATTTCTGTTGTTCAACCTGACTCTCATAGACATCTCTTGGGTTTCATAAATCTCCTTAAAAGACGTCTTGGAAAAATACTTTTAAATTCAGACCTTCCAGTGGGTAAATGAAACATAAATCTTTCCCCTGATACTTACATACATCCAACCAAGTTTGGTATCACAGTTCTTGCAAGAAACATCTCGAACCATGTGCCTTCCTGTCAGCTGAAACATGTATAAAATATTGAAATTTCAACAAATTTTTTCATGTACACATACTACACAGCAATATAATCTCAATCTCAAACCATAATTCTATCTTGAACATCGCTTAAAGTAATGTTGACACTAGTAAAAAACAACAAAGTTTTGTAAGGTATAATATAATAATTTAAATCGTCACAATTACAACTTACACTTTATTGAATAAGAATGCTCTTCCAGTGGCCCCTGTGAATCTCTACAATGCAAAACATCACAGAAAAAGATAAAGTTTCCATTGACAGAAAGTAGAAAATTTACTCTGACGACACACCATTGAAATAAGTTGCGATTTATTCGTCAAAGCCGTCCCGCATTTTTCACAAGAATATATCCTAGCGCCACCAGGATGCTCTAGAAATACTTTTCCCATCTTGAAAATGACAAAATCCTGTAATATTAGCAATTTATTTCGTTTTTGTTTTCATTCAAATGATTCAACCAATGTATTCAACTAACAATTGAAAGGAAGAAATTTGTCCGCATACTTTATGTAATACGTAATACGGCGTCCTAGCATCGAGAACAAGCTACAGATCATGTAGTGACTAGGGTAGGGAGAGTACGGTGGCCCACAAGTATAATACACGAACACAAATAGCAGTACACGAATACAAGTACATAACACGAACACAGAAGTAAACGTACACAAATATGAGCACACGAACACAAATAGAAATACACGAACACAAATCGAAATACACTAATACAAATCGAAATACACCACATCGCCAGTCCATATTCCGCTCCCTTTAACAATGACGAAAACACGAAACACTAAGTATACAGTTTACATCACAATTGCTAGCAGTTAAATACTCCAAGCATACATTCTCAAGATCGAAAAAGCAATACGGTATTACTTTACTGGAAATTATCAAAACAAACTACAAACACGCTCATACGCTACAATTCTTTCATAGAAGTGATGAAACAAACCTACATGGCTGTTGCCAAAAAAAACCCCAGACTGAATGCAAAGTAAAGAAGATGTTTATAGTTTCTACATGATACAATTAATGGATCAATCAGCTGGTGAAATACTTCTTTCAACAGTATATTATGGATTTCACCAAAAACAACAACAAATACAATATTGGACTGTCATATAATATTTAGATGTGAAGATATGAATTTAGCGCCCCCATCAGACATTATTGAACGTCCTTGAAATTTTCTCGCCAAGAATGGATGAAAACTCTTCAACTAGTTCATTGTATAACTGATAGGTGCTTCGAACTTCAAGTAAAGGACCACAAAAGTATGTGCGACATGCCGACGGGCTAAGCCATTTAAGTCGATGAATGTGATCTTCAACTTCATTTCTGACAGAACCACAGAGGCTCCAGTAGCGAACTGAAGAAATGCAATGACGTTTCTTCCAAGAGATTTAACGAATTTGGTCAAGTCGTCAAACGTTACGTGCTCGTTGTCAATTTGCGGAGATGCATCAAACATTTTAACGACTTTCTTCATTGTAGGCTTTTTTCATCATAAAATAAGAGAATGATTGCCTTTGTCACAGTATAGATACATATAGTAGTCTCACTCCACTGTGCAACTTGGTGCTGTATATTTAATTAGATTACTGGCTGCGTCTAGCCATCTCTGCCCTCCTATTGGCCAAAAAAAGCAATTGACTGGCTGCCAATATGATAATAACATGCGTAATAAGATGTGCGCTACACAAAAAATTCTATAGAGTGGGACTACTGTTTGTGTCTATGCTGTGCCATTGTATTTAATGGACGGCAGTGTTTTGGGAGATATACCCAAAGGCCAAGAAAAGAAAAAGAAACGTGAATATTTATGATAACTACAATAAATAATGTTATGACAAATGGCTTCACTTGGCCCCAAATATGGACACTGTTTTTTTCCAAAACAAAACGAAATGGGAGGGAAAACCGGTGGATCCGGTAAAAAAACCCTCCAATAAAAGAAAAGATCAAAAATTTAGAAAAATGTATTCAAATTTTTGTAGTTTTAAGAGGTTTCATATTTTAGTTGTTTTCAATGATCCCGATGATCTACTTTAACATGCAGCGTAGTCAGATCGTGCGTCGTATTCTTTCGTATAAAAAATGTAAATTTACAGAGCGACAAAAAAGCGGGCTGACTACCCTATTGACACAGAAAATATTTTGTGTTCGAACAAAAGAAACGCAAACTTTGGTAGAGAACAACAAAATGAAAGAGCGCAGAATGCTAACAGAAATTTTAATAAAACGAAAACTAACAGCAGCCCATACATAAATCATATGAAAAAATTATTCAGTACGTACGACCTGACCATTCACCTGCCAATAACAATGAAAAATGAAATGACCAAAGTGACGTCATGACTTGCATAAAAATAATTTTTCACGTCTACTAGACTTCAAAATTTCTATGTTGCTTCATTAAAACATTCATTAATAGCTGGCTTTCACTCGTGTGTTTCGTCAGAAAATTTATCAGTCGTGAAAATTTAGTTTTACGGAAAGTTTTAACAGTTGGATTTGAAAATGCGTTATATTGATAAACATTATGTAGTACAAAAATTGCAAGGATAAATATTTCAATAAGGACGCTTGATTCTTGGTGCTTCTGTTGGTGGCTCATTCATGGTACTGTTAGTAGGCCAACAAACATAGCTACTCTATAAAAAACACGTTATAAACATCAGCATAGTTAATGAACAAAAACAGAAATTAAATATATTGCAAAGAAAAAACTTTAATACCCGATTTCCAAGCGCTGTCCAGGTCAGTCTGACCCAGGCGACTTAGTAGGTCTCTTCCTTTTTCATCGCGCAGTTTTTGTGTGTATATTATAGAAATCTATTGTAACATTTTTATCTTAGAAATTCAATGAACCCTACTTGCAGCATTGCAATTTTCTCTATAAACGTTACATAAAATAAGTGAAAAGTAGGGAGTGAAAGCCAGCTATATTCACACAGCAAGTGACATCTTTTATTGACATTTTTTAAAATTTGGGTGTTTTACATGATTAAGGTTGAAATTATAAAAATAGACCATCAGGACCCTATCTCATGCAGTCTCATACAACACTCTCTTTAACTATCTCATGCAGTTACTCATACAACACTTATCTACTCAACTTACAAACCACAAGACATGGATCGTGTTTTTCCACTCGCTTGTTTTCCATCTTCGTAGAATATATTCTGCTTTTATAGTCCAACCACTTCAATGTTGATGTTCATACGTACATACGCCGTTATGCGATGTCCATTAAACGAAGGAGAAGGGATCACTTCTTGACCCCAGTTATATCATCACTCAAAGAATGCTTAGTGCAGAGTGGATCTTCTGTGAGTATCAGCTGACCACCTTCAGGTGGGCTCATATAACAATGGGGCCCATCATCATTATATGAACAAACAACTGACATCAACAAAGAATCCAAACTACAAATGAACAAATTCTTGGCCACGAATCACCATGACACATGAGTAATGACAAACTAGTATGAGTAAATGAAGTGAATGACACAGGTGGTAAAGGGATTTTCACAACTCCATCCATGTGGGATCTACAATATAAGAAAATATGAAACACATGTACGACATTTCATGATGAATAACTCTGTATATGACGTTAGTTGCGTTTTAAACTCTTAATCAGATATATTGACAATGAGCAAATTACAATATGTTTTCTGTTTGACTATCCAAATGGTAGAACATTCACCAACATTGCACGAATAGCTTTAGTCAGTTGAGATTAAACGATGTAACAAGTTTCAAACGATCAAAGGCTTAACATCGTTATCAAAGCATTTTACAGAGAAGGCTTTCATATTACGAGGCCTACCCTAAGACTAGTTAATTATTCAATGTAACTCATATTTCAGTCTTTCGTCGGTAAAAAAAACAGAATCTAAAGCGTTAAATTGACTAATTTTCCCTTGTCAACATTTCTTTAGTTGACGTCATAACTAAATTTTTTTATTATGATTGGCTCCTTAGGAGCATGGTACCTTTCCCAAAGACAATAATCCTTCAATGGGTTTAAATAAAAAATCATTAGAATCTTCAGATATTTTTTTGTTTTAATGTCGTTATAGAAAGTAACGACGCATGATGATGTAGGTTGAGATTCATGAGACGAGAATGAAATTAGAAAGACTTAGGTAGACTTTAATTTTGTCCAAATATTCATTGAATCTTGCAGTCATATCTTGCTAAGAGGGTTTGAGAGCGTTCTGTTTGCCCTGATGTTATTCGACTACTAAAAATTTTGTAGGGAGTCGTAAAATTCAAGCAAAAGACAATTACGGTGCTCGTTCGTTGCAAGTCTACACCACAATCTGTGAAAACTGTACCTCTGTGCACTCAACCACATGGTGTGATGGAGACAGAAGGTAAATTTTAGTGTATTTGTACTCATTGCATATATTCAGTAATGACTAATGTGACATTGAAGAAACAAACCAAAATCAGTAGCATCAATAAAAACCCTTAAGATTTTTACAATAGAGATAAATCAAAACGCAAATATCCTTTATCGTCAGTGTAGTCTCTTACATTTGTAATTTCCAACCGTGGGATCTATTTTCGTACATGATATCGAAGAAAGTACGTGTGTATAACACATTTCAAAAGAGTTTTCCTTGCTCAAATTTCTTTTCGCAGCTGCTATCAACATTTTAGATGTGATACTGATAGTAAATATCAGTACATCGTGGTTTTCTAATGTTCAAATATCTGTGGTATGTCCATTAAAAAGTTTTTGTGATTGACGTCGCTGCAACTCCGCGTTGATAAGTATCAGAGTTCGAATGCAGGTTTCGCTGACAGCTATTTCCAAACTCACTTGACTTGGTTCCTCCATCCGCGTGATATTTTGTCAACCAAATTTTCTCACAAATTTCGGAAAAGGCCTCTTGCTGTTGATTGAATTATTCCCAAATTATCGGCTATTACCAAGTAGTGTTGAAAACACTAAACAATCTTTTCCTTTGTTCTTTTTCTGCGTTTTTAAAAAGTTTCTTCAAAGTTATAGATGATTCTAATTCCTGTTCTGTTGCATTCACAGATCTTGGGGTGTTGATTTTTTATCAACACGTTCAAATACATCTGCAATCAAATAGACGTCTTTCGGTAACTTGTCATTGATGACAGTTGAAGGCAACAACTTTTTTTTGCTTTGCACAATCACAAATCTTTATATTTGTCGCCTATATGTATAGTCTTATTCAATCTCATGTGAACAACATCTGTTTTCCACGACGCCTCGTGGTTTATATGTGGCAAACTTGAAGGGAATAGTATTTTTATGCATGGTGCTAAGCATGTCATGTATTTCTTCCACATTATTGTTTAACATTCATTGTTCGTACTTGAACAAATTACCGGATATCTACCAAATCTAATTTTTAAAAACAAAACGTATTGTTGCCTAACAAAAGAACTATGCTCTCCCTTTACTAATATACGTAAAATGCAAGTCACAATTGACCATTTCTCTGTGATATTACACAAATCATTATTTAATTAAATTTATTCAGCCTATTAAGAACACGAATATTATGATTTTGGGCATTAAGACGTTGGTGACGTCAATCAGAACGCCCTTATACTCTCTCCTTACCTTTACCTAGCAACATATGACTGCAAGATTCAATGAATATTTGGACAAAATTCAAGTCTAGTTTCTAAATTTGTTATCGCCTTATGACTCTTAACCTACAACATCATGCATAACGACATTAAAACGCTAAAAAATCTGAAGACTCTAATAATTTTTTATTTAAACGCATTGAAAGATTACTTATTGTCTTTGGGAAAGGTGACATGCTCCTAAGGAGTCAATCACAATAAAAAATTTTAGTCATGACGTCAATTAAAGGAATTTTAACAACAATGACCCAATCTGCTAGATACGATACCTGACTCCGCCGTATGGTAATGATGAGGCAAGTCGGTATCTTGAAAGGTGACAAAACTGACGATATTTACGACTAATATCTGCTTTTGCTGAGTTGATATAGAGTCGCAAACTTGATAGTTTAGGTTTGATTCTTAAAATATTTTATAGGATGGGTTTTTTAAACTTTTTTTTTAACTTACTTGCCACCTCTCAAGATGGCGTCCTTGCCTCACCTAGACACGGTAGTTAAACTCAGTGGTTAGATCATATAGTTAGACATCTAGAAGGTTGGGTTCTAATCATTGTTTGACAAAGGAAAACTAGTCACTTTAATGTTTTAGAAAGAGTCACATTGAATAATCAACTAGTCTTAGGCCTTTCTTAGTTAGGACCTATTTACACGAGCCTGGGATGATATATTAACCTGGTCAGGCTGCGATAGGTGGTTATGTTTACAAGAGCCTGGGCTAGAATTGATTTTTCAGCCCCGGTCAGCAATTCTCAACCCGGGCTGGCTTAAAAATAAAGCCCAAGACAAACCAACCCAAGTTTATATGATGAAATTAGCTAAATTTAACGCTCTAACACCTTGCTAACCCAGGTCGACCTTTGTCTTGAGAAGGGTGCCCCGGGTTGGCAAATTGACCCGGCTATCGTGTAAACGTTAATAAGAATTTATTAGTCGACGGGTTGACGCGGTTGCCATACCAACCCGGACTTGTGTAAACGGGGCCTTAGCTAGGGTAAGTCACGTCATATGAAAGCTTTCACTGTAGAATGCTTTCATCATGATGTTGAGCATTTGTTTGTGTACTTCTGTTTGTGTTCGTGTACTTCTGTTTGTGTTTGTGTACTTCTATTTGTGTTCGTGTACTTCTGTTCGTGTACTTCTGTTTGTGTTCGTGTACTTCTGTTCGTGTACTTCTGTTTGTGTTCGTGTATTTCTGTTCGTGTACTTCTGTTTGTGTTCGTGTACTTCTGTTCGTGTACTTCTGTTTGTGTTCGTGTACTTCTGTTTGTGTTCGTGTACTTCTATTTGTGTTCGTGTACTTCTGTTCGTATACTTCTGTTTGTGTTCGTGTACTTCTATTTGTGTTCGTGTACTTCTGTTCGTGTACTTCTGTTTGTTTTCGTGTACTTCTGTTCGTGTACTTCTGTTCGTGTACTTCTGTTTGTGTTCGTGTACTTGTATTCGTGTTCGTGTACTTTTATTTGTGTTCTTGCACTTCTGTTCGTGTTCGTGTACTTCTATTTGTGTTTGTGTAACTGGTGTAACTTCGTGTATTTGTGTTCGTGTACTTCTGTTTGTGTTCGTGTACTTTTGTTCGTTTTCTTGAACTTCTAATTGCGTTCGTGTATAGTACTTTTGGGCCACCGCAGGAGAGTAACAAGTGAAAAAACAAAAAAAAATAGATGCATTAGTGGATGTCGTGACTTTAAAACTATATAAGAGTACAAGTAACAATGTAGGAGAACAAGTAGGAACATGCAGGAGTACAAGTAACAATGTTGGAAACAAGTAGGAACATGTAGGAGAACAAGTAACAATGTAGGAGAACAAGTAAGAACATGTAGGAGTAGAATTAACAATGTAGGAGAACAAGTAGGAACATGTAGGAGTACAAGTAACAATGTAGGAGAACAAGTAGGAACATGTAGGAGTACAAGTAACAATACTGGGACACCAGAATAGCTTCAACAGTGTGATTACCTAATCAACAGAAAATAAAGATAATACACTATACGTACATTTTATGCAGCCATTTGCCGGGCATTGCAAAGCCAGGAGCCAAATTTCTCCATGAATGTTCCGTAGAATGTTCACTAGCGCATTTACCCAACATGTATTATATTGTCAATGATCGCCTGGGGGGGGGCGTTAAATAAAAGCAAGCGGTACAATTACCGAGGATCATCAGAACAAGTCCCTATCACTTGAAGGATTTCTCTCCCCCCTGGCACATTCCTTTAATTATTAGCAACATTGAGCAATTCGAAATTCGATCAAAACAATGTACGAATAGTCGGAATAGTCAACAGTGATCGTCTTTAGAAGTCACGAACATTTCTACGCGAAGGTAGCATTTTCTTGGAACGAAAATTTAATCGTTATTGACCGAACAAACTAATACAATGAGTGAACTGTTAGATTGCTACATGTCTAATGTAGTAATTCATATTAATTATTCATTATTGAACTATTATTGCAATAATTGTGACATAGTTTTTTCGATAAACAGAGCGTGACTGAGCGTCCACAATGGCAAATACTAAAAAGGAGAAAGTTTTGGTAAAAAAACAGAGATGGTATTTAGGTGGAATCGCTTCTGGAATGGCAGTTTGTGTTACCCATCCTTTGGACCTTTTGAAGGTATGACCTTTGAGCCTTCCTTGACGGACAACTAAATCAAATTGTTACAAAGTAAAAACTAACTAGGGGTGTATTGTATAAAACGATGACATACCTGTGGTTAATGAAATTCCTAATATTTTTTTGCTCGTAAATATAATTTATTAAAAAATATGTTTAAACAGTCTACGCTCTACACACACGCAGCAACGTGTTGCAATCGTATGGATTTTGTAAATTAACCAGTAACATTACGATAATGAACGGCTCTCAACATTTGGTGAATCAGACATACGTACATGACTTGCCTTGTTTACGTTTTGCTGGCAGGCAGATTTGGTCAAGTGCTTTTAGACAACACTAGCAACAATGGTAAACGTCCAAAGTAAACAATCTAATTCATCCATAGCATTGAACGCAAAGTATTTGCATTGATATAATGATATTTATCATTTAATTCTACTTAGAGTATTTCCACAATATAGAAACATACAGTAGTCTCACTCCACTGTGGAACTTGGTGCTATATATTTAATTAGATTACTGGCTGCCACTATGCTAATCACATTCGTTATAAGATATATGCTACAAAGAGTGGGACCACTGTTTGTGTCTATACTGTGGTATTTCCAAACTATCATATGCTCTGATCATGAGGGTGGATACCCATTCAATTCCATAAGACCAACACTAGCCCTAACAGTGCTATACTGGGACTTCCTATTGAGACTTGAAAATCTTGAAAGGAAATGAATTGAAAATTTTTCAATTCAGGTTTTTCAAGTCATGTTTTATTTTTAAGCCAAGCTTTTGTATACATCCTTTGACATCCCAACTATCCATTTTGTTATCATGTAATACTCTCAAATCAAACAATTTTTTCACATTTTAGGTTCATTTACAAACGCAGCAAAAGGTACAGACTGGTTTGGTTGGCATGGCTATTAAAGTAGTAAAATCTGATGGTGTGCTTGCATTATACAATGGTCTTTCTGCTTCAATTTTGCGACAGGTCAGTCAAAATATGTCATTAAATTAAGTAGTACGTCATACACAGACTTATATACAACATAAAATGTTTTTAGTTAACATATTCCACCACAAGATTTGGTATTTATGAAATTGGATCTTCACACTTAAGGAAGGGCAACGGTTTGTCACTATTTAAAATGCTACTACTTTAATTATTATTTATTAAGGCATTTGTAGTAGACATGGAACAATGCAGGCATTTACAAACTATTGCCACACTTACAAACTATTGCCACACTTACAAACTATTGCCACACTTACAAACTATTGCCACACTTACAAACTATTGCCACACTTACAAACTATTGCCACACTTACATACTATTGCCACACTTACAAACTATTTCCACACTTACAAACTATTGCCACACTTACATACTATTGCCACACTTACAAACTAATGCCACACTTACAAACTATTGCCACACTTACAAACTATTGCCACACTTACAAACTAATGCCACACTTACAAACTAATGCCACACTTACAAACTATTGCCACACTTACAAACTATTGCCACACTTACAAACTATTGCCACACTTACATACTATTGCCACACTTACAAACTATGCCACACTTACAAACTATTGCCACACTTACAAACTATTGCCACACTTACAAACTATTTCCACACTTACAAACTATTGCCACACTTACATACTATTGCCACACTTACAAACTATGCCACACTTACAAACTATTGCCACACTTACAAACTATTGCCACACTTACAAACTATTGCTACACTTACAAACTATTGCCACACTTAAAACTATTGCCACACTTACAAACTATTGCCACACTTACAAACTATTGCTACACTTACAAACTATTGCCACACTTACAAACTATTGCCACACTTACAAACTAATGCCACACTTACAAACTATTGCCACACTTACAAACTATTGCCACACTTACAAACTATTGCCACACTTAAAAACTAATGCCACACTTACAAACTATTGCCACACTTACAAACTATTGCCACACTTACAAACTATTGCTACACTTACAAACTATTGCCACACTTACAAACTATTGCCACACTTACAAACTATTGCTACACTTACAAACTATTGCCACACTTACAAACTATTGCCTAATTGTCTACTTGAAAACCTTCTTGTCTTTTCAGAACCACTACCTTTTTATCAGAAACTAATGATTGGAGCTTTTGGAGGTAAATGCTCAAAAAATAACAAAAGGAAATATATAACTAAAAATGAAAGCAGATGATTTCATCTCATTTTTGAAAAAATTGTTTTGCATTTAATAAAACATTTCTAATTAACAATTTATTATGTTGAACTTAACATGTTCATAGATGTTGATCTTGTAGGTTAGTGCATTATCCTAAGGTTATGAAGGATTACTCGTAAGAATGGTGAACTGTTAGTCAACACCAACATGAACAGTTCTTCTTGGGATTGCATTGGCCTTAATGATCAACATCTATGAACAGGCAATGATGGGTGCCACAGGTTCAAAACATTCACTTTATGTTCAACTAAGAAAACATGCATTATTACAAAAGTTTTTCATACTAAGGCACTGTAACAGAATAAACAAAGATGTAGCCTCTGATATCTGAAATTACCAAGCTCTTGGTTATCCATGACAATGTCATGACATTGTCATGGCAATGTACCATAATCAAAGTTGACCATTGTCATGCACCTCAATCATACTTTTTTGGAATTAACTGCATTCTCTAAACAGTGGTGTAGGCAGGTGATAAAGGCATGGTTAACCTTGTGGTGTAGACAGGTGACAAAGGCATGGTTAACCTTAGGTGATAAAGGCATGGTTAACCTTGTGGTGTAGACAGGTGACAAAGGCATGGTTAACCTTAGGTGACAAAGGCATGGTTAACCTTGTGGTGTAGACAGGTGACAAAGGCATGGTTAACCTAGGTGATAAAGGCATGGTTAACCTCAGGTGATAAAGGCATGGTTAACTTTGTGGTGTAGACAGGTGATAAAGGCATGGTTAACCTTGTGGTGTAGACAGGTGACAAAGGCATGGTTAACCTTAGGTGATAAAGGCATGGTTAACCTTGTGGTGTAGACAGGTGATAAAGGCATGGTTAACTTTGTGGTGTAGACAGGTGATAAAGGCATGGTTAACTTTGTGGTGTAGACAGGTGACAAAAGCATGGTTAACCTTAGGTGATAAAGGCATGGTTAACCAGTGGTGTAGACAGGTGATAAAGGCATGGTTAAGCCCCTAATTTAGCGTTGGTGATCTTGGTGGTAGTGTTAGTATTAGTGATAGTGTTAGCGTTAGTCTTAGTTTGGTCTTAATCTCGGTGGCAATGTTATTTTTTTAGTTTTGGTGTTAGAGAAATTTTTTAAAAAATAAGGGACAGTATAATGATGATTTTACAGTTTTGATTACAATGAACGTGTAGGAAATTTTCTTGATGATACCGGTCCTCATCTCTATCCTCTTCTTTATTTATCCATTTCTTCTTCTTGTCTATTCTTGCTTGTGCTCTTCTCTTCTTCACCTTTCCCTTTCCTTCCGTTCCGTTCTTTTTTCTCGTTTCATAACTTATCATCTCCATCCTCTTCTTTATTTATCTTTGCTAGTCCCTGTCTGTCATTTCTTCTTCTTGTCTCTCCTTGCCTGTCCTTTTCTGTTTTCACCTTTCCCTTTCCTCCCGTTCTTTTTTCTCCTTTCATATCTTCTTGTCTCCACTCTTCTATTGGTTTTGTTGCAGCAATAGATCTTTATTAGATTGGCAGGAACACCAGTGTAGATGAAGGACTGTCCTCTTAAAACGATGAAATTTCGTTTGAGAGCATGGGGAAATGAGTAATTGACAACTTTTATCTCAACCCCTGAAAAATGCAAATTACTATTCAGGCATTCTTAATGTAAAAATTTTGTCCAGGGAGCATGCCTCTAACCTGGCCCTGGCATTTTGCCTGACCAAATTTTGAGGTTTGCCTTCACTACACTGCTCCTCAATGGAAACTACTTGTTTTTTAAACAGGATTTGTTGGAGGAATCGCTGGCAACCCTGCGGATCTAGTAAATGTCAGGTAATAATCAGCTCTTGTTAATTGTTTGCGTTTGGGCTATTTGCTTTATATATGTTTACATCTAAATTTTCAGAATGCAAAATGACATAAAAGTTGCTCCAGAACTACGAAGAAAGTATGTATGTACTCATAGGCAAAGTATGTAATAACCTGTAATGGAATACATGTACATTAATAGCTGATGGTTTTGTATTTATAAATAGTTACAATCATGCCATGGATGGAGTGATCCGTATTGTTCGAGAGGAAGGTCTGGGGAGATGTTGGAGGGGAGTGACGATGACGGCAACAAGAGGAATGATGATCACATCAACTCAAGTATTTAAACATATGTTTAGTTATTTAATTATCACAGAGTTTTAGTTTAATCGCCTCAGTAAGTTGACTTAAGGATTCAATTTCAAAACTGCGAACCCATCTCCAAAAATAAAAAAATTATATTGAACTAAACCAAGAGCTCTATCATTATAAAGAAATCACAAGAAAGCTCTAAGCAAATGCGTAAAGAAATCACAAGAAAGCTCTAAGCAAATGCGTAAAGAAATCACAAGAGCTCTAAGCAAATTAAGAAATAAATGCAAATGTAAAGAAATGTCCTGCGTAAAGAAATCACTCTAAAAATGTGTAAAAATTCTAAAATGTGTTAATGTGCATTAGTAAACGGTTGTGATAAAAACTGGCTGGCACCTCCTTATACCTAAAATGTTTTATTAATTTTGATAACTTCCTTTAGGTCTCTTGCTATGATCAAATCAAGGAAACATTGCTCAACACTAGGTATAGTTTAAATCATACCATGTTATAACAATTTTGCAGAAAATAACAATAGTATTTATATTTTTCCAACTAGATATTTTGATGACAATATCTTAACACATTTTGCATCAAGTTTCTTAGCTGTGAGTGTTGTTCTGTCGTATTTGTTCTAAGTTTGTGAAAGACAAATAAGAGCAAAGTCTTTAAAACTCCTCCATTTAGGGTACAATTGCTACAGCAGTGACTCAACCATTTGATGTCATGAAAACACGTATGATGAACTCCACAGAGTACAAAGTAAGTTATCAACCATCATATTACCTATGTTAAAATCAACTATGTTATACTGTGTAACTTTTTAGCTCTGTAATGCAAGGGTATCTCTTCTCCCTCTATCCCATAAGCCAACGTCCAATAAGGTGCAACAAACCATTAGTTGTTATTCATATAAGGAAAACCAGTGGTGCTGGAAGGGGGGGTAACTGTCCACAATATTTCTTGGGTAGTGACATTCTGGGGGTGTTTTCCCTTCCTCAAAATAAAATCCTTATGGCGCTACCGACGACAGCAAACTATCAAATGATAATTGTTTATAATTTTAAAGTTTACAGTTATAAATCCTGGCTGAAATTCGTGCCTTTGTCAGCTACCCAGTGAAAATCCTAGAAAGCTACGTAGGATCCTTCAATCTTGCTTAGGATCGCAACGAGGATTCTATTGTTTTAAATTTAACTTTTCAGGTTCTTATGGGTTCGTAGTAGGATAATCTGGGATCTAAGGGGATTTAAATCTTGAATTATGCCAAGATTGTTTCTTTAAGATAAAATGCAACTAATTGAATGTGTTGATCAAATAACATATGTCTGGTGTGTATTTGTTTTGTAGAACCTATTTGAATGTTTTTGGCATACAGCAAAACTTGGACCTATGGGATTTTACAAAGTACAAGTTGATTAATACGTATTGCATAATTTATTCTTATCGCATATTTTCGTATCGCAACTACGTATCGCATAATTTATTCTTATTGCATATCTTTGATACAAAATATTGTCTGTTATTACAGGGATTCATACCTGCATGGGTACGACTTGGTCCACACACAATAGTGACATGGTTAATACTTGAGCAATTGAGAAGATTGTTTCCACTTTAAATTTATACAACTTCAATCTTTCCAATAATAATTTTCAAGGCAAGGTGAAAATGGACAATGAATTCAATGTATTTCAAACCAATCAAGGGATTGGTAAACGACATAGACTCCACCTACGTATTTGTATTTGTATAGTATAATGGCGGTATAAATAAACAAACATAAATAAAAAATCAAGTCATTTGTAAGAATGAGGTATATATGAAATATAATATTTAGAAACCACTCACTATTGTGAACACATCTCGCCAACATTATCAACGATGACTGGGCAACCAAGATGGCTGAAATAATCAAATTCCAATTTTGTTTTTATTCCATACACAATCACGCTCACATATGACTCTTTCCAGCGATCAACGTAGAAACTAAAGAAAGAAGTTTTAACAGTCATTATTAATTTCAGTAAAACACATATCTGATTACCGCAATAACGCATCCTTAAATTAAAAAGCAAAGTCTTGGTTGTGGTAATAGACGTGAAAAGCCGAATTTCGTTCCTCGATGGTTGTCTATCTTAATTTTGACTAAAGTAAATCGTTTGAACCCGGGAGTATCGTTACATGTTTATAGATGTAGATCGTCGAGGTTAGTGAAGTACTGAGAAGGACTGTTTTTGTTGATGTAGACTGACGTTTTGACAACCTTAGCGGTAGTCAACTTCAGAGTCAAGTGTCTACCGCTACTGTTGTCGAAACGTCAGTCAACAACAACAAAAACAGTCCTTCTCAGGACTATACTAAGCTGGACGATCTACATCTACAAACATGTATTTAATTTTGACGGTCAACAGTTGCCATTTTACGTTGCAAATACGTTAATCAGAGCGATATTAGTTAAGTTTTTCCTCCGCAATGAAGTATGTGTCCCACTTTCTAATATATGGTGAATAAAAAAAAACTGCAGCAGTTACGAAAATGTCGCAAAAGTTATCAAAGCGCAAGATTTGAAAATTCTTTGTTGGAAATAGTTGGACTTCCAATGGTTCATCTGAAGGAATTTTGTAATAGCTTGCGCACAAAAATGAAACAGCTAAAAAAATTGGAACCCATAGGGTTAGAATATGGTACATGTTTTACAAGCTATCACGATTTTAGGATATATAATATATGTGTCACTGTTTATTACTGTATTACTGTATATTCCCTATACTGTGTTTTAGGGTCAGTCTGGAAGTGCTGACAGTGTAGAAAGATCACAGTGTAGAAAGTTGAAATATTGCCCAGAAAAACTCAATTCAACTGTACTACAGATTTGGTTGGCTAAATATTAAGGGAGTTAGGAGTTAACTGTTTCTAAGAGGGGTGAACAATTTATTTAAGGAGGTAAAATCTGATGTTGAGGGGTGGCACCCCCCTGCACCCTCACAGAAAATCTGTCCATGATTAAAGATTCATAACTCACCCGGAGACCTCGCTATGATGAGTGATTAGCAATGGGAAACGTAAGAACCAAAACAACCAACTATGAACAGAGATTTCTGCCAACAAATCCAAACTCCTAGCCAACTTCAATATCAACCAATTTGACTGCGTTGGTGTTCCATCGCGGTTATACGAAAGATATCGTGTAATCCAATTTTGTACAACCAAGATGTTGGGATTGGCTTTACGAACCTAATGAACATGCGCAAGACATTTTAAAAGGAAACCTTTTCACAACATGTGGAAATTTCATGAACATGCGCAAGGCATTTTAAAAGGAAACCTTTTCACAACATGTGGAAATTTCATGAACATGCGCAAGGCATTTTAAAAGAAAACCTTTTCACAACATGTGGAAATTTCATGAACATGCGCAAGGCATTTTAAAAGGAACCCTTTTCACAACATGTTGAAATTTCGAAGATAGTCACATACCTGATAAACCACATTGGGAAAGAACGAGAGGACTAGAGCTTTGTCATAAAGATCGTACTTCTTAAAAAGGTCATTTAAAAGAACTGCAGCCTGCAACATTGTTGAAATGGTTAGAGAAATGAAAGTAATTGTGTTCACAAATCAAGATAATACGAAAGAAACCATTGGGTTCCCTGTGGGGTCATGTGTTAAAGAATAAACTATATGGGACCAGTTCATTGGTTCTTTTAACTTCAGTTGACTTCAACAAAACACAAAGGGAATTTTATTTGTGAAAAGGAATCAACTGCCAATTAGTTCTGGGCAATACCAAGATTTCTATTTCAATATCCATGCCAAATACTTTATAATTTGTATCTGTTGTTATGGATACCAGTTTTGATACAAAATTTTTTATAGAATTATAGGTTTCTGTACTCGCATTTGTTTATTTAATGATATATGTATGTATAAAACTGAGATGATGTGCTAATATCGTTTAAATTCTTACCATTGTTTGAATTGAATCTTTAAAAATAAAATTTCAGTTTGCAAAAAGAACAAGAATCTTACATTTGCCAAGAAACAGTATGTATAAATATTGAAAGATAGCAAGTCAGCATTCGGTATCCATGCAACATGCCTAAGAATGGCAAGTATCAAATGCAAGTATTGCCCAATACTAATGCTAATTATAAAATAAACACAATGAAACACATGCGCTGATTGGTCTAGAGCTGTGTTTGCATTAGCCTGTGCAAAACATATCTGAGCTCAACCAATCGAATCAATCAAAACAATCAATCAGTCAAGGAGAATTCGAAAATTGATCATGAATACATTTTAGAGGAAAAATTAAAATGTTTGTCTTTTTCGCATTATTGTTATTTTATAAAAGAAATAAAAAATGTTTCTCATGTTTGCACTGGCTTATGCAAACCTCTGAGACATTTGTAAGAACTCTTCAGCAGGTGCAACACTCAACCTTCGGTCTCGGGCTTGCATTGATCGAAATAGTGCTTTCAATTTACTTCCAGGTACACAAATTTACAAATGACTTTGAATGAAAAACATCCAGTGCTTTCACTTTCCCAAACACATGTAACCCACTTTTCTATCTTTATTATTATATATTACAATTCCATTCAGGGTGCTCCCTTCCAAGCTGCTTGCTTGGGTGCCCAAAACTTTGCCCACCAAGAACTTGTAGCAATTACACCACCATTTTAGATGTTATTGCTCAATTCATGTTGGAAGTAATGTATTCATTCACTTTTGTCAAGATTGACTCAATGTTGATAAGCTTTTACTTTCACAAGCATTACCTTATACCCAGTTCAAGGCACCCATTACACTTTCATAGTCATTTCCAAAACTACTTGTATTTACTTTCCCCGAGTCTCAATATCGATTTACTTTGGTGAACATTTTTATACTCAGTCACAGAATAGACATCTAACAGAAGGCCCACTCGGCTAAAATCATGGCATATTTTTTCACTATGCATGCGTGACTTTCCATCAAGATACTTTCACAAAATCATCATGGAATAGTATTGCACGAGAATGCTCTTTTACAAATAATTCACGTTTAAAGCAAAAGTTTGCTCAAATTTTTACAAAGAGTTATCATCTTGCGAAAAGATAAGGTTCCAAGCTTTTGTAGTGCAAAACGATATATTTGTAAAAACATCTATATTTTCTATTGCGATCTAGCGGAAGTGTCTTGCTGGAAGGCATGTCTGCTTAGTATTTGCTCCAGAAAAGTGGGGACACGAACATCAAAGGTTCTGACACGAGTGGACCTTCTGGTAAGATATCTATTCTGTGCTCAGTTTAAGACACCCCCTTGCATTTTTACAACCATTTCCAAAACTACTGGTAAATATTATTACCTTCACCGAGTCTTGATATGCCTTGACTTCAATGAACATTTTTATACCCACTTCAAGACATGTTTGAATTGTTTCCTCCAGTGTTGGAACTTGAACAAAGGAATATTTATCACTAAAAAAATACAAGATTTCTACTCATTAAGAGAACTCCATGAACAGATCCTTTGCAAGGGTTACATGAAATTTCAATCCACTTATGAAACGAAAGTGGTGCGATGAAATGTTTAGAAAAATTTGATAAATTTCGAATTCAAGCACTTTCAAGCACATCTTAAATAAATTCAAGTACTTTTAATGCCTTAGGTCTTTGCATTTAAATTCAAGAACATTCACGAACATTCAAGTTTTTCATGAACCCTGAATTTACAGAATTGAAACTCCCGCCAATGATGGAGTTAAAGCAACATGGAATGCAAATAAACATTTTACAAACCTTTCTTTGAAATCGCCTAACGCGTTGAGTTTTTTAATTTCATCAAGGGTGAAATCACCAACTCTGCCAGAACCGTCAGTTGTTCGATCCACAGTTGCATCATGCATAAGAATTGCATGACCATCTTTGGTAAAATCAACATCAAATTCAACGGCATCGGCTCCCTTCTCTGCTGCATAACGAATACCGACTAAAGTATTTTCCGGTGCCTCCAGCATACTGCCACGATGACCAATGACAAAGGACCGACATTTTAGGCTATTTACTTGAAGAAATTTATCTACCCTAGCAATATCGAAAGCATCAAATCGGAGCAAAAGATAAGAACCATAAAAAACGGCAGCTATAGTAAAAATTACTGCAAGCCAAAGAAGCAAATCGTTTGCCTTGAAATTCCTATCCACGTCCATTATCTCTTCAGATTATCCTATTTTACATCTACCACGATCCCATCTGCACGTTTCGTGTCCAATAGTGTCCAGCTTGTGCTTAGATTGATGTTGAAGACCAAATTTGCCAATTAATTTACATGCATATATTGGGACTCACCTATACCTAACTCTTCAACGCTGTCTGTCATAAAATATAATCTGCAGCATATATTTTGATCAATACGACAAACACATATCTTGATTAAGATACAACATATTCCTAACGGATCCGTTCTTAAATTTTCATGGGAACTGGGAAGCATGATTTCTTTCCTCGATTTCTCCTAATGGCTAAGTCCTTAGCAATCACGCAGTAAAATCATACTTGATAGTAAGAATCTAAACAATGTTAACTAAACTCAGAATATTGCAACCCAAATGACAGTTGCAGAAACGTCAGTCAACAACAACAAAACAGTCCTTCTCAAAACTCTACTAATATGGACGATCTACATCTACAAACATCTAACGATACTCCCGGGTTCAAACCATTCACTTTGTTAACTAAACTATGAGTCTGTGATCCAAGTCTATTCACATTTTTTTACAGACGGTACACCGCAGACATAAGACAAATAGTTTAGACAAACCATTGTATTTACACATACCAGAGTTTCCGTTCAATGAGAGACTTTAAAGTCACGTAGCTGAGCCTTGCCTTATTATATTTACACTTTAAAACATTCCCTAAGAGAAATGTCATTCATCACACTCGTAGCTATGGCTTAAATAGCGGCGGGCATATTTTTAAACAGAAAAAACAGGAAAAAACAGCAAGAAATCAAAGCAAACGACGAAAAATGCCGAAAACGCACACAAAAACGCTCATAAACATAACAAAGATAGCTGAAACCCACGCAACACACATAGAAGAGACAACAAATATGATTTATTAAAACATTTTGGGGATCAGTAGAATACATCTCATTTATATTTTACTACAACTACAATTATAGTAAGTCGCTAACTGCATCTGCGCGAAAGCCCTTGAGACAAGCGTTGAGTTAATTGCAAATCAAGTGTATTTTTTTAGCATAAATCTTTGTTTGATGATAATCTGTAGTTAGGGTAATTGTGTTAAATGTCTTCCTTTCATACAAACTTTCTGCATAAACATTATAATAATCATATTATATCGAAATCATTGCGCGCGACATCTGGCAATCAATTACATGAAATTTTAAAACTCTTACTGCCAGAAGCAAAGCTTGCAGCGTAAATAGAAAAGCACAAAGAAAATGATGGAAAGGTCGTTCTAGAAGATGGAAAGGCATGCGAAAAAGTTAGAACAAACAAAATCAAGCATAATTACTCCAAGAATAAACGACTGAAACAAAAGAACTCTTGAAGAGTAAGCAAAAATTGCAGAAGGGTTCAGATCAGTGAAGAATGTTGTAGACTTCGTCGACCTAAACGGAATCAGGGAAGAAAATTAAGGAGTTGAAACACAAAGAGAAAACTATAGGCCGACAGTAAAAATATACTTACGAATTTTTATTCTCTGTGTGTCATCTTTGTTGACAAAGTAAAAATATTGTGCAAGTCGATTGTTGATTGTTAACCGAACACGTATAAACCAGATCATCTTGAAGATCCTTCCAAGGAGGAGTTCGAACGCCATTTCAAAGGTGCTTCAAGTTCTTTTACAGCAAAGATTGACGCCAAATAATGTGCAAACTCAAGAAGAAAGAACACCAGGCACAATGGAATAGAAAATTATTCTAAGACTGCGTTCGTTGTAATAATAATAATAATAATAATAATAAGCGTCAAGAGTTTTTTCAACTCGACATATTTTCAACAAATCTAGGCGAACATTATTTGCTTACTTAAGCAACAGTTACATTTCTAGTAACACTGGTGATTTTAGGTAAAACGTTCAAAACCTCTGCATCAGCAGATTAAGAAAATTGAACAATGACAGAGCACGCGCTTATAATTGACAACGGTTCGGATACCTTAAAGGCGGGATTTTCATGTTTCGACGAACCACAAGTGTTCATCCCAAGTTTGGTTGGCCGTCCACATACGAATTCACGCCAACACATAAAGTTTAGCTCGGATTCCATGGAGCAATACCGGGTTGGCCATGAGGCGCACGTCAATCGCCAATTTCTCACGACCAGTTGTCCAATAGAAAACGGTATTATAAATAATTGGGATGATATGGAGAAGGTAGGTTTTACGACACTTGAAAGACTCCAAATAAGCAAAATGCAAACTGTATAAAGAAAACTTCATAAATCTGCGAAAACTTTTATTCTGAAAAAAGCGTCTTGTTCAAAGCAACCGTTCTACCTCAATATGCTATCATCATTCAATAACAAACCAAAATGGCAAACCTTTAATGTCATGACAACCATTCAGTTGTAGCAATACACAGAGGTTCATCGGTGTGCTTTATTCAATGACAAACTCCCACAGATTACGACGAACGAAAACCTTTATTCGTTTTGACAACCTTTCAGTTGTAGCAATACACATCGATCCCCTTTTGTACATCATTCCACAACCCAATGCTTAAAAAAACAAACTCTTTCACTTATGGCAATACACAGCGATCCATTTCTGTACATCATTCCACAACCCAATGGTCAACGAACCAAAATCAAAATTTCCACATTTTTTTCAGTTATGGCAATACACGTTCGATCAATTGGATACGACGCCAAAAGAAAAAGCAGTTTTATTGACTGATATTCCATCAAACTCCAAGCAAAATCGAGAAAAAATTGCAGAGGTTTGTCAAGCAACAGAATAAAGAACCGCACAATATGTTATATAGGGGCGTTTTGACAACTAGAGAGGGATGGGGTGACGAATCTCACGAGGCGCCACCATGGCTGCCGACAGTGAAAAAATATAATCAGAAATATTTGATAAGTTATCAGATATAAATCACTAAGCCATGATGTTTCTTCGAATAGTTACATAAGTATTGTGCTTCTAAATATTTCTAAAAATTTCCTAGATCATGTTCGAGAAATTTCATTGTTCTTCAATATATTTGGCCAATCAGGGTGCATTATCACTGTATTCGCACGGTTTGGTGACGGGTGTGGCAGTGGACTGCGGGCATGATGTCACGCAAATTGCGTCAGTAGTTGAGGGTTACACCCTACCATATGCAACAAGATGTCTACCATTAGGTGGAAAAGACCTTACCATGTATCTACTGAAAATGTTAACTCAAAACAATACCATGAGCGAAAAAATGCAATCCATAGATGATGCAAGGATGATAAAAGAGAAACTATGTTATGTCACAGAGTGTTTTGAGAGAGAAAAGACTATGTTTAAGGTATCTGATGCTCAAAGAACTTACACACTACCAGACGATATGAAAATAACAATAGGCAAAGAGGTGTTCTGTTGTCCGGAAGCATTGTTCCAACCAGAGCTTTTGGGTAGGCCATTAAAAGGCATCCATAAAGTATGTTATGATAACATTATAAAATGCAAACAAATAGATGGACAGGATGTAACAAAAACCTTGTTTGGTTATATCGTATTATCTGGTGGATCTAGTCTGTTTCCAGGATTACAGAGCCGTTTCACACGAGAAATCAGGTCAATAGCACCTTTAAATTCAAACCCTAATGTACTAGCTGTAACAAACCGAGAGAACAATGTGTGGGTTGGTGGATCAATAATTACCTCACTTCCTGCATTTCAAGACATGTGGTTAACCAAGAAAGATTACAATGAGCATGGTTCACAGCACATACACATAAAATGCATATAATTCTATTAGAACCAATAAAGTTTTGATAGAACCTATTAAGTTCTGACAGAGCCCATAATTATCTGTTAGAACCAATAAATTTCTGATAGAACCCATTAAGTTCTGACAGAGACCATAATAATCTGTTAGAACCAATAAAGTGTTGTTAGAACCAATGAAGTTCTGATAGAACCCATAAAGTTTTAACAGAGACCATAATAATCTGTTAGAACCAATAAAGTGTTGTTAGAACCAATGAAGTTCTGATAGAACCCATAAAGTTTTGTAAGAACCCATAAAGTTTTGTTAGAACCAATAAAGTTTTGTTAGAACCAATAAAGTTTTTAGAACCAATAAAGTTTTGTCATTAACTTTTTGCATGCTTGAGTTTAGTCATAAAATGGTGACCATTGACCAATGGCAATGTTGGTGACAATTTATCATAATCTTGTCATAATGTTGGTGACCAAATTTTACTGCCCCATAAAGAGTTAGTGAAAAAAACGAAACAAAAAGTATACCTTTTTGCTGTCAATGTCAGCTGACTTAAAGTAAGACTCTTCAAAGCTGCATATTCCTGTGTGATTCTACAATCTTTTCAATTACAACACAAATTTTCCATTATTTTCATTAACCTTTGATAGTATAGTCCGCAAGTTCTTCTCATAACATTTGGGGGACAAACTGACGCATTTCGTTCAAATTGCCTTCTTTAATTTAATATTGTCTAGAATAATTGCACAAAAAACGAAAGTGAGAACTTCCAGAATGCAGAGCTATTTGGAGTCACAACAGAGAACAGACGACTTTCCTTATACGGATTTCACTTAAAGGAGAATCTTTAACGATTTCTTGAAAATAAATTCTCGAAAATTATACAGAGAAACTCTCAGATATTGCCAAAAAGAAACCAAGATGGCCGAAGTAGTTGTAAAATGTAATATGACAACATGGCGACCCATGATGGCGACGAACAGAAAGCTGTATGTAGCTACTTCTACTGACAAATAAAAATTGATATCTCCAAAGACATGAATTGGTTAAGGAGATGAGTTCCACACAAGTTTTACGTATTCAGAGTATGTTGCTGGTGAATTACAGGTTAAGGAGATGAGTTCCACACATGTTTTACGTATTCAGAGTATGTTGCTGGTATTAATGAACACAATCTCAATTAATAAATTCATTATTAATCAGAATTGTTTGACATGTTTTGGTCGTTTTCATCCAATGACATTCTGAGCTAAGGGTTGGTTTGGTAAACTATACAGACTGAGTTGTATCTACATATAGGTAGAAGTGCAAGATGATGAAATTGATGGAACAGACTTGTGCATAAAACAATTCATATTATCTGTAGGTGGTTTCATGAATGCAAGGAGCTAGCAAAGAAATAATGGTGTGCTTCTCTCAAGGCATTAAGTAAAATAGCCCATGAAAGTTTGCAGCAGTCCAAATTGACTGTTTTCTTCATCATCATAAGTAGGGAAAGATAGGTTTTAACATAGTGGAGGTCAATTAAAGCAAATTTGAAGCACAACAATATCAACTTTTTCATTGCTTAAATACAATATAACAACCCATCCAACAAGTTACATCTGGTAATTTTTTGTCATTTTAATTTATTTATATTTAATTATATTTAATTTATAGTACACAGTAGGTAAGTTACAAAGCTCTGCTGGAATTAGAAGGGTTAATGTGAATAAATAAAGAAAATAGTCAAAATTTATAAAATGTAGTTGCATTTCTTTAGGGGTTTCCAATAGAAGATAATATTAAAGACAAGCTTACATACCTCTATGACATAAGTTAAAAAACTGTCATTACTCTTCCCATAATGGTTAAGAATGCAGTATCCGGATTTCTTCTATTTTTTTCTTGACACCATTAGCATTCATTGTTAGTTCAGCATGTTTTAACTTTAGATTTTCAACTTGTTTCTGAAGAATGATGCTCTAAATAAATTACTAAACTTCAGCCTACATGACCAACCAGCATTAACAACCAATTCATTCAATTACATTATCTTGCACACAGGGGGGAGTGGGAACCACAGGGCATGTTTTTGTTGGAGTAGGGGGTTATCAATTGCAGAAGTTTGGTGCAAGTAAGGATTGGTGGGACTTGGGGAAAAACATAAATATGGCAGCAAACAGTTAAAGGGGGGGGATTTCACCCTCCTGGTCCTCAGTCCATTGGCAGTTGTTTACCAAGGTTGATGATATGGATACATTTGACCACTATACATGTCATTAGTAGAGTCAACATATGCCAGTATTGCATTAAAGGGCAGACAACTAAAACTTTTCTGTTTAATTTTTGTTCAACTGGGTTTTTTGAAAGTGCAGAGTATTTTCTAACATAGTTTGTGCATAGCCTTTTTCATTCTCAGGATATTGAAGCTTTTGTAATGTCAGGCTTACACAGCTTTCTACGTCATTTTGCATGCGAAATTAAATCAAAGCCGGTATATTGGCTGATGTGTTTTAGTCTGCTCATGTCAACCAAAAGTTGCATTGAATATAAAGTATGTTGGTAACTTTGAAGTGACGTAGACGATTCGTCACAAAAAATTTAATGTCGTAAGAAAGAAAAAAGATACGCATGAACTATTTTAGAAAATACACTATCAGTTCGAAGTTCTGTTTAACGAAATATAATTCAAGTAGTAAAAGTTTTAAGTCTAATGCCCTTAAAAATCCAGTTGCACAACTGTCTTGAGTTACATAATTCATTAAAAATTCTAATCACTATCAAACTGAAATGACCAATTGATAAATAGATATTTTTAATTTGTTCCTACAAGAAATTAATTACAAAATGATTACACATTCACTCTACAAAAGTTATTTCCTATGTCCAGTTTGATTTCATTGGACAGTGTGATAACACCTCCAAGCCAACATATTACAAGCTGAAATATCAACAGTCAAAGTTCTCACACAAACAATTAGATCCCTAGAAGCATTTCCTGTGCACAATCGAAGGTCCAGATTCGTCGTATTCTTGTTTGGAGATCCACATCTGTTGGAAGGTGGAAAGAGAGGCCAAGATGGAACCACCAATCCAGACAGAGTATTTTCTTTCTGGTGGAGCAATAACCTTGATTTTCATAGTGGGAGGGGCAAGGGCGGTGATTTCCTTCTGCATTCTGTCAGCAATACCAGGGAACATAGTCGTGCCACCAGACAAGACAGTGTTGGCATAAAGATCCTTACGGATATCAACATCACACTTCATAATGGAGTTGTAACAGGTTTCATGGATACCTGCAGACTCCATACCAAGGAAGGCAGGTTGGAAGAGTGCTTCTGGGCATCGGAATCGCTCATTGCCAACAGTAATAACTTGACCATCAGGCAATTCATAGGACTTCTCCAAGCTGGAGCTGCTTGCTGCAGTGTCCATCTCTTGTTCAAAGTCCAAGGCAACATAGCACAGCTTCTCCTTTATATCACGAACAATTTCACGTTCAGCTGTCGTCGTGAAAGAATAACCTCTCTCTGTCAAGATCTTCATGAGGTAATCTGTCAAATCACGACCAGCCAAATCAAGACGAAGGATGGCGTGAGGCAAAGCATAACCTTCATAGATTGGTACAGTGTGAGAGACACCATCACCACTGTCAAACACTATACCAGTTGTACGACCAGAAGCATACAACGACAACACTGCTTGAATGGCGACATACATGGCTGGAGTGTTGAACGTTTCAAACATAATCTGCAAGAAAACAAAATCACACTCGTCAAAATATACCTTCCTTACACACCGCACCCCCCGGAAGTATCATACGACGAATTGAATTACTCGAAGACTTTAAAAGATCAAGATATTTCGACTGTGTTACAAAAATTCTACATGCAAAATAGTGTACAAAAATTTGCCTCATTTTAGTGTTTTCACAACGTAAGTTGCAACAGAAAGCAGACTGAAATTGTTTCCCGGAGGGCGTGTCATATTCAAGCATTAACGACTAAAATTTGTCGAAACGCCGGAACGCTAAAATGCAATATTTTAGTGGACGAACCTGTGTCATTTTTTCACGATTCGCTTTAGGATTGAGTGGAGCTTCGGTCAACAGGACTGGATGTTCCTCGGGGGCAACACGAAGTTCGTTGTAAAATGTGTGATGCCAAATCTACAAAACAGGGCGTGGATTATAGTCAAGTAAGCCACTGTGCTAAGTACAAAAGTAGTTTATAACTTACTTTCTCCATGTCGTCCCAGTTAGTTACGATGCCGTGTTCGATAGGATATTTCAACGTTAGGATACCTCTTTTACTTTGAGCTTCATCACCGACATATGAATCTTTTTGGCCCATACCAACCATCACACCTTGATGGCGAGGACGACCAACAATCGATGGAAATACAGCTCGAGGAGCATCATCGCCAGCAAAACCAGCTTTGCACATACCAGATCCATTATCAACAACTAAAGCAGCAACATCGTCATCCATTTTGGTAAGATAGTTTGAAAATTCAATAAAAACTTAATCAACTTGTGTGAGAACTACGACCTGTCTTCAGCAGCAACGCTACAATATAAGTATTCTCGTTTTCAACAGCGATTTAAATACTTGCGCAGACGGATACGCACACCCACTTAGGCCGATGGGAAATGTGTGCTGACAAACGTGGCCAAAAAAATTGCCTTATGAGGGCAAAACACCCAAGTAAAACACGCTGTTTCGAATACAATAGTGTTTCCACTCGAGTGCGCTGGCTTATTGCATATTGCTTATACTTTTAATGATTCCTTTTTGCTATTTTGATCGTTTTTCCAAGCAATAAATAAGCATGTGCATTGTTTTTAAAACTCCTCTTTATCTTGTAAACAGACGACATAACGCTCGCCGCTATTTGCATATTACACTTGTCGTACGGAAAGCACAGCATTGCAAGCCATATATGGTCACATAAGCGCTCATTGGTCAGATTCGTGCTTGCCCCAGGTAAAACTGGTAATCAGAACTATTGCTGTAACGTGCTTATAATATATATCCGTTATTACTCTGTCTGGCCTTTGTACAGAAAGAGAAGATTATTTCCAATTTTATTTTTTTAATTTGTTCAGTGTGTTTTTTTGAGTCGAACTCGATGGATTCGTACATGCGTATAATACACACCCTATGCAGACCACACTCAATTCCACTTCCGTTTTGCAACACGACCTGGCGATTTTACTCAAGTTTAATTGTTTAATAAGACGAACCTATGGCGCAAAACAGCGGAAAGCCGGCTTGGTTCCTTTCGTTTTAAATGATCTTTCTCGAAAACACGCTTTACTTATGAATGCTGCGTGGCAATAGTGTAGCGAAATTCTTCGTAGTTTTAATTTTAATTTCGAAACACTTTGCACGTGCGCCGATGCGAGACTAATTCTTAAATTATTTCAGCATCAAGCGTTTGATTTCGATTCCCTCTGATCCTCTTCACAATGTTCTCAAATATGTGCAAATAATGAACGCAGACATTGTTAGTTGACACCTCTCTGTTGCAAACAACTTGAGCCAGACAGAGTGTTAACGAAGGGCACAACACCATTCAATATGAATGAAAGTGCAATTTGCTTGAAATTTGAAACAGTTGAAATTAGAGTCTCGCAACTAGTTTACGAAATTTCAAAATGCATGCTACGTTTGCTTATATTTATCAGCAACATTTCGCCACAAATTAAGCATCGATTGAGCAATCCGAATTTTTGTGAAATGCACTTTGTTGTCGCCAAGACAACCACAGTTGAGTAGCCATCTTCGATCTCGCATATCTGTCTTTTCATTTTTGGAAACATTTTTGTTTTATTCGCAGTGGCACTCGACAATAAAGGTAAAAAACAGCACACACCATGGAACCTTTGATAAACACAAGGACCACGTACATATTTCTAGTAGCTTTGTAAAAGGAAATGCGAATACCGACGGAAAATGGTTCACCTCATTGACCATATATGGTCAATATAAGATAAATCTAAACATTAATTAAGATATTTGAGGTAAACTTTGCTAGACTAATTTTTGTTTTTCTGTTCGCCATATCAGCTCGCCATTCTTCGGAATATTACCGTAAATAGTAAAGATGGACATCTCTTAAAGAGTTTGGTGAAATGTTCTCACTTTATAGATCTCTTTCGACAAAATTTCATACTTCAATAGCAAGTTATCTTACAAAGACCATATAAAGTTTGATTATGAAGAAGATACTACATTAGGAATCTAAATTTATGATGTGATGAGTTTTGAGTTTTGGACAATACAAATTGCATCGAGTAGGGCGCGCTGAAACTATTCGCCTAATTCAATACCGCATGGCGAGTTGGCAAGTTACTGCACATTATTGTGATACTAGTGTGACGTCATGCGACGTCATAAAGTACATGCTTGTGATGTTCAAAGGAAAGAGACTCAAACAAAAACTTTTTCCGACTTCAAGAATGCACATGTTACAGCAAGCAACGACAGAGTTTTGGTTAACCACGGAGAAGCCACAACCGCGATATGTCAGTTAAGAAGATTAAACTCTTCACACGTGACCCCTTTTAACCATTAATATCCCAAATAAACTTCACGAAGGTGAAGGATTGAACGGTGAAAGTAATTTTGACCATTGCTTCGTTTTTACGTCATAAAAATAGGAAAAAGGAGGTACACTTTCATACATAAAGGCAGGAAATCACCGGATATTTCTGAGCATGGGGTACTGACGTCATGAAAAATCGATTACTTCCGCATTTGTGACGTCAACAAGCGTATTTCAAACATTAATGGCAAGGCAACTCACGAAAGTATCTTGACTTGAATATACGAACATGAAAGACGTTCTTGTTTATCGAGTTCGACAAAACATAATTTTAATAATAAGCTAGAACTAGAAATAAAGTTTTTTATATGATTTTTCTAGTTGGACTCATGCCCTAAAGAGACCCAAGAAACAATCAACACACAATATTTATGTACCCTTACAAATATTTACATGTAAATTGTAAATATTATACACAAAATTATTGCATCGAAAGTCATCATAGCCATATTATGCCGCTATGACGCAGATTCAATGAGTGAAATATGTGGGATTATGTTTCAGTATTGTACTACTATTACCACATTTATTTTCCTTGCTAAAGGTAATCGGTATTGCTAACACTAGCACTACCACGATTCTCCTTCCCTTCCTTCCCACTTCCTTCCCTTCCCTCGTGATCCATTATTCCTAAGCATTACCACGATTCACCTTCCCTTCCCTCCCTCTAGTGATCGGTATTGCTTCACATTCCTTCCTTCCTCCATTCCTTTATTCCTTCCTTCCCCTCCATTCTTCCTTCCCTCCATTGATCCATTATTCTTCCTTCCATCCTTCCCCCCCTCTGATCATTCCATTCCTTCCCTTCCCCCTATGATCGGTATTGCTAACACTAGCATTACCACGATTCACCTTCCCTTCCCTCCCTCTAGTGATCGGTATTGCTAACACTAGCATTACCACGATTTACCCTTCCCTCCCTCAAATGATCGGTATTGCGAACACTAGCATTACCACAATTCACTTTCCCTTCCCTCTCTCCAGTTGTTTGTAGTGCATTTGCATACAAGCTTGCAGCTCCCTCTCCTTTTCGAAAGTGCCCCATGTTTGTCAAAAGTTAAAAAACCACGACTTTGTTTGAAAACAACCAGCCTACCTCGTCTCTTCTTTCTTCGTAGTCGCGGAGTAATGGTTCATTTCCGAGCAAACCACATTTCTGACGTAATTTTACGTTATCAATACGTAAAGCATCACGTGCTTGCTTTGTCCGTGTTAAAATGTCACGTTTCTAAAGACAAAGGCGAACCGTTGAACTGCAATGTCAACTGCAACGAGAACTTCAAAAACGCTCTATGATAGGATTGATGCCGGCTCATGCACCGAATAGGCCTGGGGACAAGCAATTTGCATGGCAACTTCGCCCTGTCATTGATATTTGTAATGAAAAAAAGGACTGGGGCGACCTACATGGCTGCCATCATAGTGGCTTCGAAGATGACGTAGAGATGTTGTCCATCCATTTGATCGTACAGTTCACTGACGTTAACATGAAGAACAAATGTAAAGAGAGAAGCCTGGGTCCGGAGCAATATAACGTGATGATTTTAAATATTTGCTCAGCAAGTTTTTCAAAAATTCTTTTGACTTTAAACTCTTACGCTGACTCTATCATCCTATCTTGTCATAAGTCTACGTCACTACGGAGTCATACGACATGAGTCACATGCGCATGCGTGCATCGATAATGAGTATTCGTTGATCAGTTTAGGTCATGCATTTGCTGTGCGTTTGGAAAATATAAAAGACCTTGAATGAATCATTTCTTCGGAATTTCAGTACATCCACGGTGGTAAGTAAGAGCATTGCTTACTTTTAAGTTCTCTTCCTAAATGGGAGTCTATTGAAGCTTGGAGGCCAGTAGCACTTAGCGGCTACTAGCTCAAAACATTAACCTCAGCAATTTGAATTAGATTACGAAAGCAATTCAGAACGCCAATGCAGCTCCTGCTTTGCAACACAACTTTAGGTGCTGGGCGAAGTTCGCACTCCAGTTGAGTAATAAATCTCAGTGGATATAACACGATGATCTAAACGTCAATCTAGATCATTGATATAACATCAGTAAATATCTCTTACCTGGGCGACGCATGCGTCAACCGTCTTCAGTTTATACCTTTGTTCAATGTTTTCACCCTAAGAGAAACAAAATTAAATCAATGAATTTTCAAGCAAACTTTCTCTAGGATTTCCGCTATTAAAATTTTACGTAAACTTGGAGCTCTTGGGCCCCCAGTTAAGACCCCATGTTGAGATTAAATAGACAATAGACCTTTTCAAGGTTATCGCAGCCATATTGCAAGGGGTGCAAAAACATTGGGCCTAGCGCGGTCACGCACGGCGCCCATATAAATTACTAATAAATGCGTCTATTTGCATAATGACGTCAATTAGTAGTCACGCACATGAAAACATTGCAATATGGCCACCTAACGAAAGTCTGAAAGAGAGTTTACTGCTGTTCTTAGTCACGTTTCTGAGTCAAGAAGTACGACTGAAAGCCTTAGTTCTTTTGAGAACTCCTGCCTGGGTCTTCAGGAAACTTCTAGCTCAGAAAGTCGCGGCAAATCTACGCTAGGCGATTCGATATTTAATATTTAAATCGATTGCCAACTATTGTTTCGAAAGCCACAAAACCTTCTCAAACTAAACCTCGTCCAACTGAAAAAGCAAGAATTATGATGCCTCTTGCTGGAATTACAAAACGCTTGAAACCAAGCAGATTTTTTTCACAAGAAAACTCTCAATGCAATTGAAATGTTTTTATTTGCATGACTACTAAATGACGTAATAATGCAAGTTGTCTGTTGGATTGTTTTCTACAAACTTCACTTTGCCTGGATTCATCCAGTAAAATTCACTTTCGCTATGATGAATACACTTTGCTTACTCCTCGAAAACTTCACTTTGCCTGGATTCATCCAGTAAAATTCACTTTCGCTATGATGAATACACTTTGCTTACTCCTAGAAAACTTCACTTTGCCTGGATTCATCCAGTAAAATTCACTTTCGCTATGATGAATACACTTTGCTTTCTCCTAGAAAACTTCACTTTGCCTGGATTCATCCAGTAAAATTTACTTTCGCTATGATGAATACACTTTGCTTTCTCCTAGAAAACTTCACTTTGCCTGGATTCATCCAGTAAAATTTACTTTCGCTATGATGAATACACTTTGCTTACTCCTAGAAAACTTCACTTTGCCTGGATTCATCCAGTAAAATTTACTTTCGCTATGATGAATACACTTTGCTTTCTCCTAGAAAACTTCACTTTGCCTGGATTCATCCAGTAAAATTTACTTTCGCTATGATGAATACACTTTGCTTACTCCTAGAAAACTTCACTTTGCCTGGATTCATCCAGTAAAATTTACTTTCGCTATGATGAATACACTTTGCTTTCTCCTAGAAAACTTCACTTTGCCTGGATTCATCCAGTAAAATTTACTTTCGCTATGATGAATACACTTTGCTTACTCCTAGAAAACTTCACTTTGCCTGGATTCATCCAGTAAAATTTACTTTCGCTATGATGAATACACTTTGCTTTCTCCTAGAAAACTTCACTTTGCCTGGATTCATCCAGTAAAATTCACTTTCGCTATGATGAATACACTTTGCTTACTCCTCGAAAACTTCACTTTGCCTGGATTCATCCAGTAAAATTCACTTTCGCTATGATGAATACACTTTGCTTTCTCCTAGAAAACTTCACTTTGCCTGGATTCATCCAGTAAAATTTACTTTCGCTATGATGAATACACTTTGCTTTCTCCTAGAAAACTTCACTTTGCCTGGATTCATCCAGTAAAATTTACTTTCGCTATGATGAATACACTTTGCTTACTCCTAGAAAACTTCACTTTGCCTGGATTCATCCAGTAAAATTCACTTTCGCTATGATGAATACACTTTGCTTACTCCTAGAAAACTTCACTTTGCCTGGATTCATCCAGTAAAATTCACTTTCGCTATGATGAATACACTTTGCTTTCTCCTAGAAAACTTCACTTTGCCTGGATTCATCCAGTAAAATTCACTTTCGCTATGATGAATACACTTTGCTTACTCCTAGAAAACTTCACTTTGCCTGGATTCATCCAGTAAAATTCACTTTCGCTATGATGAATACACTTTGCTTTCTCCTAGAAAACTTCACTTTGCCTGGATTCATCCAGTAAAATTCACTTTCGCTATGATGAATACACTTTGCTTACTCGAAAACTTCACTTTGCCTGGATTCATCCAGTAAAATTCACTTTCGCTATGATGAATACACTTTGCTTACTCCTAGAAAACTTCACTTTGCCTGGATTCATCCAGTAAAATTCACTTTCGCTATGATAAATACACTTTGCTTACTCCTCGAAAACTTCACTTTGCCTGGATTCATCCAGTAAAATTCACTTTCGCTATGATGAATACACTTTGCTTTCTCCTAGAAAACTTCACTTTGCCTGGATTCATCCAGTAAAATTTACTTTCGCTATGATGAATACACTTTCCATTCTCCTAGAAAACTTCACTTTGCCTGGATTCATCCAGTAAAATTCACTTTCGCTATGATGAATACACTTTGCTTTCTCCTCGAAAACTTCACTTTGCCTGGATTCATCCAGTAAAATTCACTTTCGCTATGATGAATACACTTTGCTTTCTCCTAGAAAACTTCACTTTGCCTGGATTCATCCAGTAAAATTTACTTTCGCTATGATGAATACACTTTGCTTACTCCTAGAAAACTTCACTTTGCCTGGATTCATCCAGTAAAATTTACTTTCGCTATGATGAATACACTTTGCTTACTCCTCGAAAACTTCACTTTGCCTGGATTCATCCAGTAAAATTTACTTTCGCTATGATGAATACACTTTGCTTACTCCTAGAAAACTTCACTTTGCCTGGATTCATCCAGTAAAATTCACTTTCGCTATGATGAATACACTTTGCTTTCTCCTAGAAAACTTCACTTTGCCTGGATTCATCCAGTAAAATTCACTTTCGCTATGATGAATACACTTTGCTTACTCCTAGAAAACTTCACTTTGCCTGGATTCATCCAGTAAAATTCACTTTCGCTATGATGAATACACTTTGCTTACTCCTAGAAAACTTCACTTTGCCTGGATTCATCCAGTAAAATTCACTTTCGCTATGATGAATACACTTTGCTTTCTCCTAGAAAACTTCACTTTGCCTGGATTCATCCAGTAAAATTTACTTTCGCTATGATGAATACACTTTGCTTTCTCCTAGAAAACTTCACTTTGCCTGGATTCATCCAGTAAAATTTACTTTCGCTATGATGAATACACTTTGCTTTCCCTCGAACAATTTATATGGCTTTTAAATGAATTCGCGAAAAATATCACGTTTGGACCACGATCAAGATATCGTAAGAAGTCGCCCGTTGCTGCAGCCAATCATATTGCAGGAAATCAAAGAATATCACTGCACATGCATAAATAAAACAATAAATATATGTTATTTACCGGCTGGGAAGTCCGTACGGAAAAATATTTTCACGAGGTCTCGTTGTAAAATGGCTGATGGCCCAATGCAACTTAATGTTGAGATTAAAATTTGATTGTTTTCTACAAACTTCGCTTCGCCTGGAGAGTAAAATTCATTCTTGCTGTGATAACTTTCATCTTAATACACTTTGCTTACTCGTTCGACAATTTACATCGCTTTCAAATCAATTTATAAATTTGCATTTCACTTCGTAAAAAAAATATGTTGAGAGCAAAATTGGATTGTTTTCTACAAACTTTGCTTCGTGTGGATAGTAAAATTCTCTCTGGCTATGATGAATTCATCTTAATACACTTTGTCCACTCGTTCAACAGTTTACATCGCTTTTAAATCAATTTTAAAAATTTACATTTCACTTCGTAAACAAAGACATCGCAAAAAAAATCACTTCTGCCGACGGGCAGATAACGTAAAAAGCTGCCCCCCCTCATGTAGCCAACCAAATTGCTGGAAATCAAAAAAATATCGCTTTGTACCGCTAAATTGATACTTATTAAATTTTTATAATAAACCCGCAGTTTCTATCGCATATTGTTTAATGGTCATTTCAAAATAATAAAAGTGACGATCACGTACCTGTACGAACTGAAGTTTTTCTTTCAAGTGAGTAAGAACTTGAACGGTAGTAGTAATTTTCTTGCGAAGTTTCAAAAGTTCCTGCAAAATAACACCAAAAAATGCGTCAGTGCGCATATTGAACTGAATATAACTGGACGGCTACTTCCCGCCAATATTTAACTAGTCCCAATCTTTCCCAACCAGCCAAATGAAAGCTCGTTTAGGACGATAAGCTAGAAGGTGGGATTTGACCCACGCATGTCTAACGGTAAAGTTTAAGCTTAGTACAAGTACAGGCTATTTATATAAGGAAGCATTCCAGTTGTATATTTAGTTCAATGAGAGTGCCTGTGCCTCAGTAAAGAGCCTCGAGACATACAATACAAAATTTTCAGCAAAACTAATTTATATCTTTCATAAATTAATTCCATTCATTGCTTTTCCAGTGAATAGACGCAAAAATATTTGCATTATAGGAGTTATTTGCAAAAAACAAGCTGGCTGCGCTGCGCCCAACGATAAATTAATGCCAACATGAATTAAAAAAGCAAAGCATGCACTCATGAACTAGCCCCCTCCCCCCAAGCAAAGCTCCCAAACCATACTCAGCCTAATTTACTATATTACAAAATAGTTTTGCAAAGAGCAACATCCACTTCTTACAGAAGTAAATGGACGATGCTAAATCACAACTGGAAGCGACGCCCTAAAATGTCAAGTGGAAGCAAAAACCTTGCCATCAACTCTTCCAAGTGAATATTAATGACTTGTTTACTCGTTGTTACCAACTCCAAAGTGCATAAGCGAAAGAAAACAATTTGCAAATCATCGCATTCAATACGAATTGCAGGCTCAATCAAAGGCGACCGCTAGCAAGAAATACAAACGTTACCTCATTTCTCTCCTCAATTTTCTCATTGTAAGTTTGGTTTTCGATCTTTAATTGTTCGAAGTCAATGAGATGAAGGCCCTCGGCAAGCTCTTCCTGTGCATAGTAAAAAAATCATTGGTTTCGCTATAGTTTCAAACGTTTACGCGTCAACTTGACTACCCCTGGATTAAAATGCTGACTACTAGGGTTGAACAGCACTGGGAACAACGTCGATGTTTAATATGATCTTCACAATACTCCCCCCTGAATTGAAACTTTGACAACTAAAACTAAACCACTACTACCTGGATTAAAACTCTGACTACTAGAGTTAAAAAACAAGAGGAACGGCATCGATAATGCATGTCCTTCATAAAGCCACGTTTACACGATCCAATTGTTTCGGTTCCGACTTTTGGTTGCTTCTTCAGACGGTCCGATATTTTTGATGTATTTATTCGTTTAGATACTTATAGTCGTGTACAGTAGCCATTTGTGCTATTCAGTATAATTATCGTTATCTTTTCTTATTTTTTTCTTGTTTCCAAGTCTTTTTCACATCTATGTAATTTGACGAGTCGGTTTCTTTGATCTTGTCGGATGAAAATAGAACAAGTTCTATTTCCGCCCGATTTCTTAGATTTAACTCCCCCCCCGAATTGCATATCTGATCTAGTTGAGTTTTTCCAGTGTTACGCATCCCTGATGAATAATCTAACCCTAAACCTAACCCTAATCCTAACGATAACCTTTATTAAACCTGTGAGAGCAGGCTTACAAAAAATATTTCTTGTTTTCAAAAGTAAATCGATGATGAAAACTTTTACGTGCTCTCTTACTTTGGCCTTCAGCTGCATTTCTCTTTTTTTCAATCTGTTCTTGAGCTTTATATTTTCCAAACGAACCTTAACAAAATCAAAGAACAATTAGAACAGACAGCGACAGCATGATTTTAAATTTAATTTTAAAAAAATCAACATGCGAAATGCGCTTTCTCACAACATGCAAAAAACTCAATGAAATTCTAAATATTTGATCACTGAGCCTTCACGCTGCATTTCTTAGAAAGATGAGCTTTCGAGCATTCCAAGTGACGCTGCATTTCTTAGAAAGATGAGCCTTCGAGCATTCCAAGTGACGTTGTATCTTAGGACTTAGCACTTGCATAAAACAACAACTTCTAAACACAACTTGGTATTGCGCCAAAGACGTTAGTTTCATGTCACGTTCCACTTTGATGTTCACTGTTATTTATACATCGGTATTTTCGCAAAATTCCATCCAGGCGCGATGTAAATCATACAATTCAAAATTTCTCTGTGTTTTTCGCACGATTTTTGTTATTTTATTGGAAATTAAAAATGGTGTAGAAATATCACAAATCAGTACAATTGCATGCGAACACTGTGGACGGTTAGACTTTAGCCAAGGATTAATTTTTACTTCTAATCCAATAAAGATTCCTTAGCAAGTGAACTTTTCATAAAAAGTTCTGATTATCTTTGACTTTTACTGCAAATCGAATAAATATTCCTTGGAAAGTAAACTTTTCATATAAAGTTCTGATTATCTTTGATTTTTACTACAATTCGAATAAATATTCCTTAGTAAGTAGACTTTTCGTATAAAGTTCTTATTATCTTTACTTCGGCATCATTTTCCCTCTTCTTTTAATTCGCTAAAATGTTGGCAGGGAAGCTAGAAAATTCTTCACCATATCAAAATCTAGCAAATAGCAATAATGCACTCGGTGTCAAATAAAAGACAACAGCACTGTCGAGATACTGCACTCAGTGTTAAATAAAAGGCAACAGCACTGTCGAGATACTGCACTCAGTGATAAATAAAAGGCAACAGCACTGTCGAGATATTGCACTCAGTGTCAAATAAAAGACAACAGCATTGTCGAGATACTGCACTCAGTGTTAAATAAAAGGCAACAGCACTGTCGAGCTACTGCACTCAGTGTTAAATAAAAGGCAACAGCACTGTCGAGATACTGCACTCAGTGATAAATAAAGGCAACAGCACTGTCGAGCTACTGCACTCAGTGTTAAATAAAAGGCAACAGCACTGTCGAGCTACTGCACTCAGTGATAAATAAAAGACAACAGTATTGTCGAGATACTGCACTCAGTGATAAATAAAAGGCAACAGCACTGTCGAGCTACTGCACTCAGTGATAAATAAAGGCAACAGCACTGTCGAGACTGCACTCAGTGATAAATAAAGGCAACAGCACTGTCGAGATACTGCACTCAGTGTTAAATAAAGGCAACAGCACTGTCGAGATACTGCACTCAGTGTTAAATAAAAGGCAACAGCATTGTCGAGATACTGCACTCAGTGTTAAATAAAGGCAACAGCACTGTCGAGATACTGCACTCAGTGTTAAATAAAAGCAACAGCATTGTCGAGATACTGCACTCAGTGTTAAATAAAAGGCAACAGCACTGTCGAGATACTGCACTCAGAGTTAAATAAAGGCAACAGCACTGTCGAGATACTGCACTCAGTGATAAATAAAGGCAACAGCACTGTCGAGATACTGCACTCAGTGTTAAATAAAGGCAACAGCACTGTCGAGATACTGCACTCAGTGTTAAATAAAGGCAACAGCACTGTCGAGATACTGCACTCAGTGTTAAATAAAAGGCAACAGCACTGTCGAGATACTGCACTCAGTGTTAAATAAAGGCAACAGCACTGTCGAGATACTGCACTCAGTGTTAAATAAAGGCAACAGCACTGTCGAGATACTGCACTCAGTGTTAAATAAAAGGCAACAGCACTGTCGAGATACTGCACTCAGTGTTAAATAAAGGCAACAGCACTGTCGAGATACTGCACTCAGTGTTAAATAAAGGCAACAGCACTGTCGAGATACTGCACTCAGTGTTAAATAAAAGGCAACAGCACTGTCGAGATACTGCACTCAGTGTTAAATAAAGGCAACAGCACTGTCGAGATACTGCACTCAGTGTTAAATAAAAGGCAACAGCACTGTCGAGATACTGCACTCAGTGTTAAATAAAAGGCAACAGCACTGTCGAGATACTGCACTCAGTGTTAAATAAAAGGCAACAGCACTGTCGAGATACTGCACTCAGTGTTAAATAAAAGGCAACAGCACTGTCGAGATACTGCACTCAGTGTTAAATAAAGGCAACAGCACTGTCGAGATACTGCACTCAGTGTTAAATAAAGGCAACAGCACTGTCGAGATACTGCACTCAGTGTTAAATAAAAGGCAACAGCACTGTCGAGATACTGCACTCAGTGTTAAATAAAGGCAACAGCACTGTCGAGATACTGCACTCAGTGTTAAATAAAGGCAACAGCACTGTCGAGATACTGCACTCAGTGTTAAATAAAGGCAACAGCACTGTCGAGATACTGCACTCAGTGTTAAATAAAAGGCAACAGCACTGTCGAGATACTGCACTCAGTGTTAAATAAAGGCAACAGCACTGTCGAGATACTGCACTCAGTGTTAAATAAAAGCAACAGCACTGTCGAGATACTGCACTCAGTGATAAATAAAAGGCAACAGCACTGTCGAGATACTGCACTCAGTGTTAAATAAAAGGCAACAGCACTGTCGAGATACTGCACTCAGTGTTAAATAAAAGGCAACAGCACTGTCGAGATACTGCACTCAGTGTTAAATAAAGGCAACAGCACTGTCGAGATACTGCACTCAGTGTTAAATAAAGGCAACAGCACTGTCGAGATACTGCACTCAGTGTTAAATAAAAGGCAACAGCACTGTCGAGATACTGCACTCAGTGATAAATAAAGGCAACAGCATTGTCGAGATACTGCACTCAGTGATAAATAAAGGCAACAGCACTGTCGAGATACTGCACTCAGTGATAAATAAAGGCAACAGCACTGTCGAGATACTGCACTCAGTGATAAATAAAAGGCAACAGCACTGTCGAGATACTGCACTCAGTGTTAAATAAAAGACAACAGCACTGTCGAGATAATGCACTCAGTGTTAAATAAAAGGCAACAGCATTGTCGAGATACTGCACTCAGTGATAAATAAAAGGCAACAGCACTGTCGAGATAATGCGCTCAGTGATAAATAAAAGGCAACAGCACTGTCGAGATACTGCACTCAGTGTTAAATAAAAGGCAACAGCACTGTCGAGATACTACGCTTGTACTTAATAAATCGCAATTCGAGCGGGAAATTTTAACTAGAAAACACCGTATCAGAAAACATGGAGCATAAAAAGCCTCCTTCGAACGTTATTATTCATTCCACGCAAGGCTGCCAACTATTACGAATGTACATCGATACTTAGACAGTAAGACAATACGTAGGCACATTGATACTTAGACAGTAAGACAATACGTAGGCACATTGATACTTAGACAGTAAGACAATACGTATGCACATTGATACTTAGACAGTAAGACAATACGTATGCACATTGATACTTAGACAGTAAGACAATACGTAGATAAACGGTTTGAGAGCATCGTGGGAAAATTTCAAAGAAAAATCTGAAAAATTCTCTGATGGGGATTCTGCGAAGGTTAACTTGCGCGCAATCCGATTGGCTCAAATGCAAAAATGTAAACAAGTCACCGATTGGTCAAAAAGTTCGTTTTCACGAAAGCAGTTTTCAGTCCGTTTACTTCATTCACAAACCGAAAAACCTTTTCCAAAAGACAATTTAAAGAAATATAAGATAAAACACACTCCAAAAAACATCATCTTGCGAACTCAAGATTGGAGTTGTATTAGCAAGAGACAAGATTTAAAGTGCCCCCTATCGGCAAAAACATTTATTTCTAACATATCTCTAACATATATGTGAAAATTTTTAATTTAGTAAAATCGTCTTCTTGTTATGGATGGTTTAAAGTTGCTTTTCAATGGACTTTGTGTTTAGATATGCTCTCATATTCTTCCTGTCATTAGTAAATATTTAAATCAAGTGTAATTAATGATTAATTTAAGAGATACTTACGTGCAACAATCCCAATATTTTTTCTAGTTCCTAATAGCTTTCGGTTAATTGTAAAGTAACCATATTTAGTAATGAACCAAATATATCCTTACTTAATATCTTGTACAAATAGAAGTAGTTTAACCATTGTAAGATAGATCGTAGACCATAGACATTGACGTTGAACATTAAATGTGATCATAACAGTTATCTGTGATATCTCTATTTGTTGTTGTAAGTCAATATATACTAAAGAAGGTAGATGGCTACATCACAAAACCCAACACCTTGACCGTTGGGGCATGATGTCTAAGTCAAGCCAAAATCTCACGTCATCTAAGGTAGTTGGTATGTATATATTGTACTGAGGAATCCCGTGCATGACGTCACAAAAGTAAGTCGTTCCACACTTTTCGAAGCAGCCTTTTTGCCAACTTTAGGCAGCCATAAGAATGTAATGATTTGATGAAATTAAAGTTTTTTTACTGATGCGTTGGAAATTACGCCAAAATTTAACGTTGCAATTAAAAATTTCTGCTGAAAGGCGCACTAAGAAATATTTCGACATTTCAAAGTCATCATGGAGCCAAGTGAATGATGCCAGTAGAAAATTACTCGCAAATAATCACTTGGCTTTATAATTACTTAAAGTTTCATTATATTGCTTTTAAATCCTGTATCTTACTAATATACAGGATTTAAACTCTAATCTTGAGTTGAAAAAATGATGTTGTTTGGAGTGTATATGTTTTACCTTAGTACACTACTCTATCCAGATAATTACAAAGAGATCAGTAAACCGGAACACTCATACCAACATGACTTCGTGCTCTTTCTTCTGTTCCAGTTGATGATATTGCTCGATGTCTTTGGGAGGTATTGGACGACAAGATCTACTGTTTAGAGCTTGTTTCGCAATATCTATCTTGTGTTTGCCGAATTGATTTCTAAATCACGTAAAATATAGCAATAATTCTCTGTTCTAAAAATGCACGAAATAGATCCCTAATCCATAGCTCAACTATTTGGTCAGAGATTGGATTAGAGATTAACTTTGGGTATTTGTAAGTCATGAGATTTTTATAGATAAATTTGCCTTTAAAATGCACCTAACTTTAATATTTTTTCAGCATGAACTCGATGAAATGTAAACTTGGAATAATAATAGTGAAAGCATTGTTTATATCTTGCTATAAAATCTAGCCATAAAATCTTAACGCTATGCCTTGTGAAAACGCTGCAATTTTGGCTCATGGTGTCTTGGAGTCTGGTACCTAAAAATTCGGACAAAATTACAATTCTATCCTTCTGCCAGTGTTTTTCTTACTCGAAGTTGGAAAACATGCCCGAAAGGAGCATGGTATATGGTTGCAGTGCACGGTAAAATATCGCCATGTTATTTAGCATGTGATGTCTGGAATTTACATCTGAGTTCTCATGCGGTCGTTTACCAAATATAAGCTGTTTTACACAAGGCATAGCGTCAGGATTTCTCATTCACTTCACAAAATTCTTTCACGAATATTATCCTAACGTCTACAGTTGATCATATTCGTTCAACGGTTGGGTGCACATCAAGCTTTCTTTTAACAGGGACGTCCGACGTACGGCGATGGTTGCAGTGCCAAAACTTATAAATATTTTAAATATTCTCTTAATCAAAGATGCACGGAATGAGTGAAAACGCGGCGCGGGGAGGCTGAAAACTGCGTAAGTCTTACATGTTTTTTAAACCAGAGTCACCAGATAAGCTGGGGAGGGAAAGGGGGAGCATAAATGCATTCAACAGTAATATGTATGAAAATTAAACAGCAAACTACACATTGTGTTGTGCCCCCCCCCTGCATTTACATCACGTACAAGAAAGTCAACAAGAAGATCATTGCATACTTGGATCCAGTCCTTTTTTATATACGCATGCAGTGACGTAGAGGAGAAAAATGATGACATCACACCTGATTTCTTCTACTTTTGCTTGTTTTTCAGAACATTTATCCTTCGCCTCTTCAATTTGCTCTATGTAACTTTTTTGCACTTGTGAAAGTTCATCCTGAAGCTCGTCCAGATTAGCTAAAATACATTGTTATATATGAAGAACTTCAAAAACCGAACGGTAACTGTGAGAAGGGGGAGAGATACATATATATCGGGTCTGCCAGATTGATTTCTTTTGAAACTTGCCGTAAATGCTCGATTTAGCGCCGTGGCGCTTTTTTAATTTTCCTGATTCTGAATGCGGCGCTTACCCGGGAGCGGCGCTAATTAAACAATTTTCAACTAAAGGCTCACACCAATATATATTTACTGCCCGCAAAAAATAACAAGTAGACAAAATGTATTACTTTATACAACCCAATATAACTTAAAGAAAATAATATCATATAGGTGTGCGCAACAAAAAGCCAATATAAAGCCCTTAATGACCAAGCGTGAGGTCTTTACGGAGAAATAAAGGACCGAGATGTTTTTGAACAGACCGAGCCCGTAGGGCAAGGTTTGCACAAAAAGACAGAGGTCCGATATTTCTCAGTTAAGACCGAGTAAGCGAGGTTATTAAAAGGTTTATTATATGGCATTATTTGACCCGAAACGAGGCTTGCTTTCTTTCTCTTCCTTGCTGTTTTTACGGGTTGGTTTTACTTTTCTAGTATTCGTCAGTGAAAATTAAATTGTTTCAAATTGTATCGTCTGGAAAGTTGAACTGTTTTCAAAGTGTTTTTCCTTTGAATCACATTCGTAAATGGTTTTTTGTTTCGTTTATTTTACGTTTTGCTGTTTGCTTTACGAAGTTTGTTTACATTTGACTTTAAAATTACGCGTTTTGGACCGTGGTCCTTTACGGAAAAATAATGGACCGGCAAAAATGTTTCTGAGCCAATCAAAGTGCGCCTTTTGCCGGAAGTGACGCTTGCCATATAATAATACTTTTTATTACCCTTTCATTACCAAACTTATACTATATCAATATCAGGGATGCGGCGCTTAACCGGGAGCGGCACTTGTGTGGAGCGGCGCTAAAACGAGCATTTACGGTACTTCCAGAGCTCAGAGAATCTTTACCAATTTATAAATAACTAAACTTGCAACGCCCCCCCCCCCTCTAAACTTGTGAGTAAATATTGCAGCTAATATATCAATATTTTGACATTCATTTACAAAACTGTTGTAGCCAAACCATGTAAAACCCACCTAAATATTTGATATATCTCTGTTCCTGATCATTGACATTTTTCTCAACTTCTTGTTGACGGTCATCCGTCTACGATTATCAAAACGCGTTGCTAAGTACATGGTACTATCTCTGTCAGAGATGTAAAACACCTTTGTTGAGTGAGGAACATAAAGTTGTACTAGTTACCAGTTTCTACAATACCGTTGCAGTCCTTGCGTTTTGTAATGTACTAATGACGTCACATTAATATAAAGTTGTACTAGTTACCAGTTTCAGCACTATCATTGTAGTCCTTGTGTTTTGTAATGCACTTATGACGTCACACTATTGTCGTGAAGTTGCACTAGTTACCAGTTTCTACACTATCGTTGTAGTTCTCATGACCTTATGACGTCACATTATCGTCGTGAAGTTTTGATAGTTACCAGTTGCTACACTACCGTTGTAGTCCTATTGTTCTTTAATGCCCTTATGACGTCACACTAACCTTTTTCTTTTTGAAATATTCAGCCAACTTGTGTTGCAGCTGAACGTTTAAAGTCTGCAAGGCAGCACGTTCTTCAACGGCTTGCTAAGGAAAAAAGATGAATGGGAGACATGAGAGAATTGACAAGACCACATTAAGGGTGACTACATATGGTCTAAAAACCATGACCAGCGGACAATTTAAAAATATATAGTATAAAACAAATTCTGGAAAAACAAGACATCTTGAGATTGCAAAATATGAATAAAAACAAGACGAGAACTGACTGCAAAATTTCGACTTTATTTCAAAGTCATCCTCAGACAGAATATTCTTATTCTGTCAGAGGATGACTTAAAATAAAGTCAAAAATTTACAATTCATTTCTCGTCTTGTTTTGATTCATATTTTGCAATCTCAAGATGTCTTGTTTTTTTCGGAATTTGTTTTATACTATACACATGGCCTATTTTAAAGACCTTGCGTTGGCCTGCGCTTTCTCCAAATTGCTCAGTGCGATTAAATGGTTTCTCCAATGAGTATTTTTGTGCGCAGGGTCTGTTTTGAACGACTTTTTACAGAAGATATTTCACAAGTAAAACATCCTGCATTTTATAAAAATTCATCGCCAGCTGTACCAGAGAGCGTTAAAATACTTAGAATAACCATAAGTTTCTGCTTTGTCCGCGCGCATCTTGTTTTAAAGAACTTTTTCAAAGAGTCTACTCCTTTTTTGCACACCCTGTATAACGAAAAATTTTCTTACCTGGTATTTTTCAAACAATTCTGCACGATTATAAACTGGCACCTCGACAGACGAAGCAATTGATACCGTTTCTTCGTTTAGTTGAGAAGGGTCTACTATTTGAGGTGCATTGTCTACATCAATAAAACAACATTCATTTTATTTGAACAAATTCAATTCAAACTAGTGCTGCAATCTATGGAAAACAAGGCTTTATTTTCGGTCCAATGACATTAAGAAAGCATACGGTATTGATTTATTTGGTTGGTTTTTTGGTTGAGAAAGATTTCGTTGTTTACTCTTAAATGGTCTACAGCTAACACTGATTTGACAAGGCTGTAACTTAGTTTACCTCAACGTTGGGGGGGAGGGGTGTTCTAGATTCCAGGCACTGTGCCAAAAGAAGGGTTGGGGGTTGTGCTTGATCCCCCCACTTTTTCCATAAGATAAAGTTTTGCTAACATTGATATATTTTTGCCTAATTTGAGGCAAAGTGAGACGCAGTAACGCCCCCCTCCAGGTTCAATTTTGTGGCATTGTCATAGTTACATATGTAACCATAGAGACCAACTTTTGTATCGTATGGGCTTGATGTAAAAACCAACATTTTTTGTGGGACTGATATAATGACTTTAATACATGTGAATTTCACATAAGCAGCCGGGTGTAACATTCCACACTCTTCACATTGGCACTATTTGAAGGCCCTTGATGATGTGAGACTGATATAATGACTTTAATACATGTGAATTTCACATAAGCAGGGGGGAGTGTAACATTCCACACTCCCCACATTGGTACTATTCGCAGGCCCAAGATGATGTGAGACTGATATAATGACTTTGATACATGTGAATTTTACATAAGCAGAGGGGAGTGTAACATTCCACACTCTCCACATTGGCACTATTTGCAGGCCCTAGATAAAACAAGTCAAAATGTAAAATATGGTGCAAAATGTGAAAGCGAACTTGTAAGGAAATGTTTCAATGACCACTGATTTTCTTAGGGAAGGGGGGTGCTGACCACCAAAGTTATGTGCAAGTAGGAATCCCGTCAAAGTTGAAAAATGTTTCATTAAACTATTGTGATATTAAGAAATTATGAAAATATTGTATAAAAATACTGTTCTCAGAGCCCCAAATGAAAACAGAGATGCTTTCCAACGAATAGTTAATGATTACATACCAATATTGTCTGTGGTATCATCTTCTGACATCACAATAACAGGTGGAGGAGTGCCCCCAGCATCTAGTACCTCAGTCATGTCTTGTGCAAGTGGAGTTTGGGATAAGACTACACTTCCTTCTCGGGATAGATTTTGTGTAATTGTTTCGAGGGGAGGACCATCTTCTTTCTCCAGCTCAGCTGGTTTCTGTCAAATGGTCATGAGGTTCAAGTAAGACAGGAAAATACAAAACACTTGTACAAAGTTATCTAAGGACTGATATTTTAATGAAGTGATTTACTACTTCCAAGATATCAAACTGCAAAGAAGAGCAATGGCTATCCTAATATTTGCAAAATGACATGTTTCAGTCAGTGATGTTTTGCAAATTTTCAAAGTGTGGGAGCGATTCCTTATCTTAAATGTGCTTTGTATAGACCTGGCTCATGATATAATGGTGCAGTCCCATATTTGCAAAACAACAATGTTAATAGGCGAATTATGACATTGCCAAGTTACTTTAAACAGATACACATTAACGACAATATAATGTTGTGGTACAAGGAGCAATCAACAAAGATAAGAGGCAATATGAATAATGTACGAGTAAGATATAACTTCAGTGGAATCATTTGATTTGATTGCCTGATGTTCAGAGAACAATTCTACACTTGGGGAACCTATCGTTGAACTTGTTCACTACGGTAATCAAATCCAGTTTGCTCCCTGACCACAATGAATTCCTAACATCATTAGCTGTCCAGACGCTTCATGGTGATTTATCAAAGGCAATAGCCGCAATACATGTAAAACTGTCAAAATCTGATGTTTATTGCTGATTGGAAACTCAAACAGCAGAGTTTTTTAGTTTTTTTACAAAAAATTGCCTTTCAAAATTCGAAAGTCAAGTGTCAAAAAACAACCGGCAGATTTGTGTTATGAGATCATCACTTTTATTCATGTTCAGGGGAACATTCCCCTCACATACAAAGAAAGGGAATGTGCAAAACATTGATGGTTGAAGTTCTCCCAAGAAGTTATGCAGTAAATAAAAAGTCATTTGCACTCATTTGCACAGCCTCGCTATCACTAGGTTGATACTACTGATGTCAGCAAAAGCAGGCTCAGTGTGCAATCTGGTCAAGATAGTTTGACAATCACCTCATTTGATGGCTCTTCTTCTTCTTCTTGTTGTATTTCATTAGCCGAAGGTGTTTCATTTTCTTCTTCGTTCTGTTTCAATGACAGCACGTCAGTACTTTCCGTGGGTTTTGTTGAATCATCAACCACTGCTGAAATTAACATTTTAAAGAAATACATCAAACTTTAGCTGATATTAACATGTACAATCGAGTAGGCGACACCTGGAAAGAAACAGCTTCCATTATCCAAAAATTTAGCAATGATTTAAAATTATAGTCACCTTCTTGCTCGTTTTCTTCTGTCTTAATTTCCTCCACATTAGACGACAACGCATTATCAGCGAAGTCAACGTCTTCAATTGAAATACTGGGCCTAGAAGTGGCCAGACGTTCATTTGTAACGTCTGGATTTTCGCTGTTATTTTCTTCAAGAACCTGCAAAAGCAATAAAAATGAATTTAGTTTAATGATATTCAAACCTTAAGAAAATACAAACAGGCAAAGTAAAACAATAACTCTCCAGAACGAGTACTTATTCACAAAACGTTTTGTCTCTTACGTACATTTGTCGTGTCCGCCATCATGGTTGCTTATAGTAACCATAGAAACGAAACACAATGTTTTTAGAGCGATTTTTTTCCACTGTTTTTTTTTCATTTTTTTCATTTGTTTTTTTATAGGATGTAATATGTTAAAAAGTTTCGAATCAAGAATAATGTTTTCATATAAGATTTGAAAAAGCATAAAGACAGTTAGATATATTTTGCCTCGTGTTTGCTTCTCCCCCTCTACTCGATTCCATAACGATAAGGGGCCTATTATTCACAGATTATATATGAATTAGCTTGACTCTGGGTTTATTCAAAGTTTTTAACAAAAATACTAACGCAAATGATAACTAAAATGATAAGGAAATATTTTTTGATGTTTTTCAAAAACCCTAAATACAAGTTAATATATGCATTTGATTGAAGGTTCCAAAAATCATTTACATACGTCAAACACTAAATCTGACCAATCAGAGAGTGTTGTTACCATATTTGGTAATAATTGAGGAGTGCCTGAGGTGAACAAACATTTTTTCGTTTTCACTGACCATATTTTTCAACAGTACTGTAGAGTATAGTTTTAGTAACTAAAATTTCACCAAGACTTAAAAATGGATGATGATGTTGCTGCTTTAGTTGTTGATAATGGATCTGGTATGTGCAAAGCTGGTTTTGCCGGCGATGATGCTCCTCGAGCTGTATTCCCATCGATTGTCGGTCGTCCTCGACATCAAGGTGTAATGGTCGGTATGGGCCAAAAAGATTCATATGTCGGTGATGAAGCTCAAAGTAAAAGAGGTATCCTAACGTTGAAATATCCTATCGAACACGGCATCGTTACCAACTGGGATGACATGGAAAAGGTTTGTTCAGCGATATTAAAGATTTGTATTTTTACAACGAACTAGTTTTATCAATCTTCTTCCAACTTTTTTTTAAATTGTATATTGCAAAACACAGAAACTATTTTTAAAGTAATTGGAAGAGAGCACGCTACAACTGTAACTGGCAAAAACTGTTCGCTGCCATTTAGTATTTTTGTTTTTAGCATGCAGTGTATTGCTAAGAGCAAAGTAAAATAATGGAATTTATTTTTAGATTTGGCATCACACTTTCTACAACGAACTAAGAGTTGCGCCAGAAGAACACCCTGTATTGCTCACAGAAGCTCCATTGAACCCAAAAGCAAACAGGGAAAAAATGACTCAGGTAGGAAAAATCAAAGATGCTACCATATGCTGCATCCTGCTAAACAGGTTGCTAGGTCGAATGTAAGAACTGAACGATCATAAAACTTTTAATTTCAGATTATGTTCGAGACATTTAACTGTCCAGCCATGTATGTCGCCATTCAAGCAGTTTTGTCTTTGTATGCTTCTGGTCGCACAACTGGTATAGTGTTTGACAGTGGTGATGGTGTCTCTCACACTGTACCAATCTATGAAGGTTATGCTTTGCCTCACGCCATCCTTCGTCTTGATTTGGCTGGTCGAGATCTGACAGATTACCTCATGAAGATCTTGACAGAGAGAGGTTATTCTTTCACCACGACAGCTGAACGTGAAATTGTTCGTGATATAAAGGAGAAGCTGTGCTATGTCGCCTTGGACTTCGAGCAAGAAATGCAAACAGCGGCAACGAGCTCAAGTTTAGAAAAATCATATGAATTACCTGATGGTCAGGTTATCACAGTTGGCAACGAGCGATTCAGATGCCCCGAAGCACTCTTCCAACCTTCTTTTCTTGGTATGGAGTCTGCAGGTATCCATGAAACATGCTACAATTCAATCATGAAGTGCGATGTTGATATCCGTAAGGATCTCTACGCTAACACTGTCCTCTCTGGTGGGTCAACCATGTATCCTGGTATTGCTGACAGAATGCAGAAGGAAATCACCGCCCTTGCCCTCCCACTATGAAAATCAAGGTTATTGCTCCACCAGAAAGAAAGTACTCAGTCTGGATTGGTGGCTCCATCTTGGCATCTCTTTCCACCTTCCAACAGATGTGGATCTCGAAACAAGAATACGACGAATCTGGACCTTCGATTGTGCACAGGAAATGCTTCTAGATTGCTTTTGACGTTTAACAGTTAATTAAAAATATATGATAGAGTTTGTTATTTTTATTGTTTTTCCAACGCTTTCGTATCAACGGTCCGCATTAAAAAGGAAAATATTATGGAGTTTGTTGACTAACGTAGCATCAAAGTTGAAATAAATAAAGCTTTCGTTGGTTTTATTTGCTTCCTTCGTTTGTGTAAAGACCTGATTTTCATGTTTTATTTATTTATATCTGTAAAGTTATTTGAATTTTAATTTGTGAAATTTTGATGATTGAACATAATTGAACAACAACAACGTTTATTTTAGTGGCGAGCATGCGCTCTGGTGATAACACTAACATTTGACAGTTATAATGATAATATAATAATAACAAACATGTGACAGTCTTATGACAGCTGATTATGATGTGTTATGACCATTATGACCTCATCACCTTCTCAGAAAATGACTTCATCATCAAGCATTTTTGAAATCTGCCAACCAATCAAATCAAGTTTTTTTTCACCGCTAAAAACAATCATCAATGCAAGCAACCAATCATTTTCAAGGCACATGGTCAACATGACACGTCACGATGGTATACTTAGGCACATGACGGGATGCTAATGTGAAAATGTTGCAATGGCAATCCTATAAGTCTACATATGACATACGACCATACATAACATCGAACACGTTGGAAAGCCAAATTCGCAACTTTGTTCGTTTTTAGTCCCTACCAACAAACAAACGCAATCTGGTAAGCGTTTTGGGGCATTGTGAGTAAATAGAAGAATTATTTACATTTGTATCGATTCATTGACATTGAAAGTTGCTAGCAGTTTGTGATACGAATTTTGTACAAAACTAGCATCCGTCAACCGGCATTAGAGTCTTACAGAGTTTCTCGCTGTCAAATCACAAAAAAACCTTATAAGTAAATGAAAAGTCTTAGTTGTGATGCAATCGGGTCAAATGTAAAGCAAGCTACGTTAATTCGTGATTTAAACGCAGCATTTTTCTGACTCCTGACTCATGAGTGTTTGCCAAGTGTCACGACAAAGATGGTGGAGTTTTTTTTATTTAAGTAAATGGTACTTTAACTGCTTTTTTAGATCCTACGAGTTGATGGTTTTGCATTCTTGAGTTCGTTCGAAAATTTAAGACTATTTTAAAAGGTACCAGTTAAAAAACTTGCTGGGAGAATGTCAAAATTGAAACAACTTGGTCTACTGATATGGAAGAATTTCAAGCTTCAAAGAAAACATCCGATTGGAACCATTTTACAAATAGGGTTACCATTCTTTGTGTCATTCATATTCCTGGCCTTGCGATTGTTCCTTGTCACTGCCAAAGATTGCCCAGCCTTTGTTTGGAATGAATTCAATGTAACCTCTCCACCACCTGTACTAAAAAGATCATTCTCTATAGGCTTGGCTGCAAATAATGCTTCTCAACTCTCCCATGAGCTTTTCAACAACCTTACATTTTATCTTAATGAACATGCTTATCCAGATCAAAACATCACCTTGCAAATATTTCCAAGTGAGGATGACATGGTTAATGAAATAATGAGTTCCTCTGAAGGCAACTCTACCAAATGCATTGGAGGTATATACTTTACTCGTCTCCCATCAAAACAGGCCAATTTCATCAACTACAAGCTGCGATTCATCAACCCAAAGGAAGACAACTCTGGCCTTGGCAAGAATGGCCATGGCTGGTTGACAAAATATGTTTTCCCGAGGTTTCAAAATCCTAAACCAAGAAATAAAGATGATTCCCATGGAGGCAGTCCAGACTATTATAGTACCGCTTTCTTGTTTACCCAACATGCAGTAGATCGAGCTATTATTAGACAGTTTGCTACTCAAGATCAAATATCGGTTCAAATGGAAAAATTTCCATTCCCAAACTATGTGAAGGATCCCTTCATTTTGATTATTCAAAATTTCATTCCAAACCTCATAGTAATTGCTTTTATTTATACCGCACTTGTGATTGTGCGTAGTATTGTATACGAGAAGGAACAACGGCTAAAGGTAAGTTGTAATTTGTCTCATTTGCTGAGATCCCTTTATTTCAAAGCCTGCATCAGTGTCAGAAATAACTTCTTTGGATAATTAAATTCATATTAAGATCATTTTGCAATATATTTGATGGGTGGAAAATTTTATCTTCCTGGAAAAGACAGTTCTACCTTTTACATGTTTTTATTGATTGTTCACTTCAAAGATGTTGTCAAACTGAGCACCTATTCGACATTTTAAATTAATTTGTAGTTCAGTTTTTTGAGAAGATTTGCTACTACAGCTTTATTCAATTCATTAAAAGCTATATCTTTAATTCATGTGTTGTAATAAACTAATTAAGTTAGGTATTTCATGTTTTTTAGGAAACTTTAAAAATCATCGGCGTCAATAATTGGCTTCATTGGGTGGCATGGTTCATTCAAAGTTTTCTTATTTGTCTCGTTGCAGTTGTCATAATGACGCTTCTTTTCACGATAAAATTTAACAGTAATGGGAGTGTTATCGACAAAACAGCACCCACAATATTTTTCATCTATCTTTTGCTTTATATTACCTCTGGTATTATGTTTTGTTTCTTCGTAAGCGTTTTTTTCTCCAAAGCGAGCACCGCTGCCGCAGGTGGTGGTATAATTTGGTACATTTCCTTCATACCATTTTTCTTCATAATGCAATACTACGACAAAATGTCGTTCACTCTCAAAGCAATTGCATGCCTCATACCAAATCTTGGCATGTCTCTTGGAGCGATTGTCATCGGCAAGTTTGAAGGTAAGTTAAAACGTTGATGGACTGTGTGTGTTGAACCGCTTTCGTTTTAAATTACTTTTCTTCATGCTCATATAAGTTCATTAAGCCCGAGGTTTAATGTTTGTAACCACAGGGTGTATCAAAGAACGCCTATAGAAATTGACGGCTTATTGTGATGATTTCATGACTATGTTAATGATGCATAAAGATTCTAACTTGTCTGCTTCATG